ATGAAACAAAGTCGACGCAGCGACGTCTTTCTTCATTTCCTTGTCCTCTTTCGACGACAAGATATATGCTTCTACTAGCTCAGTTTGGGTAAACTGGCCACTAGAACGCGGCTTTCTTAGATCCTCGAACACTACATTCCCATCCTTTCCCAACGACACAGTCACCGCGACTTCTTCTCCTTGACTCAACCTGGTCAATTCCTCGAAGCTCTTTGAAAATCCCGTTCAGGGTTCGGTTCGTCTGGACTGGCCGTCGGCTTCGACGAGCTGTAGGGTTCGGTAGATCCGTCGTTGTTTTTAGTGTTACGCGGCAAGTCGTCGGCACGACGTGGCTGCGTAGCCATTGCACAACGTGTCTTTAAATTGGGATCGCGCATAGTGATTATTTGGCTGCCGTCGGCCGCGTTCTTGATATTGCTTTCTGTCGCGATATCAAACGGTCTGCTGAGCAACACCTTATAAGCTGGACTTTCCAAAATGTGCACCTGCAGGTAGACCAAGATGGTCCCAAACCTGAAGGGTACATTTCTCGCTAATCCCAGTGACTTAGAGATAGATCCATTTGCGCTTTCCATATATATGACGACCTTTGGATCCCAGCTCAATTGTGCGTCGACGGCTTCTGAGAAAGCCATCGATACAATCTGAGATCCACTGTCTAGGATGCAGTCCGCGTCGAGACGCGCGTTAATCCGTCCGTTTATTGTTCTGAGAGCAGCCGACGAATCACCAACATAGACATGTCTTGGGTTCTCATTAGAGGGTATCGACTCCAAGTACATCTCATATGGGTCCGTCGCGACAACTGCACCAATGGGAATTTCTCCTTCAACTGTGTTATGATAGAACACGGGCTCAGGCAATTCCTTAGCACTGACTAGGTTGTAGCTCAGCTCTCCATCCCAAACGTCTTCAACGACGCGACCAGTTTCTTGAAGCATGGACTTCTGAACCGGTACTCGTTTCTTCGAAGAGTCCTTCAGAATGGAGTCGCGGACAGTCCCCGAAACTGCTAGGAGTTCACCCACAGTGACGTCGACTGACGCGTTTTTCATTTTGTCGTAGACTGCTTCTGCTACAGCCTTCGTTTGAATCGGTGCACGCAACTGGTATTTATCTGGAACGCGCGCTTTTGAAGAATGTACTGGTTCTTGTAGAACGGGCTTGACTTTCTCAAACGGTAGTTCCTTTCTCTTTTCGACGTTGTCGCGCACTGATTCCTCATCATCGTCGCTATCACTAACTTCTTCAATAATCACAGGTTTTCTCGGTTTCTCTCGTCGCTCAGCTCGTTTATCATGGTCCTCAGAGGGCTTGGCTGAGTTTGTAGGTTTAGCCCCCTTCCTTGAACCATTTAGAAACCCGAGTTGTTATCGTCGCGCTCAGGTTGGCTATTCGCACCACGACGGGTTTGAATGAACTGCTCCTGAGTCTGAGGATAACCACTGTTCATGTTGTTGAAGTAGCCGGCCATGGCGTCGGTCATGGCTTTCTGCATGAATTGGCCCATGGCACTTTCCATTGCATTGCTGGTTGAACCAGATGCAGCTCTTTGAGTCTTTGGCTCAGCGCGACTCTCTGGGGTTGGCCGCGACGACTTCTTCTCATATTGGATGAGTTGACTTCGAAGGGAGCGTATCTCATCTGCCACTTCTTCAGGGTAGTCGGACATATCATCATTGTCGCGGCTATCGAACTGATCCAAGTAGTAGGAGTCTTGGAAGTTGACGGACTTGCCCTTCTTCTTCCAGTAAGCCTCTACTCGTTGTCCCTGAGTCCCTTCTCCATTTGGTAGGAAACTGTCGTCGAAGAGCCTCCACATCCCTTTGGTGTCGACTTTGAGAAGGTTTTTCTCAATGTGAGACCTCTTGAGTGGGCACTCGTTCGACCAGTGACCAGTTTGTCCACAGTAGCGACAGTCGTCGTTCCGTGCGGCAGCTCCTCCTTGTGCACGACTTTCGAAGTGGGGCACAGAAGAGTTGTTGCCTACTGGCCGCGACCGCTGTATGGGCGCTTCGCGAGCAGTCTGTACGAACGTCTTCAATGCTTCCTGCAACTGAGTCTGTAGCTCTTTTTGGTGTAGAAGAAATGAATCCTTCAAGTTGGAAATCGAGTTTTCCAACTCCTCAACCTTAGCATGGTTGGGTGGACTAGTCTCATAGTCGAAACGAACCTTGGGAGGTCGCGCGATGATGGGAATTTCGTCTTCGTTACTCAACGTCGACGCCATTTCTTCCGCCATTGTCATTAGTTCTTTCAGCTGGATGGGGTCGTCCTGCCGATTGACTCCAGTCGCGGGGACATTAGCATTTGTTATCCCGGCGCGAGTTTGGTAGCGCTTGTTGAATACTTGACTCGTAGCCAAAGCGTTCCTCAAGACGGTACTGAACTCAGAGTCCAAAGTACGCATGTAGCGTTCACACGCGACTTTGTTGGTAATAATGGCAGGAGGGACTGACAGTCGCTTGTAGTGACTGTACATTTGAAGGCCGAAACGCTTCAAATCTCCCTCATCCGTTATCTTGATTCCGCGGTTCTCGCGACAGAGTCTGTCTAGATCTGCCATGGTCCCCGTTTTTCGCTTGGACACCTCAGGGTATCCTTTTAATATTTCGGCCTCGAACTCCGCGACAGTTTTCGTGTCGTCGGAATAGGTATCGAGACCTTCCCATACGTCCATCACTTGCCGCGACGGCAAATAACGGATGTACATGCTTTTTGCCTGTTTGACATCCGTGATGCCACCATCCTCCACGATCTGCGCGCAGTGACGCAAATATGCCTCAATCGACAGGGGATCCTTTTCATCAAGTATAGGTCTACTTGTGTCCCAAGGTTGGGGGATTTTGAACCCAGTCTTTGGAGCCATAGTTGTCGCGACTGAAGTCACAGGGGAAGTAGGGATGTTGTTAGAATTCGTGTTTGTAGCGGTGACGCTACTAGACAATTCTGAGAGGGTTTGTGAGCTAGTCTGAGATCGACTGATTGTCGTCGAACTCGAAGTAGCCGTGTCTAAAGCTGGAAGCTTCGACGTCGAATCCACTCTTTGTTTTCCTTTTGCCTTGGAGGGCAAGGGTGGTAGATACAAAGGTGTTTTATGTCTTGCAGACCTTCGTGGTTTTTCGAAAGGTCCTGAGGTTGAAGCGTTTCCTTCAGTCTCAATCTCCGCTTGGTCCTCGTTAGGTCGCGCAGGAGCTTGGGATCGAAATAAACTGCTTCGCGGGATAAACCCTTGGTCTCTATCCGACGTCGCGGTAAAGAATCCGGTTTATTGATTTTTAAAGTTTATGAAACTTTAGAAGCCCCTCGCGGTGGGCTCCAGATGAAATGCTGAGGGCGTGCTCACAAGTGAATCTACTATGAAAGTAAACCCAAATATAAAACACGTTCACACTCCTCGTAATCAGCTTCTCAGTGTGTGAAAGATGCGAGGGCTTCGGGGTGGACAGAGCACCAGTATCGCAACTCTCAATAGACACAGGTCCAATAGTCGCGGAGGCGAAGTCGACGACAAGAATTTATATATAGCAAACAATGGTATCTCAACCAATATCTTCTATACGAACACAACCAATACTAATCCAATCCACAAACAAACAATATAACAAGTCAGAACTTAATACGAAGTATTAAGATCCCTTGTAGCAACAGCGTCTAGATGGCGACGCAAAGCCCAAATGTCAAGTCGACGCACTGCCAACTGACACAACCAAAAGTACTGAGTCGACGCACTGCCAACTAGTAAACCAAAATGCCGCGTCGACGCACTGCCAACTAACAGCCAATATCCAATGTCCAAAACCCGAGCACAACTTGTCGACGCACTGCCAAGCAAGAAGTGTGGAACCAAAGTTCTCAAGTCGACGCACTGCCAACTGACCAAAACAACCCGAGCACAACTAGTCGACGCACTGCCAAGCTAGAGGTGTGGAACGATCTCAACAAAGCCCTAAGGCGACAACACTAAATGCCGCGACAATACCAGATGCGGCGAATCCGACTTTCTGATGTCTCAAACTCAAACTCAAATCACAGTAGCTACAAGTGCTCAGGGAGCAACTCGTCGCGACCGGGCAGGGGTAGCAGAACTTCTTAGGGTGGAATCACGCGGCACGCAAATTGTACAAAACAATCTGAAATGAGTGTGATTCACAGTCCGGGGGAAAGCTCCCTAATACAAAGAGACGACGTGCTACTTATACTGTCTACGACGCTGCTTAGTAAAGTCCTGTACAACTGCATAGTAGCTACGCTATCTAAGATCGGTTGCCTTTTAGGGTAATTGAAAAGTTGAACGATCGGACAGGCCTTGAGTGATCAGGACCCCGCCCCATCGTCCATATGATGCTTTTGATGTGGGCCAACCCACCGCGTCATACTTTTGGAATACGACGTGCTGGATTGGCCAACGGGTATGTCTTGGCAAGTGAGACCAACGTGGGCGCCCCAAGAAGCCGTATGGCCCTAGGCACGCCAGTCGTCTCCCACATGGCTTGGTTCACGGATCTAGCCGTGTCGATGTCTAGTGCGTTTGGGTATGGGCGCGACTCGCCGTGACACTTGGAAGTGTCACTGCGACGCGTCCACAATGTCCCGTGATCGAATGGATCCTGACATGTGACAAGTCGTCATCGTGGCATGATCTGAGGAAACGTTCAACTCAAAACCGGGAGTTGCCGCGACAAGATGGTTTAAGTCTCGTAACGCCAAGTCCTGTCCAGTAGTAGTTCTATTATTGAGAATCGTCGCACATTGCTCAGCCCTTCAGCCCAAGTTCCCATCTGCAGAGAATGACCCTTTTGAGAAGTCGACGCAACGACAGATCCCCTTTCTGGGGAATGGTCGCGGTCCAAGCGTTCGTCACTAATGGCCCTGAGCCTGGTGTAGACTCATAAGACCAGTTCCACAGTAGTGGTCTGACTGCCTTGCTATCGTCGACACTATCCACAGTCGTCGACTGGGCAGTAGACCCATAAGTCCTACTGAGCGCAACACTGTCAACCGCGACGCGATACACCGAGTGGTTCAAGAGTAAACTCTGTAAAAAGCGCAAAAATACGCCCTTACAGAGTTGGTGCAGAGCGCGTCTGGTAGCCAGCCTATCACCGGTCTATCAGGAACGTGTCAAGACGACTCAATCACAAGCCCGGATTCATCACCAGGGGGATCGCGATGACGTGGTCTTGAATACTGCCCAGATGCAAGATGCCTTGTATCTCGAGACTTTTCGGATTGACGCACTGCCCCGAAACCTCGAAATGGTCGTTCACGAGAGTGCCGCCAAAGAAATGTCGCTCCGGCAGGGCTCAAAGGGCCGAACAAGCGCCCCAGCATTACCGTCGGTCACTGCTGCTCGTCCCATTCCGATGGCTGCTCGTCCAGCTCGGATGACATTGCCAAGCGGTGCCAGATTGCCGTCGCACTCAAGTGTGCAGATTCACCACCCCGGATCGCCGCACGGATCTTCCTCTCTCTCACAGATTTAACAGTAGATCATCATTTTTGAATGTAACACAGGTTCTGGATATCTTGTAGACATGCCCGGAGTCGCTTGTTTTCGCTCCGACTTTCATGATACCGACTCTTCAGTTGATCAAACGACGGCTGCCACTCTTCCAGCAGGCTCTTGATTGTGTGACCATCTGTGGGATACCGCCTGAACCGCTCAATAACGTAGATTTCGAAGGGCGAAAGTTCCACAAAAGTCCAGGGCTGCTTTGCGAGATCGACATTCGGTTCTGTGGCTCGGATGAATATGAGATTGTAACAAGGATGAGAATCATGCACTGTTGAACGTAGGCACTCATTGAGCGATAACAGTCTCCTGCGTCGCAGTCTCCTCCGTCTTGATGACGCGCTCATCCTTCTGCTCCGGTTTGACATTCGGGTGCGTTCCTAAAGTTGTGCGGTCTGCCGGGGCTGGGTGGTGCTTTGAATCAGAGAAGTGACCATGTGCAGGTCAAGCTCACCGTGACTGTTCAGGTCGTCAAATGGAAAGAACTGAGAGTCCGTGATCTGGGTGTTCAGCGCTCCGGCCCCAGACAATGGATCCGGGATATCGAGATAATATCTATGGGGGGTGAGACAATGCAGAGGATAGGATCATGAGAACGCACACCTGGCATTGGTTTTACAAGTGCGCTGAGATGTGAATCGACTGCGTGTGGAAGGCGGAGGGGACAAGTGATGTTTGTAGTTGTTTGACATGTCCTTGGGCATGATGGCGGGACTCCTCTCGCTTGTGCGCTCATAGCGTCCCGGTTTTATACCTTTTCCGCTGTCACAAAACGTGCCACAACGTGTTTGGAATCAACAAACGCGCGCGACGCGCGTTTGTTGATTCAACAGACGCGTGCGCTGACTGGATATAAAGGTGCCCACTCACATTAAACTCACCTTGAATCTCACCATGCAAGAGACTTCGAATGACTCCCTCCCCCCTGTCCATCGCAATGCAGATCGTTGGGGACCAGGTTCCCTTCAATACTCGTTCCCTCCCAGCTCACCCACTCCGGCACCAGGTCTCACCGCTTTCCCCTCAAACCCGACGCCGCTCACTCCTTTGACTCCTCCGCCTCAGTCTGCATTGCCCAGTGGATCTGACCTCGTTGGTACTGTCATGTTGGACCAAATCGCGAATCACTGGAAGTTGGATGCGGAAGACAAAGACCGATTGCGGTTCTTTGTGCGCGTACGTTCTGCATCGCATCCTCGTATCTTCTATCTCACTCACTGACCATTGTAGATTGGATCTCTGGGACCTGGGCTCTCATTACCTGCTCTTGCAACGGGCCTGTACTCGCTGGCTGCCAAGCTGGGCATCGCAGCTGCGGCCAGACGACTTCAAGAGAAGGAACAACGGGATTATCACACTGTTATGCGCGACTTGGAGATTCGACTGGCTGATACATTCACTTTGACCACTCCTCAGAAGGTACGTCTTGAGTACAGTGCCTGTGTAACATATGAGAACTGACCGACAATCAGGAAAACGTGCGCTCTGTCATTGCGAGCCACATCTTCGATGCCCAACAAACGTCATTCTCAACGTTACATCTGGATGTGATGGTGAGGGCCTCCCATCCGTGTACGAGCTTCTGTTGCTGACCAAACTATTCCAGGCGCATCTTCAAGTACATCAGCAACGGCTAGACCTAGACAACATCCTCGGGCACCTCAGTTACCACCGCCAACCCCCCATATAGACCCCGCGGGAGACCTCCTGGGTACCCTTAGACGTAGCTCTATGGGTACCCAGGAGGTCCCCCCCCGCGGGGGTACAGGGGGCAGCTGGCCATTTTGGGGCAGGGGGATGGGCGGGGGTCAGGACGGGGGTCAGGACGGGGGTGCCCATACATACCATGTGACTTGTCCATAAGAGCGGGCAGCTGGGCGGGAAAAAAAAAATCAATCACATGATGCACCAAATGGGCGGGATGGCGGGAAAATCACGTGATGAGCTGCAGGAAAAATTTCAAAATGGCGGGGGTTGGCAGGGGCGTTGGCGGGGGCGCTACCGCCCCTCCCGCACACTGCAGCGGGCAGTGGGCGCATTATCACGTGACTTTTTGGGGGCCCCTTTTTGCACCATTTGGCATGATTTTGAAGGTGCTGCTTGATAGATTGCATGTTGTGGCAGACAGTGGGCGCAAAATCACGTGATTTTCCGCCAAAAAAAAAAATGGAAGCCTCTCTAAATCATCCCAGTATAATTTCCATAGGTAAATACACTAATTGACCATGCATTTGAGCTTAGAAAACCCCAAATGCACCCTGCACAATAGGATTGTTGATGCGCTTGATCCCATCATCTGGCAGGGTCTGCCGCGGGGTCAGTCTGGCATATTCTATATTTGACCTCCTTTAGCCGTAGCAGTAGTGCTGCTGACCACCAGGGCAAGAATACAAACATTTATGAAATATCTTATCAAGGTAGACAAAGCCAATAGGGAAGGTGAAGATGTGTAACTGGATATTGCAATTGATGCAGGGCCCAGTGCGGGGTCTGGTGCGGGGTCTGGTGCGGGGTCTGATGCGGGGTCTGGTGGGGGAGCAGGGGCAGGGGTGGATTACACAAAATTTTGATGTATCTACTCTGGCTAGGGTTGTAGAATATCACGTAACTTTTCTCTATTTTGGCAGGGAATGGGGGATAAAGATACACAACATTGCCCGCATGTTTTGGCTGGGTCTCCAGGTCAAGTCATGTGATTTACCAATGTTTCGGTGGGGGGTAGGAGATTAAAGCATGGTTTTGCCAGTACATTTTGGTGGAGTTTGTGGCTTCAAAAGATGCTAACATATTAAAAAATGCGCAACTACATGTGTTCAGCAAATCCCCAAGGGGGTTGTCCAGTCACAGCTACATTGATCAGCAGGAATAGTCATGGCTACTGCTCCCCTTCCAAACAGCTGAAGTGGTCCTCCCGCTTTTTAAGGATGACTGCATCTCCAATGTTTCACTCTCTTTAATAGCATATTTGATACAGCTGTTACAAGCATCATTTGCTGGATTGAATATAACCTGTGAACATCACATTGAGACACTGTAATGAGTGTGCTAATACACAGAACCCTGACAAAGAATTGCGCAGAAACCTTGTGAATACAATTCTTGCAGGGGATTGGGCGGGGTTGACTGCGGGGGTGCGCCAGCCCCTGCTGGCCAATCAAATGTGGAGCGACCAGATGAACACACATAGAAACACATTCCCATGCTTTTATACTGCAGCCCAAGCAACTTCATGGTTACCTCTACCCAATTCCAACAAAGGAACTCGACTGCTCTTGTTTCTGGGCGACAATTGATTTTACAAGCTTGGGTGGGTTTTGCACGTTCCAGTGAGAACAGAGGTTGTCTGGTAGGAGGTAGGGGACCGAAACATTGTTAGAAACGATATTCAAGATGACCAGAGGCTCACATCTCTTTAAACTGGCCCGTATCCCACATTATAAATCACACTATACTTTGGATTTATTTCGTATTTTTGAATCGTTACAGGGTCCAGCACTCCCCAGATTTTGTTCAGGCATTGCCAAAGGGTGTATCCTTCGGTTGTGTGAAGTTGGGCCCTTGCAGAAAATATATTTTGCGCAATATGCAAAGTGAACCATGTTGAAGTGTTCTCTATATAGGAACATTGAGTCACTATGAGCTGTTTCCATGTTTCGAATTTCGGGCTGACAGAGGACATGAAGTGGCATTATATTCAACAAGAACAGCATAAGGAGACATAATTCCGATGGTTTTTAGCAGCATATATGTAAAAACAGTCTCAGAAGAGCAAAACATAGTTAGGTACGACGTTTATACAGGTCCTGATTGGCTACTGACTTGATGTGTTCCGGGCTGTCACTTTACATAATATTACATATTCGGAGATGGCAGGGGCTGAGGCACCGGTGTGGCGGGGGTGATGGCGGGGGTCAATCAGTGGCAGGGTAGTTGCGGGGGTGCTGGCGGGGGGGCGGGGGTGAAGGCGGGGGTGCAGGCAGGTGGTCATGGCTGGGGTGGGTAGAGACTCATTGGTAAAAACAATCAGCCATGTGTTTGCAGTTGGTCTTCCAAAAGATACAAGCCAAGACACAAGTTGTTAAGAGTTTACATGTCAAATTTGCACTGATAACCAAGCTCTGACTATTGTGGGACAACTTGCCAGTAAATACATCCTCTCACATCACACCGAGTAATGAATATAGTTCACCTCAAATCCACTCTATTTAATGAATTCATGCTGAAACCCAAGCAGATCGCTTGCAAGGGAACACACAAGTTTCAGACCTCAAGTGCATTCAGCCAGGAAGGGGGGGATGAGATGTGTACCTAATATGTTCTATTACAAGCTCCAAAAATGGATACCACTGTGCTACACATATATATTAAATGGGTAAAGCAAACAATCAATGAGTGGAGTGTGGACCCTGGTCTGCCAATCTACTATGCCACCCATCCTGCCAGCCAAAAAATGAGAAAATCACATGTTCTGCTTGACTTCACATGCCATGGATTATATAGGTAACATCATCCATTAATCTCCTACCCCCCACCGAAACATTGGTAAATCACATGACTTGACCTGGAGACCCAGCCAAAACATGCGGGCAATGTTGTGTATCTTTATCCCCCATTCCCTGCCAAAATAGAGAAAAGTTACGTGATATTCTACAACCCTAGCCAGAGTAGATACATCAAAATTTTGTGTAATCCACCCCTGCCCCTGCTCCCCCACCAGACCCCGCATCAGACCCCGCACCAGACCCCGCACCAGACCCCGCACTGGGCCCTGCATCAATTGCAATATCCAGTTACACATCTTCACCTTCCCTATTGGCTTTGTCTACCTTGATAAGATATTTCATAAATGTTTGTATTCTTGCCCTGGTGGTCAGCAGCACTACTGCTACGGCTAAAGGAGGTCAAATATAGAATATGCCAGACTGACCCCGCGGCAGACCCTGCCAGATGATGGGATCAAGCGCATCAACAATCCTATTGTGCAGGGTGCATTTGGGGTTTTCTAAGCTCAAATGCATGGTCAATTAGTGTATTTACCTATGGAAATTATACTGGGATGATTTAGAGAGGCTTCCATTTTTTTTTTTGGCGGAAAATCACGTGATTTTGCGCCCACTGTCTGCCACAACATGCAATCTATCAAGCAGCACCTTCAAAATCATGCCAAATGGTGCAAAAAGGGGCCCCCAAAAAGTCACGTGATAATGCGCCCACTGCCCGCTGCAGTGTGCGGGAGGGGCGGTAGCGCCCCCGCCAACGCCCCTGCCAACCCCCGCCATTTTGAAATTTTTCCTGCAGCTCATCACGTGATTTTCCCGCCATCCCGCCCATTTGGTGCATCATGTGATTGATTTTTTTTTTCCCGCCCAGCTGCCCGCTCTTATGGACAAGTCACATGGTATGTATGGGCACCCCCGTCCTGACCCCCGTCCTGACCCCCGCCCATCCCCCTGCCCCAAAATGGCCAGCTGCCCCCTGTACCCCCGCGGGGGGGGACCTCCTGGGTACCCATAGAGCTACGTCTAAGGGTACCCAGGAGGTCTCCCGCGGGGTCTATATGGGGGGTTGGCGGTGGTAACTGAGGTGTCCTCGGGATCCCCACTCGAGTCAAATGCTTGAGTCAGTTTGTCAAGCGTCAATGTTCGGGATTGCGGAATAGTCTCTGCACAGATGTATGTTCCTTCTGCTCCCTCACACGTCTCGCTCCTCATGTGTTGCCGACAGCTTGTTGCAAGTATCAACGCTAAGACATTCTGCAGCCTTGCTGTATTCGTCAATAAGTCCGCGCGCAAGTACAAAGGGATTGAGTTGACGGAGGAAACATCAGATCCGTACATTATTCAGGTGGCACTACTGGTGAGTAACATCATCACACTGCGGCCCTAATTGTCACTCTTCCGTGTAGCGCCGCTTTGTATTTGATCACCCCACCCTTTCGAAGACACCCAAGGAAAGCGAGGATGAGGAGGATCAAGATTTCGAGGAGATCGAGGAACGTCCGAAGAAGAGGGGTCGCACAACGAAGGGAGCAGACTTTTGGGGTCAAGTTGAAGAATGGTTCAAGGCAGAGATATCCAAGCGTGGATCGAGTTTTACCACCCCGGCGTGGAAAGAGTGAGACTGGTGCCATGTCAAATCACACCGCAAGCGCTGACTGTCCAACAGGTACATTGATCAGATTCTCAAGGACGACCGGGACACGTTCAAGGGCTTGATCCCAGGAGCCACTGTCCGTGTCAATATCCCAAGATGCGCAGAACAATCTGGGCGCGAGTGCGATCTGGGAGCAGGATCAACACCTTTCACTCCCCAATCTGAGATAGACGATGCCACCTTCTTTTCCATGCTTGAGAATGCTAGTGGTGTTCATGATCAGGCTGGTAGCAATAGTTTATCTCTCTATAATGTATCTTAATAGAGTAGTCTCAGAGGACAATTAAAGTGCACGCTCCGGCGTGCTCGCTCACAGTATTATGTGACATTCCTGTGACTTGTGATATTTCTTCCTTCCGACCATGATCATGCTATTTCGCAATCGCTGTTTGATGCTGCTGGCTCCCCTGCAAGATCTTTCAAGCTTACGTCTCGCAGTCTCATCAAGGACCTCAAAGCTGTCGCAAGACTGCACAGACATCAGTCAAAGTGATCTGGGATCGTGTCTGGACAGCCTCCAATTGTCAAGCCTTCAATCGTCAAGTCTCCGATCTTCAAGGCTCAAGGCTCCGATCTTCAAAGCTCAAGCCTCTTCTCTTCAACTTCAAGAGCATCGCCACAAGATTTCAACGCATAAGTCGCAACTCATCAAGTCTCACAAGTCCTCTTGTGCGCGCAAACGGCTCCAGGTATTGGAGTCTCGGTGAAGGAGGCGGGCTTGGAGGCCAGACGAGACAGTGAGAAGCGAAATGTGTCTAGAAAGCGAGGTGTCATGGTGCGTTGTATCTCAATCCCGACTGCTCTTTGATCTTGACTTTCTATCCCAGTGGTAGTTGTCCGCCAAAGAACCGTGCAGTAATTATATCATAGCTCCTTCAGAGTACCAGTCTACCGTTCTCTTCCAATACACTGCATTTCCTTTGTATCTCACATTTGAGCCTGCGCGCTGCGCAGGACCACCCGCTGTAAGAGTCCCGAAACAGCCCGAGACCATTGATGGCAGACCGGTCCAGACGCCTCACGTGACCAGAATGAACGATGGATGGCCAGTGTGGAGTGAACGAGGCACATTTTGAGAGTGAACGAGAGCCATTCAACAGGGGATTGAATCTCGTCATGGCCTTACAATTTGATCGCAGATTCACGTCTAAATTAAACTGGGGACATGTGTCCAAAACATGCACAGCGTTCATCAAACTAGCCTCCCTGTGTAGATATGGGTTAGTGTCATAATTCGATCATTTTCCCATCATTTCATCACTTGATCATTTTATCTTGATCTCAGTTCTATATAAGTAATTTATAAAGACGAAGGGGAACAATGCTAATGATGCCAGATCTGGGGGTCCGAGTTGATGAAGGCGATTTGCTCTGTAGAGACTCAGCATCAACAAGAATCTAGGCGAGCAAAGCAATTACCCTCCCGATAAGTGTCAGGGATCATGGTCATATTATTTCCGTTGAGTTGGAGGATAGACTGTAAGAATCGAATTCGTGTGACTCGTGATATTTCCGTGAATCGATGAATTACCTTTGCTGCGGGAGTGAATTGTTTCCATTCTGGACGCTTGGAGCCGATCCCGTCGTTGGGGGTAAGACTCGTGGCGAAGGAAATCCAGTAGTCCATCATCACTCGACTGAGCAACACGGACGAAGTGGATGTATCATTTAGTCCCCCCAAGATGTAATCAATTTCAGATCCGTGCTCGACTGGACAGAAGGCTCTGTATTCAGGGCTGCGTTCCATTCCAGATAATTTCAGCACTCACCGCCGAGTTGAGGAGCGAGTTGCGGCTGGGGCTCCGTGAACAAGTAACCGTACGTGGGAACACTCGCGTTGGCTGCTGCGTTGATCCAAAAGCGCCGCTGCGAGTGGAAATCCATATCGCCATCTAGGGAAATCAATAGGGAAAGACAACACGGTCAAAGCAGCAGGATTCCATACCGATAGCTGCGTAACGTTTATACTGGCTGCTCAGACCGAACGTCTCGTTTCCAGTTCCAAATGGCGACTCTGAATTGTGGCAGTCAACATGGGATGCAGAGCAGTCCGAGAGGGATAGCACAGACGCAGTGAGGGATCATCTGGGTAGAGCTCGAGAATTCTCACGATTGCAGCTTGAAGCTCTGCAGGCGAAGCCGCAGGAGAGCGACCAGCGATCATTGTGGCGTTGATTTCAGCGGTGGAATTCATCTGCGTCGAGGTAAAATACGTCCCTAGAGTGGGATGAGCAAGCCAGGCAGATGCGTAACTCTCTGTGTGACTTACCCTCATCCAAGTTTGTCCCAGCGATGAAAGGAATTTTGGAAAATTTCCCTTTCAGCAAAAGACTCGAAGGGAGTTCGGGGATCAGACCGCCCGGGCCATCGATTGCCGGGTCCCAGGGGAAGTTCTCACTCGCATGCGACATAGAGAAGAGGAAGGCGTTGAGCATTTCCGTTGTGGTCGCATTCCTGAGACAAGAAAACGTCGAATTGGTGCCTGCGAGAGTGGCGCAGGAAGGTACGGCGCCTACGAAGAGGCTCCAGACATTGTCTCGCCGAGCGGGTTCGAACATCCCTCCGCCTGACGACTGAGATCCAGATTCGAATATCTATGACTCGTTTGAGTACCCTTTGAGGCAAACATTGACGTAGAGAGATTGGTTACCGCTGCCCGAACAAGTTTATCCATTCGAGGGTTCAAGAACTGCATCGAAGTCATCATGCTTCCGGCGCTCTCTCCGAACGCGAGGACCTTGTGCTTGTCACCACCAAAGTTGCCGATGTTCTTCTGAACCCATTCTAGAGCAGCCAACTGGTCTCTGAGCGCGAGGTTCAGAGAGCCTTCATTCAGAGCTTCTGTTCCTTGAGGGAACCCGAGAGGCCCGAGTCGATAGTTGAAATTGACGAGAATAATGGGAGTTCCCTACGACACGCGTTAAAAAAGGTTCACGATTCGAATTGGATACTATCACCCTTTCCACACTACGAGAAACAAGCGCACTGGCGTTGTAAACCACAGAGGAGCCCACGAAGAAACCCCCGCCGTATCTGTGGACAGATGACCTGTTTGCAGCAGCTTGATGATTCGATCAGAGCAATGCTTACGTCCAGAACATCTGCAGAACCATCATTAGCTCAATGTGGAGGAACACCGTGCATGCACAGCCAGGGAACATACCACAGGGAGTTTTGAAGTTGAATTCACACCGATAGGACGGACGACGTTGATGGTCAAGCAGTCTTCCGAGATTGCGCTGCCGACGGGAACGCTCTGGACGCGGATCGTCAACACGATCTCCGCATCGTCTGGTATGTACTTACATGCGGGCTGTCGCCACCCAGCGGTTGAAGACACGACGGTCCGAACTGGGCGGCATCAAACGAGGAGCCGTTCAAGGACGTTGTCAGGACCGGAGGCTTGAACCGAAGCTCTCCGATTGGCGGCTCAGCGTACGGGATACCTGGTGGCATCTGTTTGAGTCGCAGCAAACAAAAGCCTGAGCGTGACCTGCACCTGCGAAAAGCTCTTGTCCAAAAGTCGGCAGGGTCTTTCCGACCACGGTCGTCTTCCCGAGTCTGACTGAGGGGGCACCGCGGGCGCTGAGAGCGAAGAGGAGAAGAGTCGCCAGCATCGGTGGAATCATTGTAGAAGCGGGCAGACCAGCGGATTGCTGACTGCGTTGGTGGAGCTCACGACATGCTGAGCTCTGCTTAAATACCTTGCTCCAAGGCGTGGGACAATACTGAGGTTTCCTTGCCACCGCGAATCGGCGCAGCACACAGGTCAGCTCTGTGTACAAGCACTTCCTTACGCAACGACGCATGATGGGGTCCGGCACGGTGGCTCATGGATCGGATGAATTTTAACTAGCCACTTTGGTTGCGACTTCTCCGTGGCCACGGACTCGCTCACTTTCTCGTCCAATTTTGGCAAGAAGAACGGGTTTTTGTTGAACTTTCTTCCGTAGTGGAATTTACCTCAGCATTCGGAAGCCGATCCGAAAGACAAAACTCATGTGAGAAACTTGTACTTGATTACGACAAGCCAGCTGGCCGAGTCCGGTCGCTCGGGAGCTGCCATGCCGTGCCATGATTGCATATATAGGACAGCGCCAAGCGAGTCGTCTGGCTCTCGGTGAAGATCCAATTGACGAGAATTGCACATGTTCCCACACAGACCACGCCATTCTTTCCCATGAGTCAGCGGACAGGAATTCGATGTCTGTCAGTAAAATCTCTACTGAACGTTTTAAAATGCCTTTGTATCACCCCGTCTTCGGTCTGTGCAACGAAACACATGAAATCCAGAGCAGCACAATGGATTAAAAAGAAAATATATTTGCAATAAATCCAGGTCATATCGACTGAACGCCTTCGCTCGAGTTACCATAAAGCCAAAAATCTGGGTAAAAGATGTCCTGAATCGGAGGAGCTACAGAAAGCCGAAGAGTACGGAATTTCCGGGAGGACAGAGGCAACACAGACCGATTTCCGCTCCCTAAACATCACAAATGGAAGTGGGGGATTCTTAACAAGACTTTGACATTCAAGCGAACGGCGATATACTCCTGCCGTCATGGCAACTTTTCGACGGCCGAAGGGAGATGTCCCGCCCTAGGAACTCAGAACGTGCAAACTGCTCGACAAAACATGGTCTCAGCCCCAGGAGAATAGGTAAGTAGCCATTCCGATGTAAGGATTGTTGTGAAGGGCAACTATAACGTGGATCTGAACCCCACATTCGCAAAGTCTAAATCCGAATTTTACAAATCGAAATCACGCGAAATTCATGGGAACGGTTGGCGAACCGTGAGGTCAAATCGAAAGAGTCATGGTCTGAGCCGAGCATACCGCGAATTAATCAGAAACTTGACTCAATATATCATCAAACACCGCTGAGTTTCACATAGACCGCTGCGATTTATGGACACCCAGAGCATTCTGAATGTATCGTCTCAGTAGTTGTGTACGCGGGCAGAAGAGGCCTACAAAATTTCAGATTTCATACCTCAGCCTTACGGCTCATGTGTACACTGTTCAGAATAGGAATATTGGGCATTGTCAGACGTTGAGGAAAAACACCATCGTCAGAATGCCCGTAAGGAACATTCACAGACACATTGTAGAGAAGAACCTTAGGTCCAATCGCCAGACCCGAAAGTCATGTCAGAGAAGGGAGAGAATCCCATCCGCAATCCGTTCGAAAGTCGATTGGAAGCGTGGGCCACGGCGATGGAACCCTGCTCGGGATCATGGGCAGCAATGAAATCTGTTATGTCCGCAAACAGTAGCTCGAGTTCCGACCCCAAGCAAACGCACAGAAAGGAATAGAGCCTGGTCTACGCGGGCCAGTTGCATGCTAAACAAAGAAGTAGTGTACTCACCTCCGCCAGCCTGCAGAAACTTGACGCCGTTGACCTGGTCGCACGGCAGACCGCAGCTCTAGCTCTCGTGCGAGGCGCCGGAGCAGTAGGCTGCGCGCGCAAATTGAGCGGGGCAGAGAAGCGTAGAGTTAGCAGTAGCCAGGGAGAGTAGCGCTGGGGTGGCCTTGCTCTCGGGCGCGCCGAAGGTGTGTCCAAAGAGGGAGAAGGGCAAAGCGGTGACTGTGACCGCGCATGCGATTAAAGAGAGTGTGGTGGCAAGCATACTGTAAGATCAAGGAGCGACTTGCACGAAATGAGTCAGCGCTGCCGGACAAGCAAGGGAATCGAAAGGAGCGTGAGGCAGAAGGGCGATTCTAGAGGGTTCCCAATTTTGAGGGGGCTCTAGTTCCATAATAGCCTTACCATGAATCAGATTGGATGGATCATTTGCATCTTGGCGGGAGACCTTCAACGACTTACACAGATAAACTTCGCACAGTACCACGATCATGCCATGGGTCAACTCGGATGACGAACGGGTCAGGCCCGCGGGTGTTTCACACGGCGGAGCTTCACCGTACCCACCCGGGTGAGCATATAAGGGTGACCCGGGTTTGGACATTCAGTGAGCGACGGTCCATACAGAGTAAGACCCCCACACGGCGATAGGCCACAAGAGCTCCAAACAAGTGCTTATTTTGTGGTTGGGTGAGGGTAGCAAGTGTCACGGTGTCACGATTCCATGATTGTCACTGCCGATAGCTCACCCGCACTCCAGATGTTGCTCCTGTTCGAAGCGGTACTGATTCATGAATCTTAGGGTGAAAGTAGATGTAATAAATATACTGCATGTGGATACGATATATACGAAGAGCGGGAAACATCAAAGGAGTGAGTGAGGCGTGCAATACAATCGAGTCCGTGGCTGAAGAGCGCAGTACAGCACGATAAGTGAGAGATAGATATATGCGATGTCATGAGATTGTCTGGGCACTGCGGGGTGCGGGCCATCGTCCAGTGCATATACTACATTCATATAATCACTAGCAGGGCCAAATCACAGGCTGCGTCGCACATGATTGTCCATCCAGAGAATGGGATGGATGCACGGAATTAGCCTGGGCTCGGACGGAGCGCAAGATACCGAAAGGCCTCGCGGCGGATCGGGGATGATTGGGGCCAGGAATCAGCTGGCTCGACAATTAAGCACCGGCAGCGATGGGGATCGAGGCCCGGTGATGGTGGTGCGGCAGATGGATGTGTGGGACGTGCAGAACCCGAAGCAGCCCGCTGAGGCGGCGTGAGTGGTGCCGATGATGCCCGTGCTCGTGCTCGTACTTCTTAGCGTGCGGTGCAGGCTGGTCGACATCCATGTCGGTCGTCGACGGTGTTCGAGGCGACGACGAGTAGGTGCTGGAGGGGCTCGACGGCTCGAGGGTCGGCACGCCGGTGCCGTGGTACTCCGATTCCGGAGCGGGTGTGATCTCGATCCTGGTAGCAGCAGCAGCAGCAGCAGGAGTTGCGACCGGAGGCATATCTTCGTCGGGGAGCCCCATAACGCCTCCCCAATGCATGAGGATCTCCTCCTCGCGCACGCCAAGATCCCAGTTCAGCACCTCGAGAAACTCGCGCTCAACGCGCCCGACGTCGCGCTTGCCGAAGACCCCGCTGCACAGCGCCCAGTGCGCGTTGCGCAGCGTGCTGTCCTGCGTGTACTTGCTTGCGACGACCAGCGCGCCGAGGAAGACGCGCTCGAGCGCCCACTCGGGCGAGGCGATGGCGAGGTGGGGCCGTGCGCGCGCAACATATGCGAGTGCCACGAAGACAGTAGCCGGGCTCACTTCGGCGCGGGACAGCATGAGCTTGACGAAGAGGGTGAATTTGCCGACGAGGGTGGGGCTAGGGCCCAGGGTGATAGCCGAATGGGGGTCCGAATCCCGGGTGAGGGCGTAGGTCACCGTTTCGACGATGCACTCGACAATGTAGTCTGAGGTGGAAGACTCAGCTCGTTATACACAGGATGAAGACATGCAAGTCCGTACCTATAACAGACTGTGTGAACTCCATATCAACTAGCTGGAGGATTGCCGAGGAGTGTGTGGTAGGATCCACCAGCGAGGCAGGATGGACGGGCGAGCCCGAGCTAGTGGAAGAGGCAGGTGACCAAGAAGAGTAATCGACAGTCGAGGACATGGTGATAGACAGTATTGGGGGGCTGGGCTGGACGGACGGTGGTTCCGGTTCTTGCTGCGATCCAACCGGTTATATACCCCCGCCATCTCGACGTGGCTTACCGGGATGCTGACGAAGGGTAGAAGAAAGAGCCGAGGGAAGTGCTTGCCTGCCGCTGCGGAAAAACGGTCATAAGTGATGACTGTGCGCAGCCTGGGCACAGCATGCGACCCGTTTTAGGCTTGGGCTGGCGCAAATTCCCACGATGATGGGCCAGCCAGCTGCGCAAAGCTGTCGAGCCTGCGGATGCGTAGGCAGAGCACAGAGCGCGGTTGCTGCCTGAAGATCTAGAATGTGCAATCTGTCAGTCAATTCCGGCGAGCGTGTTTCAGTGGAGTCCGTGCCACACACAGCATATCCGTGAAATTGCCAAGTGTGCACGGCGAAATGCGGGCTCCGGGCTGGATTCGCTTTAACCCGCACGTTGAGAGCAACGCTGGCGAGCCATGACGACCTGAAGTTTTCATCCTCTCAGACACGTGTGGTCCGACAATAAGCGTGCAGCTGCCATATGGGATGAGTCGGAGGAAGTGATGGCGCATCAGCTCCCCCATCACGCTTCGTCAGCGCGCTCGGTTTTATTATAAAGATGCTGGAATGCTTGGTCAATAGAAGCGCCAAGGCTTGTGTGTGCTTAAAGAGTGGACATAAGCACACTGGAACCTGGATGACCTTGGCCCATCCTCCCTGGCAACGTCAGTGGCATTCTTCCTCTTGGCCTAGTTCCCCTGACTGGAGGCCTAAGCAATCCTCAGACAGGGGCACGTGTACCGCCACTGATACCCCGGATGCTGACACTCTGGGGGTGACAGTCGATCCGACTCGGCCCGGAGTCATCTCGGAGACGTAAGCAGCGTGGGCTCAATGAACGGCAGAATCTTGAGCGCACGGCCCGCCTGACCCCGACATCGCGCGAACGATCGATCGGTGGCGAGAAACACGACGAAGATCGCGGAGAAATCGAGGCGGAGGCGGAGGTGGATGGATACACATCCCAATTCCGCATCCAGCTGACTGAGCTCACTCATCTCATGCTGCTTTCAGCACACCGCCCGAGACAGCTCCGTTTGCCCATCTCATTTCGAATGCTGAGGGATCTGCTCATCGACACGACACACACGCCAGCGCGCGAAACTTCACACGCGTCCAGGCCTCCCACCAGATCAGTCCGTTGATCGATCGTCCCAGGGTTCGTGGGCCCGCAGCGACGAACTCGGATGACTCAAGCCAAGGCCCCGCAGACACAGATCACAATCCTTTCGCCGCCTCGGCCCAGGCCTCGGCGGCTCGTTTCTTGCGGTTTTAGACGCGCTGGCCGGCGAGACCGGGGTAAGATCCCCACCGAAGTCCTTGGTTCGCGCCTCGTGACTGGGAGCACCTGCCGTTTTACACAGTTCGCCATGTTGTGCTTACTACTCTGCCCTTGGAAGGCTGTCGTCGAATCTGGCCCGAAGCTACTTGGGGACTGGCATGAAAGGGAAGGGAAGGGAATCATTGCTCTAAAAGTAAGTAATGTGTAGTCAAATCTCGGATCTTCCCGCTGGTCCCTTTGGGAATCATTCCTCCAGTCTGTGATGAGGCTTCGTCACCAGAAGTCGGGGAGTTAAGTTGCACTGGCCAATGTGTCTGTGGTCAGATCGGTTGGCGGGCCATGGGTGACGCTCAAGCTCACCGGTCGTCGTGCAGCAGTACTCGAGCCTGACTCCTGAGCTTGCATTGACAAGCTCGTCGGTCTCTGATCTACCCGCGAAGGCAAATGAGCGTGAGTAACAACGCAAGGATGCCAGTCACCAGCCCCTGCTTCGACTATCCAAATGCGCGTAGGCTTTAGCGGACTTTGTGGACAGCAATGTTGTTTAAACACTCGTGACTGCAAATGAGGGGATATGAATGGCGCGTTCACACTTCCATATGCCTATCTGCGTCTCGAGATCGGAACACGTCCCAGCAACGATACATGAATCGAGTCGAAGGAAGTCTAAAATTATCGAATATGGAGTTCTTCCCAGCTAGGAGCTTGAACCTGGTGCGGAATAGGTAAATTTGTCTCTCTGTAAGAACTCGAAGCTGTGGGGGATATTATAATCTATCTACCTTCTGTCTCTAGATACAATTCGGCCGCAGACAGAGTTGAGTGGTACCGCATCGCACAGCCCATTCGAACTATCACAGCTTCAATCGGGCTCTCCTAAACCCAAGTCTAAGCCTGTCTGCTTGCATGCCCCTCAGCTGATGGCATCACCTCGCCGGCCGAATTAAAGATCCACGGGAACGTCCCGCGACAGCGCTGCTCCCGCCGGATCAAGGCACTCCGCTGCGGCCGACACAGAGGAGCGGAGAGAACAGCGCCGGTGGGGGGCCAGGGGCGAACGCCGCGGTGCGCGGAGATATCGGACGATCGCGCATGACGAGGAGCCACCACTTCAGCCTGTGCAGGAAGAGCCAGATGCCGCAGTCCAATTCGCGCTTGCGCACATCGGAATTGTGGCTCCGCATGCTGACTCTCCGATGTTCATGCCGGGTCAGCATGCAGAAAAGCGCGTGAGACGTGTTGCCCCACCTCCCACGCAGGAGCGATCGATCCCGAGCCAGGTCGTTCAAGGCTGGGCGACGTGGCGAAACCACCTGCGGCTTCAAAAAAGAAGATCCGATCCGATCAATTCGTAATCTGATATGATAAGATCCATCTGGCTGGCTGCGCGCGCCAAAATAAAGACGTGTCATTCTTTCCGTTGGGGGAGGAGGATGGGGATCCCAATTGGTGGATATTTTCGCAAGCAGGCAATGGGTCGATGATGACTGTTTCAGCATCTCTTTACCCGTCCACCCGGAAAAAGACAGGAACCACCGCAGTCGGCGGCTCACGGGTGGCGGGAGCACTTTCAGGCTGTTCATCAAGCTCGGCCTTCCCTTCCACTGCCTGAGCTCGCCGAAACAAGTCGAAGCAGAGAATCCGCGATCGAGCCCCGGCGTCGTCGCGTGCTCTCTCTCCTCCCGTCCCGTGTTATACATGCCCCGGTATCGGTCCGGCAACAACGCCGCGAAAGCCTGAAAGTCTGCGCACCCCGCAACCGCACGACGTGAAATCAAATGCAAGTTCTCTGCCGCAGCAATCGAACGCAGGTTCGATTCGACGCAAACTGCTATGCTAGACATATATATTCCAGGAACTGAGGTTGCGAGCGGACAGGGGGCGGAAACAAGAAAGACAATAAGGAATGCGATATAATAGTAGGAGTGGCTGTGCCGATTCGAATTCGACCGGGAAGCCCAGGGGCGCGCGAGCCGTCGAGGCCAAAGCGCGAGACAGCGAGCATATATGCGTGTGTGAATGTATATGTACGTGGAGCATGCGTATATGTACGTGGGTGGGTGGGGCAAGCACTGTGGATCATGCCGCGCGGGGTCGTCACCATGGCGGCGCACAAAAAAAGAGACAAACGAAGGGCGCTTCTTCCTCGGAGGAAACACGGATCGTGACAGGCGGGTGTGTGGGTGGATGGTTTCGAGACGCCCGTAGCTCAGGCGACGCGGAATGAAGGGTGCCGCGGCAGGGGGAAGACACGCAGGAGGTCGTTCAGCTTCCCGCTGTGGTGATGGTGATGGGTGTCCACGTCGACCGGCACGTCTGGCGTGTGCGGCGGAGATAGGCTGCCGAGACTGCTGGCCGGACTGGAGGGTTCGAGCTCAGGGATCGGAACGACGACGAGGGAGGGGTGGCGCGAGCAGGAGTGCGACCGGTGGTGGTTGCGCACGCGGGCGGCGCCAGCGACGGGTGGGGAGGTGATGGGGATGGAGATCGCTTGGACAGCATGCGGAACATGCACAGGGACAGATGAGTATCCTGCCCCACAGTCGACCGCCTCGTCCCCATACGCAGCCCTCATCAGGCCCTCCCAGTGGCTGACAACATCCTCCTCACGCACGCCCAGGTCCCAGTCCAGCACCGCCAGAAACTCGCGCTCCACACGCCCGACGTCGCGCTTGCCAAACACGCCCGTGCACAGCGCCCAGTGCACGTTCTTGAGCGTCGAGTCGTTCGCGTACTTGCTCGCGACGACGAGCGCGCCGAGGAACACGCGCTCGAGCGCCCACTCGCGCAGCGCGATGCGCAGGTGCGGCTGCGCGCGCCGGATGTACACGAGCGCCACGAGGACCGTGCCCGGGTGCACCTCCGCGCGCGTCAGCACATCCGTCGCGAAGGCCGCGAACTTGGCGAGGTGCGGAGAGCGACGCCGGCCGCGGATGCCCGGGGGTCCGCCTGGGGGAGGAGGGCAGGGAGTGCGGGAGAGGGCGTAGTCGACGGTAGCGGCGACGCAGTCGACGACGTAGTCTGCGGAGAAAAGGGCTTCAGCGTCAGCGGTGGCGGGTATGGATGGGAGGGCGACGTACCGATAACAGGCCTCGAGAGCGGCACATCGACCAGCTGCATCATAGCAGGAGAGTGGGCTGACGGATCCACGAGCGATGCGGCATGCACGGGTGAGCCGGATCCCGACGACGATGAGGAAGAGGCGGATGCCGGAGACCAGGAAGAGTAGTCGTATCCGTGCATCACGAGGTTAGCTTATCCGCGGTGGGGATGGGGGGCGATTGGGGTGAGACAGCAGCAGCATCCTCACAAAATGGAGGGGGGTATATATATGCTGTGTGGTAGCGACACGGAGCAAAGCAAATTGAAGCACAGCATCGGGAAGGGGACCTGAATCGATCTGGCTTGAGGCAGGCTGACTCGGACTGATCGGCCCTGTCTACTCTATTTCCGGTCTGTAGCCGGTTCGCTCGGTGGCTCGGCTTCCCGATGGGCAAGTCATCCGATAGATAATCGATAATCGATTCGGCATCTTGCGGCCGTCAACCGCTCGAAAATCTTGGATCCAGGGAATATCTAGGTCCTACGTGCTCAGAGGACCATCGATCTGAGCAAGACTACGAGTTCAGCACTGCGGATCGTACCGCACAAACTCCGACTAGTGGTCGGTCTGAATCTCCACGCGAAAGCTTGTGCGAATCCACGTGCTGCGCCACCCGACGAACTTCCCACTCTTCCTTGGCACAACACGAATCTCGAGGGAACTTCGCGGAAATAAAGTACGCTTGATTGCCGGTTTCAGCACTCTGCAACGGACGCAGACACGTATTGCAGCTGGCAGACAGCCGGATGAGACTGGCCACCTCGGTGTTTTACATTCCAAGGTCCAAATTTTCGTGCGCGTTGACTTCCGAGCTCAGCGGACACGCACTTACCGCATACACGCAACCTGATACGCAACTGAATGGTCACGGCACTCAAGCGCATCCCGGCCTAAGCACATTCGAGTCATACTCAGATTCACACCGGAGACGCACGTACGTACGCACTCTGCAGTGTGGGAACGCGCAAAGACTCCCCATGACTTGGCTCTGGCCGAGTCATCTCGCTTGGCCGCCCACTTTCCCAGCCCAGAAAAAGAAGGTGGCGGAGACTGTCAAACATGACAGGCGTGGGTAACACATGATCCGGAGCCAAGGCTGCATAGCGAGCTCGGCGGGACAAGCCGCAGGTGCATACGGCACGCAACGTAAATCACCTGGCTCGGCAAGCGACACATGCCAGATCCACCGGCGGCAACTCAAGGGCATTGCCGCGTGCTCGTAGGCGCTGGGCGCGACGTTCGCTGCTGAACGAGTTATGTCATGGACATGGACTTACTGCTGCGATGCAGCCGTGCCATGCAAAAAGTTTACATAACAGAGTTTCACGCGTTTTGCGTCGTAGCGAGGCAACTGACAATGGGCGGCGACGCGCAGCCGATGGGTTACCCGGCAGGGCCCCACCGCAGGCAACGTATAGACGACTACATCATCATCTCCCCCGACTCCAGTGATAACAGTCGATACACTCGAACAGGTGGAGGGTCTGACCTGAACATACACCCCTGCGTGAGATGCCACAATTAATGACAAAAAATCCCTGTAATTCGCCTGGGGAATCAGCGCTGTATCGAAGGGAGCGCTAAAACCGGACCAAGGCGGGATTGTCGGCGAAGGGTTGCGGGTTCCGCATCTGGCATCTCGTCCGAGCCCGTTGAAACCCCAAAAAATATTAGAATCTCCTTCACGCGCTGATCTCCCCACTCCACTCTGCATCGGCCGCTCTTCCCACCGACGGGACGGGGAGATGCCTGAATGGCTGAATGGTTGTGGGCGGTGCCGCGTAACAACGCGCCTGGCGCTACATACATAGACGGACGGCCAGGGCCGGGAATTACCGAACATCGGCAAAGCAGGTGGATGTCTAAACTTGTCATCTGATTGCGTAGAGCGGCCGTCACCCGCCCACCGACCCGATATTTCGCTGGGCGTGCGATTGATTGCGTAGATGGAACCGAGCCGGTCAGTGGGTCATCCCATCGACAGGCATGAAATACTGGCTGTCTGTGCAGCTGTCGTCACCCCTGATGATGATGATGTTTTGAACCACGCATCGTTCATTTAGTGTAGGTAGACCGCCTGCCACTCGGCTCATCGGCGGCGATCCGAGAGGGCTATCGATGCTTCACGCGCACAACCTGAGGCTTGTCGGAACTCGGTTAAGATAGGCTTTTGGATGCTCGAATTCTGCGGTCATGCGCGCAGCAAGCAGCAAGATAGCACTCGGATAGAGGGGTCTTGCCCAGAGCCTATGTGCTTCCCTTCTCCGCGATGAGATGGAGTGCCCGCAGATCATCAACTCGGAGCATGGATCCTGCCGCCGCGAGATCGACGATTCACGCGCCATAGCGACGTCCCACGCGTCCGGCTCGTATACGAATCTGGGCCCTACCACCACCACAGGTCCCAGAAAGTTCGCGCCGCCATCGGCGCTTCGAGCTCCCGAGCTGTTGGGCGTGGCGAGTCGACGCCGGCAACTGCCGCACATGTTGGAACGCCGGGTGATTGATGTATGCTATGCACGACGGTACGGTGGAACCAGATGCTGTCAAGCATCGCGACGATGATTGTTCGACAGGCTTGTCTGCGCAGCCAGCGCGCTGTGTCAGGAACGACTCCGGGTATTCGCCTCCGGTTCCTGGAGATCCCGCTCTGAACGCCCTGAAAAACAACGGATGATAATCGTCTTGACGGGCTGTGCGGGCGGGAGCACGAACCCGGTAGTGCCGACGGAGACGAATCGTTCGGCACGAGCTTCGACGATAAGCTCTGGAGGGATATTTGCGTGGAACCAGCCGCAGGGGATGCAAGATAACGGTTGTGTGGCTTCCTACCTGCCTTCTACCCAGAGCATCGATTCGGCCGACTCGATAGACTGGGAGAAGTGTACATATCAGCCGGCTGACAGGACGCGCATCTCATCGAGTGACATCAACCACGTTCGTTCGTTCGTGACCCAAAGCAAAACAAAGCGACCCGGCTCAGTCGCGGTGAGTCGGGTCTGGGGCCTCGACCCCTGTCGATGCGGAGATCGTTGGCGCACACACCACGCATTTCATTCTAGATCTACATCGATGATCCGAGAGCTGGAGGCGACGGCGACGCGACGACGCGGAGGAGGAGGGGAGCGGGGAATCATCGATGACGCAATGCACGGCTGCGCAAGAAACTTGTCGCTCGATTGATGTCATGATCTTCATAGTAGGTGGGGACCCAAAAAGCTAAAAATACTTCATTTCGGCGTCTGCAGGGCATAAAATGGCGTTCTTCTCGAGAGCATTGCATGAGGAAGCGGTGCGCTGTCTGATCTGCGGGCTTCCTAGTAAAATTTACTCCGAGTCTAGTCCAGAGCCGACGAGAGAACCGGGCAGGCTCGGAGTGGAACAGCTTTGGAACGATTTCTGATCGTTGTTTTGGCTCATCGAGGACAGCGTCGGCTTGCAACGGGAAGCTAAAGCTCAGAGGATTAGGGGCTTTCATTCGCGCTTATTTCCTTGATGTTGGTGTACTGTAACAATAGACAGTTTGTGATGGGCCGTCTGGAGCCACAGACGGCTTTTTGGCGTTGAGGTGAGCCGTCCAGACGGCTTGAAGGGTATTATGCTCCTTAGGTACCAGACATTAAGTAGAGGTTGTGACAAAGTCGAAACGAGTTTCACAGCTCACATGACCGTGTGAACGTGGAGCTGATAGACGCCCGAGCGCGTTCTTCTTCCCTCAGCCCCATAATCGACGATTTCCAAGCTCTCACTCCCATGCCGCGCCGCCCCACAGCTCCTAGTGATGACGCAGCATCCACCAAGCCACGCCGCTCAGCTCGATTGAAGCTCCCCACACCGTCAAACGATACACGGTCTCCTTCGCCTCCGGCACATCCTGTCGAACCCAACGACTTCTCCGCGTTCAGTGACGACTCCATGAAGGAAAGCGACCACGGGGAGTCAGAATGCGGCTCTGACTCTGACCGGATCTCGTGGCCAGACTCCGCCGAAGAGCAGGAAGAGCAGGATTTGGATGAGCAAGAGGAGATGGTGGAATCTGATGAGTCGTCGACGCAAGCTCGCAACGCGACGTCGAAGCGCTGGCTCCCATTTCAAGACCGCTACCTTGCTCAAGCTGTTGACCAACGACGCCCGTTTGCCGAAGCTCCCAGCGATCGAAACACCGCATGGGATGACACTTCCGACATCCTGCGCACGTACAGTCAAGCTCAAGGCCCGCAGTCTGTTGTCGACCGGACCGGTTCCTCGTGTCGGTCTCGTTTTACCAAGATGATGGACCACCACAGGGTCAGTGCCAGACAGTCTCAGCATGACGCGTTGCTCATGTCGCCACAGAAGGACGAAACCCGGTCCTTGATGAAGACGGGCGCGGTTGAGGAGATCTCCGAGCATCTCAAGGTAGGTTGATGCTATTCCTCTCTTCGTGTATATGTGTTGAGATCTTGCTTAGCTCATGACAGAACTCCAAGCTCTCATGGATGACCAGGAGCGAATTCCACCGCCGAAGAAGACATCGAAAGCGAAGAAGAAGGAAGCAATCGAAAGACAAGCGGGACTGGAGATGCGCGATGCCGCCATGACGGGCTTGGTTGACACATCCACTCTGACCGACGTGACGCAGATAGAGGGATCGACATTCCGTGAGAAGCAGGGCCAAAGAAGGTGCGCAACACTCTTTCCATTCTGCATTCATGTTGACTTTGAGGCAGGCGTCGTCGCGAACCTCTGCTTGACACAACCAATGACGAACAGCCTAACGACAATGATTCTCGTCCTAAGAAGCGTCGCCGGGGAATAAACGCTGTGACTGATGCACTCGAAACCCGTGGTCAGGTCATCGACGAGGATATCGCGGAAGCGAGACGCCGTGGGGCCGAGGAGCATGAAAGGCTTGTTGCGGGACAGGAACGGATTGCCGAGTCGCAGAACAAGATGACGGAGGTTTTGGGTGGACTACTCGGAGAGCTCAAGGGCTTGCGAGAGGATGCAAAGAACCGTGACGCGGCAAATTCGGCTTGCAACACCACCGAGATTCTAGCGGAAGCGTTGGCCAAGACACGAAGGGACTAAAAGAGGACCAAGTTCTGCAATCATGTACAACATTTCTTTCAACTTGGACTTTCAATCTACTGTAGCTACGAATCTGATAACAAGCTAGTCATCTTCACCTTTGCCCCTTATCTCCACTTCTCCAATGGGTGATTGAAGGCACCAATTATCGAGTTCAGCATCAGGAACAGGATCACCATGAAGATATTCTCCAAGCGGCGGCGGGGCGCATTTGAAGTACTTTGATACTTGATTGCCGTGCAAGATGGTATGGCAGTTGCAAAGAAGCACAGAAACAAGATAGTACAATCCAATCGGTTGGAGAAGAAGCTTCTTGTTCTCTGGGAAATTCAGGAACGCGAACTGTTGGCCCATCTCTTTGAACATCCATTCGACCGGCTCGCGAATTTTGGCCATTATAGCATTGAACTGCTGCTGCACTTCGGTCAGTTTGCCTTTGTAAGGGCTGCATACATGTCTGGAGACTGGATAGGCGGAGTCTCCGTAAACGACCAGCGCAGTTTCTCCATCTGTCCGCCAGAAATGCTTCTCCAGAATGTTGATGACTCCGCTCTCACGGAAACAAGTCTGGTCATGCAAACGACCTTCGATGGGCCCGAAAACATGAATGACAATTCCATCCGGTGCCACGATGAAGTGATATTTCGAACAGTGCATCCGTTTCCAACCGCTAAATACAATGCGCTGGTTGAATATGGGCCGTCCGTGTTCATCGAGGGTGCCGTCCATGGAAGAGCAGACACCAGGATGAGGGCATCCTTTTGCTGTCATGTGAGAAGCGTAACTCTCCAACTTTTGTGCAGTCAAGCGAGTGCTGTCAAAGCGGAGAACGTGCTTCCACCGGTTGTAGATGTGAAGTGCAACCAGTCGCGTGATGCGAGAAAAGCGGGATCCTTCCCATCCAAATTGCATCTGGATATCGCAAAGTCGTGCGGGATAAGCGAGGCGACGCAGGAGCATGCACAGCGCTGTCAAAGAATCCTCCTTGACGCCTGTGTCTGGGCATCGAACGTCATCAGGTAATTGCAAGAAATCAACCAATTTCTCGACTTCGGAGTAGGTGAAGCTATCCAGATTAGGAGAGATCAGTCTTCTGTGAGCGGTCAATATGTCCTACGCAACGCACCGGAATTGTTTAAGAAAGACATTCTCGCCAAGCGACGCCAGGTCAACCTTTTCTCCGAGACGCTTGCTGCCTGCTTCCTTCAGCCACTCCTGTTCCTGTTCCTCCAAAACGATCAAGATGTCATTGTAGAAGCGCTTTGCGGCCAGAAGGATCTCGATTTCTTGCGCGGCCATCGATGAGGAAGTGTAAATGTGCAATATGATCTGTTTCTGATCCCCATCAGTGACGTATGAGCACCGTAAGCGGTCACATGATTTATTAACACTCATTTCCTCAAGTCTAGATGCTACGGAATGTATCTCTTGCAAGCCGTCTGGACGGCTCACCTCAACGCCAAAAAGCCGTCTGTGGCTCCAGACGGCCCATCACAAACTGTCTAATAGAACAAGAACGGGGTGGGCGTTTTTCACTTCGATTGATTATGGCGCCATACTGAGAACAGACCCAATATCTTATTTTCAGCAGAATCATGGTCCTGTTTCATCTATTCCTATTGAATAGAAACAGGAGTCCCGAGGACCTCCAGACAGTAGCAGAAACAGGCCCGTCAACGAAGGGCATCTCGAAATTCTATGACATTCCACTGGGTTGTGGAGTCAGGGGAAGGGCGAGAATTAATTCAGGGTATATTTCTCTCTTACCTTTCACAGCCTTTCGACAACGATTCGGCCAGTTGAGAACTCGAGTAACCGCAGTCACGGGTATTCGATCGCAAAACGTGGCAGTGCCCTCACGTGCATCGAGTGATCCGATCCTCCCGACACCCGTCCCCCAACCACCCCCACGCACCCTTCGTGTCGTATCGGCGCAAAAACGACTTGCCCCGAAAGATGTCCAACCCGGGGGGTGGCGCTGGTCCAACAACCCAACCGCAATCGCAACAGCAGCCACATCTGGCCTCATCGCCCCCGTCCGCGTCGGCCTCCACGTCCCCGTCCGCGCCGGCATCGCAGCCCCAGCCGCAGCCAGCGCAGGCGCAGACGATCGTGCACCGCGCGACGCAGTATGTGCACTACAACCCGCACCCGCAGCAGCAGCAGCAGCAACAACAGCAACAACAGCATGCCCCGGTGTACCCACACGCGCACCCGCAGACCGTCTCGCCGCACGACACGCTGCAGCACCTCGCGCACCAGCCCGCGTACGGGGGCACCGCGGGGATGGGCGTGCTCGTGCCCACGGCGACGGCGACGGCGACGGCGACGTCGAAGCAGCCGGTCGTCGCGACGGGGAACTGGAGCCGGGACCTCGTGCAGCAGGCGAAGACCGCCGAGCTCAAGTGCGTTTGTGCTCTCTCTCTCTCTCTCTCTCTGTTGCCATCGGTGGTGGATCGGATCGGAGGGGCTGATTGTCCGGGGTCGGTGCCAGGAAACACGCGTTGACGCTGCAGCTGCACACGGCGCACATCCTCTCTGCGCACGCGTCGTACGAGCAGAAGACGAAGACGATGGAGGAGATCACGGAGCAGAAGAACCGGTGCGTTCTTTCGCGTCCGATATTACAGTTTCCCGATATCTAACACCCCGTAGACTCGAGAGCGAACGCCTGCGGCTCATCGAATCGCTCAGCAAGGTCTGCACGGCGCTCTCTCCCCGCTCACCACACCACCCTTATCATCGTCCCCCGACAGATCACGGACGACCGCAACCAAGCGGACATGCTGCTCTCCTCGCTGACGCGCGAGACCGCCGCGCTGCGCACGAAGCTCGGCGCGCTGACGACCGCGGAGAGCGAGTACGTGCGCACGAAGGCAGATGTCGACCGGCTGCGCGTCGAGCTCGGGCAGTCGCCGCTCCCGGGGCTCGCAGAGACGCTGCGCGAGCGCGGGATGGGCGTCGGCGCGCTGGGCGATGCGTGCGTCTGGCGTTTTCTCTCGACCCCGCCCCGTGGCTGGCTTGCTGGCTGACTGAATGACCGACTTTTCTGTGCAGTTACGGGCCGGCGATGGGCCACCAACAGAGCGGGAACGGTGCGGTGGCGAAGCGGAAACGCGGTGCGTGTGATGTCTTTGTCTGTCTCTTTCTGATGCTGGGGGAAGCCACTGCATCGGCTGCTCCGACGACGGGCGAAGCTCCTGTGAAACGCCCCCGGGGCCGGCCCAAGGGCAGCGGCACCAAGAACAAAACGCCCGCTGGTGGGCCAGATGTGACCTAACGCAGTTTGCTGCTGTAGAAAATGTACCACCGATCTCTGTGTGAAATGTAACCGTGTATATGTTTGTAAGATTTTGCTGTGAGAGAGCTGTTGTTGAGCTTCCTTCTACGACTGATTGGTTGGACAGCACCGATGCTGTTGTGTCGCACCTCACTGCATGCACGCCCTCGCTCGCTCCTTGCCGGCGCTAATCCGACACAACAAAGAGATGAACCACAAACCGAGCTTCTTCTGTACGAACTTCGCGGAGGACTGATGCATCCCTTACACAGCACCCACCGGCAACACGCCTCAACTGCGCTGCGCCGCGTCGATAAGCCCCATTATGCTGTGCCCAAATGCACACGCCTTTCCACGACAACACTAGAGAAAGAAACCGCAGCATCACAGCAATGTTGTTAGAGTCTCCAAAGGGCCCTTTGCTGTCCGCCGCACACGTTGCTCGCCTCGTGGCCGGCCTCTCGCTGCTTCCTCCATTCCCATTGTCTGGGCCGATCGCACCGTGCTCTCCGCTGACAGCGAGCTGTGGGATCGCGGTCCGCGGTCCGCGGGTTGGCGTGTCGGCGGTGAATGTTGCGCAAACTCGACTCGCGCAGGAGTCACGCTGCCCCGATCAATGAATGATCCCCCAGATGTTCGAATCGATCCATCCGACACCGCCACATCCGAGACAAATGACATGCGCGGTGGGTTGGAGTCAGAAGCGGTCGGCTTGGCAGAGGGAATTGGGGAGATGCGTGTTGGGGTCTGAGACGGGCGCCAAGTAATAAGTAAGAAGAACATGACTATGGCTCCCCGAGGCAAAATGATGTATGCGGGCCCGTGGATACCCAAGTGCCCAATATATTATTATATGCGCGTGAGTGCAGGCGGGTCCGATTCCCAAGACGGAGCCGTGCCGAACAGATTTCCCGGATGGGGCGGACGTTCGCGTTCTGAATCGTTCTCTGTTTCCAAGTAGCAGCTTCGCAGTTGTCAGCGGGTGCCAAGCGTGAGTGAAGTTGAGTGAAGGCTGGGGGCGTACTACATAGTTGCTGTAAACCCCGTCCCTAATAACTTGGCGCCACACCGGTGACTGCTGCTGCTGTGAAGTAGGGCTAGAACGCAGCCCGCGGCGCTGGAGGAACACACACACACAGAGAGCGGTGAGAAGAGTCTCAACGGCACGCATCTGCGTCCGATACGGGGGAGCGAGCACCAGAACAAGCTTCCTCCGACACGCTCGTAGCCGTACTCTTTGTTACTGGGCATGGCATCGGAGTGCCTACTTGCGCGCAGACACGCCGCACACTCTGGCGACGATCCGCGCAGCACGACAGAAGGCAACGAAACGGCAACGACACTGTCCCAACCGAGCTAGCCCACATGCTATGCATGTCCTACTGCTCCTGGCGTCTGTCGTTGTCTTCGCTAGCGCCATCATGTGAAGCATATCAGCAGCACGGCGCCCCCGGGTCCGACTCGCTCGCCGCAGTGGTTAATCCGCGTCCTGAGCTAGTCCGACAGCCGGATGGTTCTCAGGGACGACTCACGACGCCTGCGGCGAATCCGCATCGCCCCCCCCTGTCTGGGTCGACGCTGCGGAGCCGGCGGGGAGTTTTACGTCCGTCGGGCATCAAGGGCATGTGCATCGCGATGCCTGCTCTGCTCAGGAGCCGCGTCGCTCAGGAGGTTGTTGGGGGGAGTTTTGATCAGTACGAGTGTGCGTGTGCATTGTCAGTCTAGCGCGCTTGTTCGGCTTACATAGGCTGTTCGACCGGCGCCACGGCAGCCGCGATGAAGTGGTTGATGGACGAGTCTACCAGGCTTTGTGCGGATCTGCCAGGAGATCAGACTCGGACAGATGGGCGGACAGCGCAGCTGGAGGTAGCCAGCCTCAGTCTGAGGGTGACAGCGCGCAGCGACTTCTCCCCTGATTGTGCTATCAGATTAGATTGCAGTGCCGCAGGCCTGATCCTAGTCGACCACGGCCGACACATGGACTGCGACCCGCCAGTGCTGTGATGAACACCGGCCCACCCCCATCACGTGTCTGAACCGCGTATGTTTTCGAATCACCCCAGAACACGTGCGAGCCCGGACCATGCCATTCCACGCATCTCTCCCTCCCTCCATGGGCGAGCATTCGCGCTGTGTGCACAGAGCAGAGACGGAGTCCCACTGGCATAACAGTCGTTCGCTCCTGCTGCTGCTTCCAGATCAATTAAATCAGCCGCAGCGCCGCGGCCCCCAACCAGAAGTGCTTCAATATTCTTGATCAATTCAACGCGGCCCCAGAAGTGATCCAATACATACAGCCTATTCTCGTCACATGTGCTGTGTGTTCCGCCAGCCCATATGCATGTGCATGTGTTGCGCTGCGCTGCACCGCGGTCGGCCGCTTCCTCTGACTTGATTTCCAATTCAGAAGATGCGATTCGTATGTAAGATGCCAGAACACTGGAAGTGCGATACATCAGACCTCCCGAATCAGATCAACCCGGCTGGCAGATGCGGACCCACACACGCGTGGCACCGCCACTCGAGATCTAGGCGGCCGGGGCTGCGATGTATATCAGGGGCTATTGTCCTGCAAGCGGGCCCATTGTTATGCACGCGGGGATTGTGTGACGAGAGAGAGAGAGCGAGAAGGCGGAGGGCTATTGTTCTCGGGAAGGCGCTGTGTGATGCGGGGGAGCGAGAACAATGGCCAGGAGCGCGCGCCGCCATGGTTACAGTACACGACACACCCGAGGCAGGTCGAATCGCGGGTTGAGGCAGGCAGGCAGGCAGACGGAACTGAGGATCGTTTGTTTCGTCCGGAGAGTTCTGCCGAGCCTGGGCGAGGGCCCACTCGATTCCACGGCCCACAGCGCGGGATGGGGCTGGCGAGCTGGTTCGCGGGCGTCACGGTCATGGATGATATATGAGCAGCGTCCTCCTCCTCCTCCTCGGCTTTGAGCAGCAGCAGATGTCGCAGCACAGCCAGGAAGCATCTTAGCGTGAGATTGGGTGCCACTAGCCTGGGTGCCTCAGTGCATTATGGAGGTCCAGACCGTCACAGACTTTGGTTGATTCGGTGGTGGGACTCACATGGGCACATCGGCCGAAACGCGAGCCTGTCAGGCCCAAGCGGGGAAGAACCAAAACGGGAGAGCGTCCATTTCGAGCAGGGTGGACCCACATGATGCATGCTGCGCTGATCGATATGGAAGCCGCATCGCTCAAACGCATGAGCTGAGCTGAGCTGGGCCGAGCGGCCAGGAGGGGCCTCTGGGAGCTGTCACCGCATTCATGTGTGGTGTGTGTGGCAGATGGTCCTACCGCCAGCTCAATCGAGACCAGGGGAAGGCACCGCACACATCCACATCCGCGTGTCACTCACGCTGTGTTCTCTATGAAACCCCAGGCACCCACGCCATCCCACGCCGCGTCGGAACCCAGTACCCTCCGCAGCGTCGCACCGTGCTATCATACCTAGGTCCACACACAACCCAACCCAACCCAGCCATCGCCGGTGCCCGGCCCGGCCCGGCCGGCCGGCGGTCCAGCGGGGCCCAGACCGACGCTCTGTTCGGCTGGCATGTGCGCGTTGGATGGATGGGAAGCAGATGCACAATGCGCGATACAGACAGGGATGCAGGGCAGAGCAGATCCATGCGGATCGCGACGCCAGAAGCAGACGAAGAAGAGGAGAAAGAGGAGGAAGAAGAAGAAGATGAAGAGCAGCCCCGAGTGCGAGCGCGAGTGCGACTCCGAATAGTCGTCGTCGCGCGCGCCCGCACACACACATACTCAGAGAGGGATTCGCACGGGGGAATCGGGTTGGCAGATGGGACGCTTGGCGGCCGAGCACCCGATCTCCGAGGCTGCGCGAGCAGAGATAGCGACGAGGAGTCCCGGTCGGTCGGTCTGGGCTGGGGTGCAGCAGCAGCAGCATTTCGCGAGTCAGCACTTCGCCGTTCTTCTTCTTCAACAGAACCCAGAACGGGGTCGTCGGGCTCCTGTGATAGCGGACCTGCTGCAGATGCGCGAGTAGATCGAAGGGCTGGAAGGTAAATCTGATCTGACTCATTAGGAGGTACGGCACTAGCCCGGTGGTTCTCCGCTGCAGACCACTGCGGGCGACGCACTAAAGAGAACTCGGGTGGGGTTAGATGGATCAGCTCGCGAGCTTCCTTCTGCCGATCCATCTGCGGTTGCGGCTCCGGGCTAGAGTTCCCGGTCCAAGCACCAGCAGGAATCATCAACGTCAGAATCACTATCCACTCCGCGTCGCTCGTCGGTGAGTTGTTGGCCAGTCGGAGAGACACGGCGCGCGTTATATTTAGACAGGCCCGAGTCCTCCCGGCCGGCATCGCGACCTTATTCCCGATTAGGATCAAATTGATGAAACGGCCGACATACATACCACAGTCTCCACCCGTGATTGATTGCGTACAGCACATACATACAGCACTTGCCAGCACGAGTGGGGGCAGGCAACCGGGTCGCGATCGATGGAGACGCTGTTGGGGTGGTGAGACAAGACAAACGAGGCGGCAGCGAGGAATCACGGCGCGAGGCCACCCGAGTACCAGACGCCACGACAGTAGCAGCAGCCGGGTGCACAGTGTTGCTATTATTCTATTCTATGCAGGCCACATGTAACATGTTTCCGAATGAAGCGCCAACAGCTCGAATGCGAGGCCACCGGGGGATGCCATGCCATGCGTGCCGGAATCGGCGCACCCATGCGACCGGCCCACAGCCTGGTGGGCAACAGCACCGGCATGGGCTCCGCAGACAGACAGACAGACCGAATGCGGAACGACCCTGGAAGCCGACTTTTATTCGCATTACCGCTCCAATTTCGATGCGCATCCAGGCAACGAAATAAACGCATAGCATAACGATGGGAAATGGCGCATTTACGCTGCCAAAGGCCGCATGGCAGCTGCTGTTTGATGCGGAGGAATCGGGGTCGGCCGGCCCTTGGCTGTCGGCGAGCGATGATCACATCGCGGTGACGGGCTGCAGCGATCCACGCTCGAAACGACAGCAGCCAACGATCTTCGCGGGCAGTCAGCTAGTCAAACGGGCGGTTCCAATCCAATCCATCGATGAGCCTGATCCTGTCAGTCCGAGCGCACAGGATTTATTTAGCCGGTCCCTGCGATGTCAACAGCCATACTCCTTGGCATAGCGCGGTGCCTGTGTTGGGCGCTTGGGGCGAGCCGCACTACAGCGGGACCCATCAGACGTGCACGTAGACTAGCTCCAAGGCGTATAGCGTGCATCGAGGAAGGTGAGTGGAAGGAAAGTCACGTGGATTAGTGTTGCCATCAACCGCGGCTACGTGGCCGTCCGCGCTGGATTTTGATGCGCATTGGGATGCCGAACAGCCGAGTAGGTTTGGAACAAGACATTCGGGTCGTAACGAAACGTGCATGTTCTCAAAAGGCGAGATGCCCGCATCAGACCGCTGGAAGTGGAGATGATCGCGCGTTATGACGGAGGAAATGGCGTCGTCGAATATCTGTCAATTGTTAGTGAGCGCGACATGCATCTCGAATATTCATCCCAGAGTGCGGTACCTCACGAAATAGTCCGCACAACAATTCTTGAGACGCAGTTCTATTTCCATCAGAATTAGAAAAGAAATCACGATGCGCCTCGAAGCCATCGTCGGCGAGACGCGGAAATCATCGTCGGAGCCCCGAGACTACTACGTATGTATGAGAGATAGGCGAGTATCGGCCAAGCGATTGGAGCCCACCGACGAATAAGTTCAAGGGGTCGCTACTTGAGTCCTGAGCCAAGCCAATGCCGGCGTTCAGCGCTTTGAACACCGACGGCCCAAGCCATCACGGTGGTCATTTCCAAATCGGGAAGCCTCTGAGCTGGCTCAGCGGCCCCGATTCGGCATCCCGATTTGACCCCGACCCGATTTGGTAGGGCTTGCTGTGTCGTCTTTTTGACAAGCGCAATTTGCTCCGTCACCACCAGGCCAAGTGGTATATATATGCCGCGCACCGTCAGCCCAATGGCCACACTTCCCCGTCTTGGACCCAGATCCTCCGGAGACCGCACCAGCGCTCTCTTTCTTAGACCATTGCATCGCAAGCCCGTCGGATAAGAGCCGCCATGCAAGACTACGCCTCCTGGTCTCCTCCGTGCTCTCCGTCATCCTCGTCGTCAGGCTCGAGCCGTAGCTCGCCCGTCCACGCCGCGTCGCTCGTGGATCCCTCCGCGCACTCCCCAGCCATCATGGAGCTCATTGACGTCAAGCTTTCTCGGCCGGTGATCGGTACGTTGCTGCGCTTGGCGTCGTTCTTCTCTTCTGAGTCCCTGCCACAGACTACATCGTCCAATGCACCGCTGATACGGTCGACCATGCCATCAGCCGCTCCCAGGGATCCGCGGCCGCAGGGCACCATCATCCCATGACACGCGGCCGCCACACGAGCACGACGCGCCGCCGCTCGCCGTACCTCGCCAAGTTCGCATCCTTCGCCGCGACGGTGCTGTCGCGCGCAGAGGTCGCGCTGCCGACGGCGCTCGTGACGCTCGTGTACATCCACCGCGCGCGGCCGTTCCTAAACATCGCGCTCGAAGAGTGGGCGCTCGAGCGTGTCTTCCTCGGCGCCCTGATCGTCGCGAGCAAGTACGCGAACGACTCGACGCTGAAGAACGTGCACTGGGCGCTCTGCACGGGCGTGTTTGGCAAGCGCGATGTGGGCCGGATCGAGCGCGAGTTTCTCGAGGTGCTGGATTGGGAGCTGAATGTGAAGGAAGAGGATGTGCTGAGGCATCGGGATGGGCTGATGAGTGCGGTGCATGGGGATATGTACCAAGTGGCCGTGGCACCCGTGCCGTCGTCCTCCCGATCTCCTCCTTCCTCCTCCTCGTCATCCACGTCACCGTCGTATCCACCCTTCCGCCACCACTCCCGCTCTTCCTCGCTCGCCGTGCCCGATCTCGAACCTTCGAGCCCCACCAGCAGCCTCGGCAGTCTCTCACCCCCAGAAACCCCTGACATCCACGTGGACGTCTCCAGCACCGGCCGGCCGCACTACCAGTCGAACCGCCCCGGTGCCGCCAAGCCCAGCGCAAGCAACAACCTGAACGATCTCCTGCGGGCGTTCCCCATGCCCGGACACCATCATTTCCGTATCGCGTGAGCGGCGGGCACACTCCCTCCATGCTATCTGCATCGCCATCATTCTAACACACACACCCGCGATCCGCGCACGCGCGCCTTTCGCCCAGCCCTGCGTATATGTACCACACCATACACACGCGCGCGCGACCAGGTCGCCTGTCTGTCTTAGTGCACGGGCTCTGGCCGCGCGACGGACTGCACAGCTCCTGCCTATCTATCTCATCACTCTCTGCCAGCCAGCCGGCTCCTCGCATCGCACCACTCCTTCACATCGCATCGCATTGCATTTGTTACCATCTACTGTACACACACAACCCATATTTACATCACTGTGCATTACATCTACCCAGAGCCCCGCGCTCCAAATCAGAATCTTGACTTGCCTCATTCTGACTGAATCTGCGTGGCCTGCGCGGTGCGCTTCTTCAATCAAGTCAAATCTAAGCTTGCCAAACAGCCTGCGATGCGCCAACACTCTCGTTGTGGGGTAAGAAGTGAAGCGAAATGGAGGTTTGAGCCCCGGGTTGATAGAGTGGCCGCTGTGCATGAAGTGGGATAGATGAAAGCGAGCGCAACGTCCCCACCCCCCTTCTTCTGAGGCGCAGGGTTTCTGATTGATGCGTGCTGTAAAGTCAAGCGCCGCTTCTGCCTTATCTGCTAACGCTGCGCACAGTCCCCGCGTCGAGTAAGCTGGCGAGGCAAGTACGATAGCCATGTAAGTAGAACAGCAGACGTGTCATGTGCCAGATACCCGCCCGGATACCCGCCACAGCCGTACGCCCTGTGCGAGGCCAGGCTGTCACTCGCTTTCTGGAAACGTCCTTTCAAGTTCGTGTCTGCATCGGTATCGGCATCGGTATCGCAATCGGAATCGGAATCGGAATCGGAGCCAGCCAGCCGCAGATGGGGACGACGCTTGGCTTGGACCGACGACAAGTAAGGGACAAGCAAGTCTGCAGGCCAGGTAGCATAAGCGGTATCGGACCAAGCAAGCCCAAGGTCGTTCCAAGCGGAATCCGAAGACCTTGAAAACCCGTGCCGGAGGGTGGTTAGAGGGGGTGGGGGGTCTGGACCGCCGGGACCGCCGGCCCGGTAACTCCGATAACGGGTGACGACACCACCACGGAGCGGGGCGACGTTGACCTCCGCGCTCCTCAACGTGTCGTCTGGCACGTGAAATCCAGGCCGAATGTGTGTGTGTGTGTGGACGGCGGTGGGCTGCATGGGAGGGATGGGTTGCTCCCGTGCACCGTTGAGGACGGAGCGAGCGGGTTGGTTGGTTGGCTTCGAGAAGCTGGATCCTTGGCGGGAATGGAGTGTAGCGCGGTGCGTGCGGTCGGGAGTCGATTCTTTGCGCGACTCGGAGGGATGCTCGCCCGTTGAGACAATGAGGAGGGTAGATTATTAGACGCTGATGGTTGATTTGAACACTTTTGCGCAGAGCTGCTCTTTCGCAAAGTCCGAAATTTCTTATTGGTATATCTAAGCCTGAAATTATGATTATCGTGGGAGCCAGGAAAACGTCACGTCTTCATATAATCTGAAGGATTCATGCCGAGCACAGAAGAGAACAGGAAGAGAGTACTTTGCACCAATGTAGGTCTCCCGCTGTGGGCGCCGTGTCTTTTGACCGGCGATCCATGGCAGTAATGATGGTCTGAGACAGATGAATCCAGAAGTAACTGCCCAAGTGTTGAGCGATTAGGATTTCGATCGGTCAGAGATTAATTGTTACACGCTCATGTTTTTGACTACTTCCCCATATCAGTTCATCTTATCGTATCAGATTGCAATATCATCGAATCGGATCCTCGTTTTGGAGACAATCTAGGCCACCCTCTCAATAATTACAGAAAAATGCAGCATGCACTCGAGAATCGATGTATGCGGGATGTCTCCCCACAATCGTCCCTGGAGCTTCATGGCCCTATCATCCGAAGCTCGCAAGTTTATCGCAAAAAGAATCATCATGCGGGGAACTGGGGTCCGTAACAGCAAATTCTCGAGGGGCTTGGCTTCTCACGCACGTTGGTCAGGTCTGGAGTGGAAATCCCGTGCTTCGCACTAGACATCCCAACTCCTGTGTCTGGACTCTGGCAGGATCCACACCGACTTTCGGAGGTGAATTAATCAGGCACAGGGATGAAGAGGGACCTGTCATAGAGCGCAGAGTCCCGTGGATGTGTAAGACGGAGGGGGGCTAAATATCATCGAGGAAATTATGTGAAGTATCAGGACAGACAGGTGGAATATTGTGTGAGGTTCTCTCTTCAAACCTGCATAATCGATTGTTGCATCTTTTCCCTGTATGATAGGTCAATTTTTGGACTAACAGCTTATCTCTTTCATTGGTGAGGTAGGGACCTGCCAAGAAACCCAAGTGGAATTTGAAACTAGCAAGACTTAACTTTTGAGAAAAAAATGCTTGGTGGATGAATCACAAGCTCATAGTTGAGAGGGATGAATGAGGCAATCCATACTGCGGTGCAATAAACAGCTGCGACCGCCGCAGAGCATTGATCTTCGGTGCAAGGTCACGCTGAGCCCAAGGGAGTGGTCTGCGATCACTATCAATTCTTGGATGTCCTCCACTCTGTGTCACACGACTTGATTATGTTTGCTCGATTGCACAAAGGGACCTTAGGCTGTGCGATGCGACCTTCGCTCGAACTTCTCAGACACATCTGTAACACCGGGCTTACACATCCCGAAAGAACGAGCATTTACAAATCCAGCTCGCTCGCATAAGTCTTGCGGCAGCCGCAGATCGATTGGGGGCAGCTCGCATGGTTCTCCGTCTCAGACTCAGATGGGTGTTCCCGCGCTGTCTCATCGGCGACCTGGTTCAGCACGGCCTCCGCGCAGATCGTTTCCGTCGGTTGGTCGCTTTTTACATTGGTCCGTTGGCCTGTGTTCAGATGCAACAGATGCCCTGTGGATATTCCTGATCGCTCCCAGCGCCATTCAGTTCAAAATGCAAACGGACTTGACGCGCGCCCAAGTCCGCCAGACGGATGACTCACCTCAACCGTGTCATCATGCAGGGAATCAGTGGCGGTACACAGTCCCCGTCTCTAATTGACGTAATCGAGCACTATGCAACCATCAAGTACGCGAGATCCTTGACGGGGATCGAGGCAAGCTCGATACGTAGTAGATGTGCTCACAGAATAGTTTCACATGATGAAGAACTGAAACGCGTATGCTGTCACCGAAATGCATATGGCAGTCCTCCGTTCTAAGAGTGAGCGAGTGATAAAGTTTTGAAAGAGCAGTGCCGCTTGTAGTACCTTGAGGGTGGGTTGCGATTAAGGTTATTTCAAGTTGAAGATTTGGCACGTTGGCGTTGTCCGAGGTGTCTGTCACTGTCAGTCCAAACGGGCCAGAGGAGCCTGGATATTCAGGATGGAGTTTTTCGCCCGCAAATCCAGGGACAACATCATTCAACCCTTGGTTGTTGCTGGTGGGGAGCGGGCTTGGCAAGACTCGCAAACACGATGTGTTCTGCTGTGTCATCTTTGGCGGCTACTTGTTTCTGAGGAAAATCGGCGATGGAAACGCGCTGTCGTCATGGATCGCCGGTCTTTGTCAGCTTCGGCCATGAACTAGTCGTACCTGGCATCTTTCTCACGTACCCTCTCCGTCTGCCGGCTTTTCCGCAGAGCTCACGCCTAGAATGATAACCCCCGAAAAACGCGCTCGCAAGGATTGCACTGACAGCAGATAGGGTTCAATGACTGTAGAGTAGCAACCGATTTCCCTCATGCCTTCAACGAACGACTGTGCGCAGCTTGCTGACTGAGAGATCGTGGGAACATGCCCAAATGTAATCAGCAAGCTATGTCAGATCCATCCCACACGTCCACCACGATAACCGTTTTTCCGTGGCGGCTTGCTGGTTTCGTTGGCTTCACAAAACTCCGTTCAGCTACATCGAAAATTTACAGGTATATATAACTGCCCGGGTCGCAGTAGGGATGGACCTAACCACTCGCCGCCCGTAACTGCTTACTACATGTCCCCAACTGTGGATTACTCGTCTTGGTCCCCTGCATCGACAAGCTCGGAATCAAACTCGGGCTCGCCCGTTCATCCAGCCTCGCTGGTAGATCCCATGTCCCACTCCTCCGCCATCCTCCAGCTCGTGGACGTGCAGTTGACGTCATCTGTCATAGGTAGGCACCTGACCACACGTGACCGTAAAAGGCTGCTGATTCGTTAATTTTTCTCAGACTACATCGTCGAGTGCATCGCCGATGCGGTGTGGCACGGCCTCACTCGGGACCTGCACCACCCGTCCCACATCGCACCACGCACCGCCTCCCTCCCCATCGACGAGTTCACACCCTTCGTCAGATCAGTGCTCTCCCTCGCCGAGGTCAGACCCGCGACGGTCTTCGTCGCCCTCGCATACGTCGCGCGCGCGCGGCGGCACCTCGCCATCATATCCCCGGCATGGGCGCTTGAGCGCATCTTCCTCGGTGCGCTGATTGCTGCGAGCAAGTACACGCAGGACAGCACGCTGCGCAACGGCCAGTGGGCGCGGTGCAGTGGGGTATTCGGACGCCGCGACGTCGGGCGCATCGAAAGAGAGTTTCTCGAGGTGCTCGACTGGGATCTGGGTGTGAGAGAGGAGGAGATTCTGGTGCACTGGGGTGCGGTTATGGGGCTGCAAGACCTGGAGTTGGCGTCCGTTGACGCTTCGAGGATCGGCATCCAGTCTGCCTGAAGTGATGCATTGCAGAAGTACGAATGGTCTAGCTCCTGCAGCTCGTACCACTCTTTGTCGCCGTTGTAGACCTGCGGTCGCCGTCGAACGCAGAAAACTACGAGCACCAGCACCGCCCCCGTCCGTTGCGCTCTGGCGACCTTTCGCACTCGGCATGGATCTTTCTTCAGCTCAATCATGGCAGTCGCTCAAATACGTTCCGGAGTCACAAGTGTCTCGACTTCTATACTCAAATGCCGCCGCCTTCCACTCTCGCACACTGGACACAAGCGACCTGGTCCTGAACACCGACGATGTGCGGTGTGCGCCTCACATTTGGCTGCGCCAAGAACGTGTCTACCATATCCGACCGTTTTCGCTTCCGGATCGATGGCGCAGCCGAGCACGAGACCCAGGATTTGAGATTAGGAATTGAATGTCTCGCTGCTCAGATCGCCAACCGTAGGAATCCAACGGGATATAGTGGGATGGGATATGGTGGGTGAAAACCGCTGTCTTCGACTATCTAAGAGAGTAGAGAACGAGAGTTCGGATACCAGCGGTGGGGGAGTTGAAGGACTAGTGCTGGGCGATAAGAGGCGACGAGGTAACAATAAGGAATTCAATAGTAATTAGACCTAATGCACAATGGCGATTGCAGAAAAGGCTCCTTGTTTTCATTTCTGAGACTAGCCCACACGGCAGTGAAAAATGGGCATTGTCAACCAATCGCTAGTTTTTCTCCCGGCTGATTCGAGGCCCGCTTCATCAAAAAATCCCCATCCTTCTTCACCTTTACCGTCTTCTGATGAAATTTCAACGGGCCGGGATAGCGTATTTGTATAGCGTTGGATCCAAGCATTTAAGATCAGCAGTCGCTCTGCCACGAGAACATATGCCCGCATCCAGCTCTTTTGGAAGGCACACTGGATATTGTGGTTTGAGAACTGAGCCGAGGGACACGCTTATCACAGGTACTAAACTAGACGAATTTATGACAGTCTACAATCCCACTAGAGTGTGCGGACTGTGCGGACGTACTGTACTCTACTTACTGCAATGTTTATTTACGGATTAGCACAGGGCAATAAATACGCTGGAACCCAGACGTGTGGGGGTATACGAATTTAGATAGGGGTATGTGTGTGGTGGATGTGTTGGACTGGGAACGAGTCTATCGGGTGTAGTCTGCACAAGACGTTCAGATTGGCGCGTGGCGAACGAGATTGTGACGCAGGCGACTCACCCGCTCTCGTGGGCTCTGCAATTCGTCCCCAGAATGCGGGGGCGAACTTATGAGCTGCTTGCGATGTTGACGCTGGTGGTGCTTGGCTGATGGAGGAGGGCGTGGAGCCTGCTTCGTATGGTTTGATGATGAGATGTAAAGTCGTTTACGGAGGAGTCAGGCACTGACCGGCTGAGGGGGCAAGACTTGTGACTGGCGCTGCAATCACCGCTTTGGATGCAGAGAATGCCATCGCGAGAAATATGAGGGCACGAGTGGCGAACATGGTGGTGCTTCTGGAGTGTGAAAGAGGCTGGGTTTCAATAATGGTCAAGATTCGGGACCGGCCTCTTATAGCCCTCGCAGTCCTGCTGTTGAAACGGAGACTGCGCCCCGATACGCCTGCCGATCATGGAATCCTCCTGCCGAGTCATCCCTACTCAGCTGTGCTCGGCCCGACGCGGTGTGATTCACCTCAGCTCTCGACAGTGTATGCACTGAAACTTGCGTGGGAGTTACAGCTTTGGCGGAGCCGAGACAGGCGTAAACGGATCCAGAGCGTTTCACGGCGCAGGAGGCCGTTGCCTAGGTCCCGCCCCGTCTCGTTCTGCACCGCCCATCGCGCGGGGATCAAGATTGGGCATCGCTGGTGCGTGGCGACGAGTTGCGCTTCCGAGAATGCACGGGATGGACGCGGCAGAGAAAATGAATTGCATATCGGCCGGGAAGAGAGCCTGAGATCGGGATGGACGGGGCAGAGGAGAGGGGAGAGCACAAAAACAGTTGATCATGATCAGATGATATGCGCATCAGCAATGTGACACGGAAGTGATGCGACTTGATTGATAAAAGCAGGATCTTATCTTGTCGGCTTTGCCCGCATACTGTCTGCCACAGAAAGATTCCTGCTCGTGATCTATTTATGGTAGGAAAATCCGCGTTTCGTTTTCTTCGGCGGCAAGGGACGGGCAGAGAGGACACAAATAAGGGATCAGATCAGGTGAATTGCTTTCCTCAGTCGGCTCTGAATTGTCGATGTGTGGACGGCGAGCCTCGCTCTCAAAGTAGAAAACTTCGTTCAAAAAGAAGACATTTTACTATGGAAAACAAATCCATCTTCAATTCTCCATCGACTTGTTTCCGCGGGCATCGATGACCGACTGAAACATTGTTGACCGGGCATATCTGGTTATGTGTCGCTCCATGAAAATAGAACTGGATACTTGTTGTAACATGATAGAAAACTTTGCGGCTTATGGTGAATCCCTGTTTCGAATGACCCAACCTTGAGATAACCCCGGACCTGTGCAAGTTTTTTGTCACTTGTAAAGCGCACAGAAATCACGTATTTGATCAATTCACCGGCGATGTGACCAAAATAGTCCTGAGCATCGCAACATGAGCATTATTGAATCGTTGTACCTAAGGGGTCGTCAAATTTCTATCTACTCTGCACGAGCCTGATTCATCTCTACAAACTCTCTCACTTGTGCCCAATCTCGACACTTATGCACAACCAAATGCCCCGCCGCGGCCGGATCACACGTGCCATCCGGTTCGCATATCGAAGTCGTGGGATCGAGCGTCAGGTCGGCCGCGCAAGTGAGCGCCTGGCGCAGCTGGCTGACGCACTGCGGAGCCAATGCGTCCACGGGAAAGCGCATTCCGGACTCGTGCTTGTCCTTGTGCGCGAGGTACGCGGTGCGCAGGAGGTTGAGGCAGTGCAGATCGGAGTACAGCCCAACGGTGAAGTATTTCTGATCGGGAGCGGCGGCTGATGGCGACCGGATTCGGCCGTCTGATGGGATGAGAGAGGCCCAAGCGGCGTCGTCCGCGATGCGGTATTTGTCAGCAATGAGGCTGAACTGAAGGGCGGCGGGTCTGACGAGGAGCGGCAGCTCGTTGAGAGGTAGCTGTGCTCCCAGTTCTAGATCTGATGCTGAAAATGCAACGATTGTCAGGTTAGTCAGGTCCTGTGGTCAGACGAAGAACTGCCACACCGAACGGCAGATTCAGTTGGCGGTAGCTGAGCACATTGAACATGAGACTGAAGGCAACAGCTACAACGAGCCAGGTGGTCTGGGTGGAGGTGAGCATCGGACGAGGTATGGAAGGAAGTGAAGGGACTTTGTACAGCCGATCAGATGCCCATACTGCTGTGAATCATCACACAGCTTTGGCTTCCGAGAAGAGTTCAAGAACTGCCAAACTGATAAGCCCATGCGCAGCCGTTGCAGTGACGTTGCTAAACAAAGTACTCATCACCCCTTGAGGCTGCTTCTCGTCGATGATGTTGCACTCTTCTAGCAGCGACTGTTGAAAGTTCGAACCTTAGTGTCGACGTCGTCGCGATGATGGATATCGAAGACGGAAGACAGACAGCTTTATAAAGTGCATTCACTGCAAGTCGGGTCATCTCGAAATCCAGCAATCCAACGAAGATGATTGTGAAGCCCGCCACTTTTCTATCGCTGTTCTCTATCTTCCTTCTCGTAGCGAGTGCACCGACCACCACATCCTGTGCGTAAACACCTCCACCACTTCCGCGAGTATGGAACTCAGTCTCGATATTAATTCTCCCATTTTCCTGCTCGCAGCCACTGGACCGACCACCACATCCCGTGCGTAAACATCTCCCCTTCCGCGAATGTGGAACTCAGATGCTCTCTATTTCCGTACTCTCAGTCACTGCATCGAGCTCATCTCGTGCGTAAACACTTTGCCTTCTTCAAGAGTGGAATTCAGATGCTTTTTATTTCCGTACTCGCAGTCACTGCACCGACCACGTCCCGTGCGTAAACAACCCCCGTCCGCGCGTGTGGAACTCATCTCAATATCAATGTTCCCATTTTTCCTGCTCGCAGACACTGCATCGAGCACATCCCGTGCGTAAACACCTTCCCTTCTGCGAGGTTGGAACTCAGTTTTGATATCAATGCTCCCATAGAACTTACTCAGAGTACTAGTGCGGGGGGCAATATCACTAATGGTGCGTATATTCCCTGCGGGAGAGACCATCACGGGAGGCTGACTGATGCAGCACCGTTCTGGGGCCGCAAGTCGGAGCCCGTCCGCACCGCACTGCTGGGATGATTCCCGTCCATGAATATACCATTACCGCATCTTCAACTTGTGACTTTCCTCCATGTAACTGGAAACAGAAATATATGATGGGGCACGCCAGAGATCACATCGAAGAGGACGCTGAACGCTTGTGTGATTTGCTACTACAGGCAGCTTTCGATCTCGGATATGAGACTTCGTGCGCGTTGTCAACAACGAGGTCGTCTTCACAAGCGGGAGAATCAACCTGATGAGCAGCAACGGTCTTGATGCATTCTGATTGCAGGGTCTAGAAGGCAACGACCGCACTGATAAGCACGTCAGTCTGTGGTAAGACTCTGCCGATTCGGGTGGGAATCGACGGAGCAGTCGTGCGGAGAGCTTCGAGGTCAAACGCCGTCCACCTGTATTGATTTCCCGCAGCCTTCCTGGCGCATGCAGCTTAGAGTATCGCACGGTGATGAAAATCGCGTGAGACCAGCCATGAATGTAAGACAAACTCGGCATTTCGATCGGGAGACCAACGGCAATGATCATCTTGAAACTCGCCGCCCTCCTGTACTTTGGCATGCATTCAGGTTTCGCTCCGGCCGTATTCGATAACATTGTACGTAGAGATTGATTCAAACCATAGACTGATGTTGATGCTGGTATGTCGTAGACGTCCGAGAGTCGGAAGCACTCCTCGCATGTAATTGCGACACCGGATATCACAAGAACAAGGGGATTGCGACACCAGATATCACAAGAACAAGGGGCTGACCAGTTGCACCAGTCTGGGGCCACGTATCCGAGCCCATTTGCACTCGTGTTTGAGTGCAAGTCAACAGATAGTAGAACAGTGAATGAGGAGCGGACTATGCAGCCAACCATCGAACATGACGGCACCTAGATTCCATGTCGAATCATCAGGATGCGTGCGAAGAGATTGCGAATCTGAGAAACGTTTCATCGGTGTGAAACTCGATATCGAGACGGAAACGAAGGTACTAGGATCTGCCGATCAGGAAGGAGAGAACAATCGTCTGAGCGCTGTGCTGCGATCGTAAGCCACGCTTGCGATATTAGTATCGGAATCCTGTATCGCGCCCGTTCTCAGCCAACGACCATGCATTCCAGGACTGAGATATCCCCACGTACCCAATGGTGGCTTGTACTCGTCCTTTGCGCTTCATGCTTGGTCAATGCGTTTCTGGTCGTGACGACCTCCAACCGACGCAGCCTCTCGAAAGCATACACTAGGCACGAATTCAGTCAGCCCATCCCTTCTTCGCTCTTCGCTCAGAGTGACTCACTGCTTATAAGATAAGTACCCCACAGTCCCCTCCCGCCTCTCCCACCTCTTCCTACCCATCACATCGGCGCTCATCCCGGCAACCGAGGATCTTGCGTTCCCGATGGAAGACGACGCGGTCTGGGCCGCAAACATCCTGCCCGAAGGCGCAGGCTTCGTGCGCCTCGGGCCGAACGGGACGGTCTTCTCGATTGCGCTGTACCACCAGCTGCACTGCGTGAATGCGGTGCGCTTCGCGTACGCGGCCGTGCGGGACGGGCTCGGCGACCTCGTCGGCGAAACGCATACAGAGCATTGCTTTGATTACTTGAGGCAGGCGTTGTTGTGTCGCGCGGATACAAGTCTGGTCCCCGTGGAAAATGGGAGCGAGCGGGCGATTGGGGAGCGGAGGTGTGAGGCGGATGAGCGTGACGTGCGGCGGTTCGTAGAGGAGAATATCGAGTTCTGGAAAACTTGAGGCTTCAATGCCGATTCCTGCTACTCATCATCATGTGGCTCGGCGGTAGAGGAGACGGTGGGGCCGAAGATGTGACAGGCGTTACTAGTACGCGCGGCCAAGATATCACTGCTGATGACTTTGTACCGACTCTGGTGGATACTGGGCTAGGAGACGACATGCTAGGGCGCGGCTATTTACACGAGTCAAGAACTCCCCACTGGTATCGAGCAGCTAGCTATACATGCTTCGCTATCTACTGCAATTTTGTAATCTAGGTATCAGTACACTTTATGTCTGGCCAGAGGAAGGAGAGATCTCGTGGCGAGGAGAATAAGACACGGCGAGCGCGAGGAAGAGGATGAGTAGCAGCCCCGAGTATAGGCGGAAGCGCACAGGTCTCGCCCCCCGGCGTTCGGCTGCCACAGTAGCCGAATGAAATGGCCATCATCTAGTTGGCTAGGAGGGTCGGGGGTGCAAGGGCAGAAGAGTGGACAAGTCAGGTTCTCGGGGATTACCATACGTCTGCTGTGAAGGGCCTCGATTTGACGGCGAGCAAGTGCGACATGTCTGGTCAGTCGGAGTTCCGCGCAGCGCAAGAACAGGGACATGCGAGAGCGATATGCAGAGCGGAACATGAGGGCAGGGTTCTGCGCCCAGAGAGGGGGAGAGAGACCGTGATTATCCATACACGACGAGGTAGCCATGTCCCGCACGGGCAGTTGCTAGTCGACCACCGAGGAGGCATCGACTGCATCTAGTCACTGAAGTAAACAAGGGCGCTGCGCGCATTTGAAGGTCGGTTCGAGATCCGACAACGAAGCAGGCGTCACTCCAACTCCGTTTCTGGCAGAAAGAATGTCCGGGTGCCTAGTGAAGGCGAAAAGACGACGGCGGTGCCGTGTGACGCTCAGGCGAGCAGCCCCTCATCGAAAGCCGGATTGCGGGACGCCTGAAAGCTTGAGCTCTGGGCATCTTGGTTTCACACCATCTGCGCAAAGAATCGGTCGAACAGAGAGCGCAAGTGCCGAAGCTCGAAGACCCTGCTAGGTTGTCGTGACCTGGGCGGAGCAGATGAATGAGTGACTGATGTTTGAGAGGTGGGTCGGGTAAAGAAAGAAGACTGGTAGGGCCCGGGACAGTAGAGAGTCTAGAGACCCTGGTGGGATAGAACGATAGCTTGTTGGGCGGCAATCGGGTGACTCGGCGAGGTGTGCATCCGAAACTTCGTCAGGACCCAGACCAAATAGGAAGAACGAACATGTTTTCAACGGCTGCGTGAGGTGCTACGTTTGTTGCCCTCGATGATGCTTGAGAGAACGGAAAGGATGCGTGGCAGTGATAATCATAGGATCGTGACACCGTGACACTTGCACCCACTGCAAACAGGCACGCCCAAGAAACAACATCCTTCAACCATTTGACGGTGGAGGATTGACATGAAACAACTGTGGATGATCGAAGGCAGGGACAGACGATCAGCAACAGGTGTTGTTTGGCATGAGTGGGTCGACTTCATGTGTGGCAGATGCAGATCCGAGTGGTAACTGTGAGTGCTCGGGTTTGTTCATGGTGCAGAGGGGCTTGCGAGCACTTCTCAGCTGACCCAGACTCAGTTCCGAAATGAAGAATCGGTTTCGAGCCCTAGAGGCCCGTCACGATGTGGGAGTTGAGCTCCGGGCTGTCGCTCACGTCGCGATCCCGTGCCAACTTTGTCTGTCCACGTCTTTGGCCGTCTCCCGTCAAGATGTAGATGGCCCATCCAGCCTGAATCATGATAAGGCTGTTATAGAACCGCAGAGCCCCCTTAAGACCCAGCTCCCTGCAGCATCGCCCTTCTGCCCCACGCTCCGTTCGATTCCCTTGCTTCTCCGGCAGCGCCGACTCATTTGTGCAAGTCACTCCTTGGTTCCACAGTATGCTTTCCGCCACACTCTCTTTAATAGCATGCGCGGTCACCGTCACCGCTTTGCCCTTCTCCCTTTTCGGACACACCTTCGGCGCACCCGAGAGCAAGGGCACCCCAGCGCCACTCTCCCTGGCTACTGTCAACTCAACGCTTCTCCGCCCCGCTCAATTTGCGCGTGCAGCCTACTGCTCCGGCGCCTCGCTCGAGAGCTGGAGCTGCGGTCTGCCGTGCGACCAGGTCAATGGTGTCAAGTTTCTGCAGGCTGGCGGAGGTGAGCGCACTGCTTGTTTGTTTAGCATCCGACTGACCTGCGTAGACCAGGGCTCTATTCCTTTCTGTGCGTTTCCTTCCGGTGTGAACGCGAACCACTGTTTGAGCGCATCACAGATTTTATCGCCCACGATCCAGAGCAGGATTCCATCGTCGTGGCCCACGAAGGGACTGATCCCAACAAGATGTACGTATATTTCCTAGTGGTGGATAATCGAGAGTGCCTGATCAGAATCAGACTCTCTCTAGTGAATGACGTCGAATTTCTGCTGGACGACATCGACGAGTCGAGGTTTCCTCGCGCAGCTGGACAAGGCATCAAAGTACACACTGGCTTCCAATCGACTTTCGAACGGACGGCGGACGGCATTCTCTCCGGTGTGCAGACTGCGCTCCTGAGCACAGGCGCGAGCAACGTTCTGGTCACAGGACACAGCCTCGGTCCGTGGCAGTAGCTCTCGTGGCGGTTGTTGTTTTGACGCACCTCTGCTCCAGGGGCAGCGTTGGCAATGTTGACGGGAAGCATGCTGCGAGAATCGCTCGACCCGTCCGTGAGCGTGACGATCTCGACGTTTGGGATGCCACGGGCGGGAAACCAGGCGTGGGCCAACTTCGTTGATTCCAACGTGAGCCCTGCTTCCGCTCCGGCCGACGTTGCCATTGACGAAGTTGCAATCCAGGGCGGCGTGACCTTCATGACCAACCAACATGACCCAGTTCCGAGTGTCCCTCCGCTGCTGCTCGAGTTTGCACATCCGAGCGGAGAGATTCACGTCGTGGACTCGTCACAGCGCAACATCGTCTCCTGTCCAGGTCAGGATAATGAGAATTGCATCAGCGGTAACTCGCTGTTCGATGTTTCGATTGGGGATCATCTCGGTGCGTTTTACTTCCGGCGTTTTGGGGAGATTTGTCGTTAATCCCTCCTCAGGCCCTTATTTCTCAGACATTACCTTCGGGTCTAGCGAATGCGCTTGACTTGTCATTTATGAACAAAGGGTGTATGTACAATATGTAATCCGAATCGGATATCCGTACTACTGAGCACCCGTAGCACTAGGATTTAGACTAATGCCATGGCTGTAGCCATAAAAACCCTACACTATTTTATGAATGGTAGCCATAGCATGGCTGTAGCCATGCATATTAGTCTCTTGTCTGATCATGTGATGTATCATGTGATCTCCATCAGCCGCCCACAAGTGATACCCTGCTGTGTCCCTCCTTCTCGGACTTAAGACAGGTTCGGGTTTGGGATAGAGTTCGGGTTTGGGATAGGGCTTCGGGTCCCAAAAATCATTTTTTTTACTGGCTAGGGTTCGGGTTGGTTAGCGGTCAGGGTTGGTAGGGGTTTCGGGTGGTTAGAGGTTAGGGTTATTTCCCCCACTTAGGGAAAGGAGCTTGCTCCTTGCCCTAAGTGGGGGAAACATTTTTTGGCAGATGTTGTTAGGGTTCTAATTGACAATATGTACTGAATTAATATGCTGTTATGGCTCAATGGTTATTGCCGCAGATACGTCTCGTTTTTTGGAAGAGTCACGAGTTCAATCCCGGGTCAATCCCGGGTCATGGCTACCATTCATAAAATAGTCTACGGTTTTTATGGCTACAGCCATGCGCACTAGTCTAAATCCTAGTGCTATGGCTCGGCCGAAAGACGTGGATCCCGAGTTGCGTCAACTTGGCCAGCATCGCCCGCTCTGTGTGAGACTGAGGGATGAGGAGACCGAATGGGAACTTGGTCTTGTCCGCAAGCAACGAAAAGTCGGCGGTGAGCAGAGAAGAGGGACCTTCTTCCATGCTGACGCTCCCTAGTTGTACCCCAAGCGGCAGAATGATATCCATGCACTCGATTTTGTCCAGAGCCTATTTGTGTTCCGGTCAAATACAGCAGACCAACGCAAGACACCAGAACCCACCTCGAGAGTCGCTGAGTGAATCATTATGGCGCGCGAGGCGTTGTTGCCAGGCTCAATGGCGTCGACGATCACCACATTCCGGATGCCTTGATAGTACAAGGAAAGCGCTGCCGCCATCCCGCATGGCCCAGCACCGACGATGAGAATAGAAGTTTGTGCGGGCAAGGACATTGAGACGAATGAGACGAGTGATCCATCCCCAAGCCATACTTTCGGGTACTTATAGCTGGATCGAAGCAGGCAAAATGGTTAAACGGCAGCCGAAGTCGCATAAAAGTACACGACAAGGTCATGAGAAGACACAGAGGAGCCGGCTCATCGCTAAGTAGTTTGAACAGCACGTGAAGAGTTTTCTGCTGACGAACAGCACGTGCACATCACGTGTGCTGCCCACGATTCTTCGACAACAAAATCACGTGTGGTTTAAAAGAGATGATGGGATCCCGCTGCCGCTGCCGCTGGCCTTCGGACACGAACTGCCCAAAGCCTGAAGTGTGTAGATAAATCAAATTCATGGGCTCTTTCTACTACGGACCGACTTGCGGGTTACTTCTGTGAAAGGCAGAGCTGGAATTTTCTAGTCCAAACAGTCACGTAAGGGCTGGCCCGGACCTGAAGACCCTGGGCCGGTACCCTCTGGTGATGGTTTGTAAAGCACGTGGAGGAGGGCACGTGAGCAGGGTGGATTATGGCAGTCACTTGTAGTCACACATTGATTTGCAGTCAGAGCCGATTTGCAATGTACTGCTTCGCAGTCAGACACTTGCACGTAGTGTTGCACTGGCTCGGAATCAAGGCCCGAAAAATCGTTCGATCCCCGCTGGCCGGAATTTTGGCAGACACTTCCTCGACACGCTTCAGAATGACAAAGAACGATATGCACGCGGACCATGCATCAGCATTTCTTACGCAGAAGGCTAATCGGCCTTTGGCAGAATCCCTGCACGATGTGGAGTATAAATACTTGGGCCTACCTGAGTAGAAAATATCACTGGTAATCCGCACGATGCCCTCGCACACTACAAAGACTGCTACTCCTCTCCGCATTACGATCGTCGGCGCAGGTCTGGGTGGCCTGTGTAACGGAAGCGTCTAGACCGAGATGAGTTCCGCTACAAGGAGGAGGGGGGAGACGACAGTGAGAGGGATAAGGACTAGATTGACTAAGGAAAAAGGGAAAAAAAGGAGCTATCTACTTATATAGGGTGATCGGCGGTCAAAGCCAGCCGATCGAGGACTCAGTCTGAGAGATAAATCACATGACCTCTGTAACGGGACGTTCCCGCTACATACGCCCTCCAGCTCAACGCTGGCGGTGAGCTCACAGTCCATTAAAAATTCTCTTACCAGTTCAATAACAAGTCCGAGATGGCGTCGAATCCATCCACGGAAGTAAATGTCAATTAAATCAGTCAAGTGTCAATCAGAAAAAATCAATCAATGTCAATCACACGTCATTCTTGTATCCGCCCGCCCTCCTCGACGACTGACGGACTTCATTCATCATCAAACGATTCTTTCACAGTTTCAGTGGTCTCAGCAAGCGAGATATCGATTGCGTGTGAAGCAATACCCGGCGGTTTCCCGGGATTCTCCGACTTCATTCCACTCACATCGGGGCAGTTTCGAGACAAGTGCCCGCGTTCTCCACACTCGAAGCAGCGTCCCTCGCTCAGGTACGTAGCTCGAGTCTTGGCAGACAACTTTTTGCCGTCACGCGTCACGTAATCCCATGTCTTTTCGTGCTGGTTCTTCTTTGGAGTTTCGACAGCAGCACTTGACACCGATAGAGCTCGCCCTCCGTTGCGGCGCTTCTCGTTTGAATCCGTAGCCAAGTTTTCTTTCTTCCACTTGGGCTGAGGTTTCGGCGCCTCAGTCTCATCACTGTCGGCATCCTCAAGGTCAAGATTCACGATTACCTCAGCAGCTTCAGCACCGCGAGTAACCTCATCCCAAGTCGACATTTCGGGATCCAAATTCGCGCGGAACATTTCCTTGCGAATCGACGTCTTCAAGCTGCGACAAAACATCACGACTTTCTCCTGGTTTGCTTCCAGACCGATCGTATTGAAGATCTGCTCCCACTCGGCCTTATGGACCAATACAGATTTGTCATCTTGCTTGCACGCGTTTAACTTCGAGCGCTGTTTCTCACGGAAGTTCACAGGGAAACAGAAGTTGAATAGACCCCAGAAGAAGTCTGATAACGTCCAGGTATGTTCATCATTTTCCACGCGACTGTTATAGAACTCTCGTGCATGGCCAGACATGAAATACGACAAATAGAACGCTCGTTCATCAGCGGGGACGCGGCCGAGCTTTAGGTAAGCTGTTCCCTCTTTCACAAATCGGTGGAACGCTACCGCATTAGGAGATCCGTCGTACTCCTTCGGCGGAATTGGCTTCAAGATCATTTTCGGTTCGTTTACTGAGACGTTCACAGTCTCTCCTTGCCTGGAACGACGTGGCACTGGTGTCGGGCTCCGACTTCCGACATCCGAGGGATTGCTGGACGGCGGCTCGGATGGAGGGGGTCCGCCAAAGCTATCGACGTTGCGCAACGCACGCTCAATGAAGCTTCCTGCCCCAGTACGAGTTGCAGGAGTCCTCTCACGTGCGTCTGTCTGGGTGTGCGTCGGCGGCACACCAATGCTGATATGACGGTCGATGCTGTTCTTCACAGCGGTCTGGGCCTGGGACAAGCTTTCACCTTGCTTGTTCTCGGCATTCAGCATCTTAACGGGCGTTGAGGCCCGAGATTCCGTCACAGCTCTATGCAGGCTGTCAATTTGGCGCTGCAAGTCCACAAAACGTTCTTCAACGCCCTGGTCATCGTGCCCAGAGGCGTTTACACTATGCATCTTCAAATTCCGCTCCGACAAGATGGTGGTCGGAGATCTGCGGCTGTCATGCCGAACCGAGACAGACGGCGGCAAGTAACTGTCCTCGTGCTTCATGCGTCTGATCTCATCAAAATTCGCGAACGCAGCACGCTGAGTGTCAAGATCATGCTCAGAGAATCGGTCCGACAGACCTCCCCAGTTACGAGGATCAGGACCCTTGTCCTTCGAAGGGTATGATGGACCAGTACCCGATGGGAAGGCAGGACGGGCCCCGACTGGGGACAGGTAGGTCGACTCGAACATGGGAGGGAAGGACGAAGACATCGCAGGGAACGTCTCACCAGTCACTAATTGTTCATTAAAGTTGGTAATTCCATGATCTAAACGAGCGAAATTGATACCATCGTACGGATCCTGTTCACTGCGCTGTGAACTAAGATCACGATCTGCAGCCGCAGCTAAAGCTTCCTGCGCAATAGCCTGGTGGCGACGCGCAAAGCTTACCAATTCCGTGACGCTCATGCCTTGCATGGCGCGCGACATGGTTGTGGAAGTCTGTGAAGCGACGGTTTCTCGGTCGCTGACAGATTGATCCTGACTAACCAATGAACGAATCACCGGAACGGTGGATCCACTGTGCTGATGAGCTTCGAACTGGCTCTCAGCAGCAGTATCCAAATCGATCAAGGAGTTCTCTCGTCCATAGGACGGCTTCTCCGGCAGAGCCAGGCTGTCTCGTGCCAACTGGGATAAACCCACTCGCGTCGGCACGGCTGGGGATGCAAACATCCCAGGGAGATGCGAGATTTCAGGGGCCGAGGCTGGAAGGGAAGGATGCCCCTCTAGCTCGGATCGTGGCGTGCCGCTCTGTCTTGAGCGGACACTCAGGGGTCTGGCGGCGTCCGATGCTGTCGGTCGTCCAGTCATGGAGACAGTGTCGGAGGGAGCAAGCACAGTGGGCACATCGGGTTCGAGGTCTGGGTGCCCGCGTCGGGACTTTGGGTGGAATCGGTGGTGCATGCCGCCAGACATCATTTGGGGTCAGGGGTAGTCAGTCGTCGAGCGCCAGTTCGAGGGAGGGAGGGTTCGGCGCAGCGACGAATCTAGCAGGTGGAGCTCTCAAAAATATGTAACGGAAGCGTCTAGACCGAGATGAGTTCCGCTACAAGGAGGAGGGGGGAGACGACAGTGAGAGGGATAAGGACTAGATTGACTAAGGAAAAAGGGAAAAAAAGGAGCTATCTACTTATATAGGGTGATCGGCGGTCAAAGCCAGCCAATCGAGGACTCAGTCTGAGAGATAAATCACATGACCTCTGTAACGGGACGTTCCCGCTACAGCCTGGCTGCTGCTATGGCCATTCGACAGAACGGAAACATCGTGCAGGTGTTCGAGCGGATGGAGAACAAGAAAGAGGCCGGCGCAGGGCTGGGGATGCAGCCCAATGCGATGCGCGTGTTGAAGCAGCTCGGCGTTGAGGAGAAGAACTTGAAAGGCGTGTATGCCCAGGGGGTGAGTCCACGACTCACGTGTATACAAAAAATCCAGCACTACATGCCACGCAGACGATTGGTTTCGACCCTGAGACTGGGGAGAAAAAGCAGTCCAAATCTGCGCCTAGTGCGGAAGAAGGAGAGAACGATGCAAGTCTCAGTCTCTTTGATCCGTCGAGCTTCCCTAACGTGACGATCGGACAGTGGTTGCTCATGTGCCACCGGACTGACATCTACGAGGAGATGAAGCGCATCACACTCGATCCAGCGGGAGACCTTCCGCCCGTATCTATGCGCTTCGGCTGCAAAGTCTTGTCTTGCTCGCCCGAGGAAGGCGATGTCATCCTCGAGTCCGGCGAGGTCGTACACGCGGACCTTGTAACTGGAGCGGATGGCATCCAGGTCCGGCGACCCAATCCTATAGCGTCTCTCAACTAACTGATCGCAGTCGCTCATCCGCACGCATGTGCTTGGATATACCCAGGACGCGTTGCCGACCGGATTGGCTTGCTCTCGCGCGGTGTTCAACGCACCCCTCGCAGATGGCAGTCAGCCGGATCTGAAGTGGGTCACCGAGGGGATCGACGGCGTTCGTTTCGTCGTCTCAAAGAATCTCCCCTTCCGGCGGATGATGTTCTGCTATCCGTGTAGGAACGGGCAGCTGATCAACACGGTTCACGTGTACACGGAAACGGAGGACGAGAAGAAGGATGGTGGGTTGCATTCATTCCAATCACCTCAGCGACTCCTTACGATTCTTTGACTCAAGTCTCGAATGCGATGTCGACCTCGACAATGTCCCCGACCGAGGTGCGCGCGAAATTCGCCGACTTTCACCCCAAGTTCCACCGCCTGTTGGACCTCCCGAACCACACCGGCAAGATTTTACGCTGGCGGTTGCGGACGGTCCCTGCGCTCCCGACGTGGTACAAAGGCCGTACTGCGCTCCTTGGAGACGCGGCCCACGCGACGGTTCCGTTCTTGGCCCAGGGCGCGGCGATGGCCATCGAAGACGCGGCTGTCCTTGCCTGCCTCCTTCCCATCGGCACCAAACGGGAGGATATTTCTGCTAGACTTGCGGTGTGGGAGGAGATCAGAAAGCCGAGGGCGGACGAGGTGGCCAAGATGAGTATCGAGCAGATGCATGTTACTACTGGCCAGCAGGGCTCCACGATCGGTATGTGCATCTCTGTATGTTTCTCTGGGCTCTGTCGTTGATCCTTTTTTTTCACAGCCGCAGTTGATACGCGCTCCAAGTTGGTCGAATATGACGCGATTGCAGCTGGTAGACAGGCTTACCAGGTCAAGTTTGCGGCCGAAATCTAGAATTTGTTACTTGAAGTAGGTATTGAATGAAAATCTTAGGTATTATCCGTCCTCATTAGTAAAATGAGAAAATCCTGCTGGGGCCTGAACTGACTATATACAGAAAGTATGTTAATGCGTTTGTGCTGATGGTAAAATCACATTTTGCTAGTCAAGTCCGAATGACCACCCCGAGCCGATATCAATCAGAAATTGATCCATGTAACTCTGCTTCACGTGTTGGTTGTCTTGCAAGTAGTCCGAATTCCCAACCGGTCTCCTCAAGAAGGCATCTTCGGCGGCGGACCAAAGTTCGTCTGCTCCAGCACCCTCCCGTCCTCCAACACGATCTTCTCCGTCCCAGCGCTCACAAATACGATCCTGCACGCCTGGTGCTCTGCCCGATTGACCCACGCGTGGTTCGCACCGCGCTGGACCACGAACTCCCCCCGCCGCACCACCCTCTCCTCGCCGTTATCCAGCGCGAGCACGATCTCGCCCTCGAGGACGACCGCGTAGTCGACGCTCTCCGTGCGGTGCATCGGCACGCGGCTGCCCGGCAGGAAGTCGGCGATGCAGAACAGCATGCCGCGGGGCGAGCAGCGCGGGACGGACGAGGTGAACTCCGGGAACAGCGCCGTGTTGGATGCAGGGACCGTGTTGGATGAATGGAAGTACGTGAAGTGGGTCATGGCTGGTCCCAGTGGCGCAAACGGCGCCCGGATCTCGTCGTGTGTGAAGATGGAGGTCCCGTCGCTGGCATGGCCTGTGACGACGAGGCGTGCATCAGTAAGGTGGGTGTTTGGGTTCACGGTGGGTTCCATGGCTCAAGGTTTCACTAGGACGGATTGTAGTGAAGGCTGACAGTCAGGTCTCATTTTATGGACTGGAGGGCCGGCAGAACGGCCGCAGCCTTGGAATCTGGCGTTCCACGCTGAGTCGATGCAATGAAGTCAGCAGGCCGTTCTGACGAGACAAGCTGCTCTGTTCCATTTTCGCTGTGTTTCGCCTATTTCCAGCTGGCATGATGTTGCAATGATACTGACATATTGGGCAAACAACGATGCTAGTCAGATATATTCCCTCTGATAGAGGATCCCGTTCGTCTGAGCGGCCGGTGCGATGCTCTTCACGAACAACCGGTTGGCAAGAAACCGAATCCAGAACGATCTCTATCGCCCTACGCAAGACAGTAAGAAGACTCACTCCAGGCAGCCCTCTTCTTGACATGCTGTGTCCAGGGTTGTCATTTTGGTCCCGGCCCCAGTTTCAAGATCACCCTAGGAATCTTTTTCTTCGCACTCAAACTCTCTCCCTCGATCGGTTCCTCCTCAATGCTCGACAGCCCGCTGTCCGAGCTTGAATTCTCCTCCACAAGCGTTGTCGACGTAGGCTGCGTGCTGCTGCTACTGCTGCTACTGCTGCTTGACACGGGCTTCTTCGCTGTCCGATCTCGCAATACCCGCGAGGAGGGAGCAGGTGCGGCTTTGGCAGACAGTGAGACAGGACTTCTGTCAAGATCAGCAAACAGCTCCAACGTGCGATCGAGCCAAGGATGGGCATTCTTAGGCGGAAGAGAAGGTCGGCCGCCCCGTCGTTTCTTCGTAGCTTTCTCCAGCTGCAGGATCTTCAGAATAGGAAATCCATGGTAAGGGATAGACACACCAGAGTTAAGTTGTCCGCACTCCACCATTCTCCGTTATCGGGTCCATCTGCGAGTCCGACGAGATGGGCCATCGTCCCACTGATCAACGCCCTATCACTGTACCCACCCTCCAGCACACTAATAAGTCTGCCCTGGGCATAACGATTGCTCAGCGCGCATGCATCCTTGGCGAATCGATGGTAGAATGAGGTTGGCATTCGTCTATTGTGTCGTGACATCGAGGGCATCTCGTGCTCAGACGCATCCATTCCACAGCTTACGCCTGGTCAATAGGGTCCGTGTTCGAGTCAATTGGTAGCGCACCTAATGAAGAAAAGCACATCCTGGCCGGGTCCGCCAGTGCTCTTCAAGAAGTCCTCCGCTTTATGTAGAATCTTGGAGTAGTGGTGGCTATAGAGCTCGTCCCAGTGTTCTGGAGTCGAATATGTTTGGAGATGAACGTTCTCAATGTGCTGCCCGTGTGCCCCGTGTAGGGAGACAGATGCGGCTTGCACGAGCGACAGCTTTCCATCCTGTGAACAATGAGCCATCGCGAAGCACGCGATATTAAAAGACTTCACCTCACACGGATAAGACAGTATGTCATGCAAAGATCCGTAGTACATCTGCGGGCCGCGCTTTGAATTCGGCGCGCGAGCTTCCTCCTCTAGCGTCTGCCGATACGTCTCTTCGTTGATCTGCCATACAATCGACTGGGTTCCATTGCCTATCGTCATCAGTGACTCTGCATGCGCCGCACTACCGCTCTCACCGTGATGAAGGTCAATGTCAAAGATCACGATGCGGTTGATTCCATGCTGTAGATGGGCTGCGGAGCTTCAGAGAGAGCGGGAAGAACAAGGCAAGTCCAGTACCATGAGCAGCAGCGACAGCCACATTGTTGACGAAACAGAACCCCGAGGGGGAGTCCTCTCCGCAATGGTGCCCTGGCGGCCGGATCGCAACGAATGCGCGTTTCTCAGAGGTTTCGTCCCCGAGCACAGAATCGACCGCCTCGCAGACCGTTCCCAGCGCGCCTTGCATCGCAACGAGCGACTCCGGGCAAACTGACCGCAAGTGAGCCGGGGTTAGAGGGGAGGCTGAGAAACCTACGGTACAGATCGCCTTGCGCTAGGCCCTCCGGTATCTCAGACCCGCCCGCGTCGATCTTGCCCTGCGATTCGCGCACCCAGCGCACGAGCTTCTCGAGATACACGTCCCCGTCGATGTCTCCGTGCACATATTTCACAGCGGGGTGCGTGAGAAGGTCTGCCGTCGCCGCACTATGCACGACGCGCGCTGGAGGTGGTGCGGACGAGGTTGAGGCGAGGTTGAGGCGGTCAAGCTGGGACGCGAGATCGTCTGGATCGTGGGAGGCGTGGGACGCGATGCGGGCCCTGTCGTACTCCAGACGCGCCATGGCAGCGGAAAGTCCCGCGGTGACAGCGCGAAGTCGTTCGGGCCGTTCGACGACGTTCGAGGTATCTCTTGAGCGGATGAATTTGTGTTTGAAGCAAGCATCTTGCAGGAAGATCGCGGGCCTTGAACACTCCGTCGGTTGCATACTTTTAGATTCAACCATGACGGTTGTTTGTGTGGGAGGTTCGGAGCTGAGTACCGACTGCGATCAAGCAATGGATTTGGGTCTGGAAAGGAGCAAGATAACGTGACATAACGCGTCTGTCACAAACTCTCCGCTTGCCAGGTCCAGCCGTTTCAAATCACGCTCAGGTATCACAACCGGACAAGGGTGCAGTATAAACACAAGAGCTAACGAGTACAAATACCGCCATTCCAGGCGAATCTTTACACGCAGTTGCCTGCCCAAGAACCCTCGGAAAGTACACTCAAAGGAGGACATCAGGGCATATGAATCATCGCAATCTGGGACGGATAACGAAGTAGGCGAGAGGAGTCCCTTGAGACTTCAGTCCATGCAAAGTCGGTGTATCACGAATTCTGCATTATCATTGTATCGAAGAACACTTCCCTGGCACTCGTGTAGCATGCTGAAGCGGCCAAGTGGCAAGTAGCTATCAGCTGTCCAAGCTCAACTCTCTCTTCTACATTAATCCCACTTGGGAACCTTCATCGTGCCATGCTCCATCAGGTGGGTGTGGAATTTGAAGGCGTTCTGGATGGCATATCAGCTATAACGTTCTGGTATCAGGAAGGTCGCAGGGCTTACCCTCAGCATATGCGGTTCATGGCCACGGCCAGCAGCCAGACACTCGTGCAGCGACCGCTCGTAGTACTGCGAATGTCACGGTGAGTTCACTTTCCATCCCGAAGAGAGAAAGCTACCCACATCCATCAGCAAGTCCCGGTAATCCGGATGCGCACATTTGTTGATGATCACCGGTGCTCGTTCGCGGGGCGAGAGACCACGGAGATCGGCCAGACCCTGCTCAGTCACCACCACGTCCAAGTCGTGCTCTACGTGCGCTCAGCCCAAAAGTACGCAAAGAGCACGGCGCCACCTGCCTGTCTGGTCGATATGAGACGCGAAGGGAACGATGCAACTCAGTCCGGTCGGGTCAGTCTTCGTTGGGCGACTACCAAGCCTTTCAGCGCCATGGAAAGCAAACTTGGATGGACAACGCACGTCGAAGGGGTGTGCATGATAGACAACTTGGCGTTTCTCAAGAAGTCGGCAGAGCCACCCAGTCCATTCAACATCCTGATGAGTTGTTCAGCGCAGGCAACAGATGTTGTCGCGTAGACGTACCGAGAGCCAAGCGCGCAGGTCGAGTTCGCGTGTCCATACTGGTTCCGTTATATCACCAGTCGCGGGTGGTCGAAAAAGGAAAAGACTCACGATATCCACTTCAAGCGGGGTGTTCATGGCAATGATCCCCAGACGCCTGATGATTTCCGGAGAGTTGGCTACCTGCTGAGAGCGGAGAAGCAGTCGGTCCTTGTAGTTGGCCCAGTCTGGTCACATGCATCGTCAATACTGGTCACAATCACACACGAGGATGAGCGCGCACTAGCGTAGAAGTAGTCGAAACTACACGGAAATCGTCAGCAGCGGCATCAGGCGATTCAGTGCCTGGCAACTCACCCTTCGGGACTGAACTTGATGGAAGTAGCAGTCGCGAAGTCGAGCTTGCCCGAGTCGAAGAACCGGATGAAGGTGTCTGTTCCAGTCGGCTGAGCACACAACGCGCAGAATCATGCGACGACGCACCTTGCAACACCTCAGTCCACACCATGACCTTGTCGAACGGCCCGTCCGCAAGTCCACCGATGATCGAGTTTGCGACGTTTCCAATGCCAGATTGGAGCGGCAGCAGGGTCCGTGGCAGGCGGCCAGCATCGACTTCCTCAGCAAGGAACTGGATAAGGTGGCCTGCGATGGCTTTCGAGTCCTCAGTCTAGTCGAAGCATCCTCAGACCCACGCAACGACGAGCAGAAGCGAATGTGGGAAACTTGCCTCGGGGGAGTTCTGGCCGGTGTTGTCCGGAAGATGCGACTCGACGATGGCGACAACGCGGTCCGGGTCGATCGCAATGGCGGTTTTGCCGATGCGGTCTTCAGGGTGGCTGATCAGCTGGCGCCAAGGTCAGAGGCGGAGTTATGCGGCGATAGGACACTGGGACTCACGTATGGCTGACGGTGCGGCGGAATGAACGACTGTGATATGTCATGCAGACCCTCCAGGTTGGGCAGATGCGTGTTCACTTCCTGAGCAGAGTGTGAGAGCTTTCAGTCAACATCATAGCAGTAGGACGCACGATGATGATCTTTTCCGCGGTTTCCAGAATCTCGGGCGTAGCTCCGACAGACGCTCCTGGTACGATGTGTCCATCTTCGGTGATTGCGGTGGCTTCGATAATCGCCCAGTCCAAGTGTTTCTTGGGATCCCCGTGCTTCTTCTTGAGGCTGTAGTACCCGTACGTAAGATCCTGGGGGAACACTGGGCGCTGTCAGCGAACGAGTCGTGCGGAGCCAGAAAACCACGGACTGGACAAGTGCTTATCCGCAAACGCGATACGTCCAGCGTTGATCCCCTTCGCGACCTCCTTCCCGACTTGATGCGGGTAGCGACGCGCGATCCTGCCATGCCGTCAAGACGCGCTCACGCCGAGAGGGCGCATACGTACATGTCGAGCTTGGCCCACCGATCCTCGACTTCCGGGCCCGTGGAAGCGCCGACGAAGAGGTTAAAGCGCATCTTGGACTGGAGGTTGTTCTGCTCGACGAGGTCTGCGAGGGCCTGGAACACAGGGTCGTCAATCATAGCAACCAATGGGAGCGCAGTGTCGGTAAACGCACAGTGGGAACACGCTTGGGGTATCCGACGCCGGTGAAGCCCGACCATCCGACCTGCAATCCATGAGCGTCCTCCTTCGGAACCAAGGTCATAGAGACACACGTAGTCGTCGTCCTGGGACAGCGGTCAGCATCGCGTGCATGAGCTCCCAAGTAGGCACACGACACACACCTTGAAAAGCGGGGCGAGATCTTCCGGCTCTGCGAGCTTCTCGAGGAACGTCGAGCGGCGGACACGCTCACGCAGCGTCGACGACGCCATGCCGGGCTTGAACGAGACAGGGATCTGCCTCACACGCGCAGTAGATCGCATGGTGGTGGCAGTTGGGGAGAGGAAGGTGTGTCGTCCGGGGTGTGGGGAAGTTTGGATTGGGTTCTCCACCCGGGGGCCCAGTTATTTATTTTGGCCACATGCCGAAGTGGGTTATAAGTGGCCCGTGGGCAGCGCGGTCGACACCCGTGGATGGCCGATTTGCGGCACCAGGCTAGGCCAAGATCCGGTGATCCATTGATTGCTGTGATCAAACGCCGGACTGAGATAAATTGGGAGAAGCACGCCTACTTATACCGTTATTAGGGGATTGGGAGGACAGTAACACAACGAAATTTATTTCCAGGAGATGCTTATTTAGAAATACAATGGTGAGGTGTTGGATATCTATGTAAGTGGGGGGTGAGTGAAGTTTTTATCCAATATTTGGACGAGTGTGCGATGCTGATAGTCGTACGGGGTTATGCTGCCAAGAAAATTAATCCGAGACGCGGTCTAAACGCCGCTCTGATCCACGATCATATCCCGCCCATTGGCCCGCACGGACCGCCGCGCAACATCACGCGCCAGAGGTTTTCTCATGTCTGTCCGAGAGTGAGAAGGCGTCGTAATTTCAGAAGATCAATTCTGCCAAAGACACACGCACCGAACGCATCTTCCTCGTCCCGTGCGCCCTTCCCCACGCCCAGGCTCCCGTAATACTCCCTTATGCGCCGCCACACGCTGTAGCCCATCCCTTCGTACATGTCTATCGCCACGGTGTTCGCACACCGCACAAACAGGTCGACGAAGTATGCGTTGTACCCCACCTCGGAGATAAACTCCAGAAGCGTGGTCATTCTATGCGCCAGGCCAAGGCGGCGGTACTCCGGAGCGACTGTCAGGGCCGTGACATGGCCGTGGAAATCAGACCCGGACCCATCCGCGTTACCCAGAACTGCATGGTCGCATCAAGCGAAGGCACTGCTGGCGGGGAAGCAAAGCACGCACTGTAGCCCATGAGCCGCCCGCTCGGCGCCGCCTGCACGTAGCATAGGTCCGGCCAGGTCGAGAGGTAGTTGAGGTAGAACGCGAGGCCGTACTACGCCCGCCTCACCTTTCAGCACACGACCTGATATGGGAGCGCAAAAATCACGCACCGTCTCCGTCCACACGTCCAAATTGCTACACGTAAAACACAGCTCATCAGCGGAAGAGCCGGGGAGGAAGAGCGGGCTCTACATGTTGTTGAACTTGAACATATCGTCGGCTTTGAAGGGGCGTAGCACGCTCATTGTAACAGGGATGAAATGGCAAGAGACGGACGGCGAAAAAAATTCGGGAAGGACCGGGCTTGAGGAATGCACGTGGCGGTGTCCCTGCAACTCCTTTTGGGAATGGACTTGCCTTTTCGGGAACGATCCGTGCGGGATTGCACCCACCGATCACGGGCGCGCTAGCCTGTCTACTTGTACACAGAAAAATGCTAGAAAATCGAGCATCATCTGACATGTTCGAAGCCACAGCCTCTCTGTGTGGGCGTTGATCAATCTGTTTGAAGGGAGGTCCTGACCGTGTGACAGGGCTATGTAACACGTGCTAGATTAACGTCAGACTTCGACTCGAGCATCCATGCCACTCTTCGTCAACCCTACACGGTGGAAAGGGGATCGTCTCCAGGTGACTCCAGCGCAATCTCGACAGAAATGGCCAAGGCCCCCGCCAAAGTATGCTGGTTAACTCCTGCCAACGGAGATCTGGGAGATCATCATCCTACTTGGGGGCGAAGAACGCGATCTGTTATCTGTGGGTCGTGTGTGCTCGACATTTAATGCGCTCGCTGTGATTCCGCTCCCCGCTCACAACCACATAACTCCGGATAATTCTCCTCGACCGCGCCACGTTCATTTCATGTCTTGCGAGACGACATCCGGCATTATTGGAGAATCGGCGGCAGCGATGAGCAGCCCAGCAGCCCTATGTACATCGAGACAGCGGTGGTATCTCGGGGTACTGCCCACCCGGGAGTCGCAAACGGCCACACGACTGTGCGTGTTGCACACGGGGGACGTCGAGGTGATATATGGGATCAATCAGGATGATCGAGCGTGTGACGATCCATGTTGGGCTGGAGGGCGCCCATTCGCCACGGTCGTTTTCAGTCCTCTTAGTATTCGACGCACATCCTGTTGGATCTTTGATCCTTGGATCCACCGTCTTCCCCACTGATATCTGGAATGACTTTCTGCCGTCGCTAGGTCTGCCTGAACTGCAAGGACTGTCGATCATTATCGACACAATTGAACACCTCGTCTTGCACACCTTCCTGACGAACCATCCCAGGATTCGACACATCTTCCTCGAATGCACGCACCGAGATTCTGACGCCCAGATCCTACTGCACCCGACTCTGGCGCTACCGAATCTATTCTAGAGTCGGTAAATATATCAGCCACCTCTGAGCCGGTTATGCACATGCACATGCCTGCTTCTGCCTTGCTTGATCGACTCGCCGAGACTGTCCCGATTCCGATTCCAGTCCAGCTTCCCAGCCTGCCTGACTCTAGCAACCATCACTGCTCTGCTTCGTGACTGCGAAGCTATGTATATATGTAGCTCAATCCGAGCGTGCCCGAAAGACGGTGAGCGGATTCGACTCGGATCACAGGAACATTTGGTCCGCCGACCCCGAACTACAGTATATGCGATGGCCACCGCGCTGTACCAGTACAACATCCACCAAGTGCACCGCATGTGCCCGTCTGTGCCGGTCGCGTGTGCGGCGATTCCGCTGCTCGGCATATTGCCGGACGAGGCTCCAAGTTCGCGTTCCCGCGGGGATGAGCGGTGGGTACCGGGATGTGGAACACGGCAAGATTTCGTCACGCAGGGCTTAAAAGGATGCGGGGATCTCGGGCGCGGATTTGGTCGGGAGCGTCTCCGTGCTGGGACGACCATGGGAGGTACAGCTTTCGAACCTGAAGCAAGAGGTAACAGACCTGCCATTCGAATCGCCAGTTGGACATGCTAAAAGGACATCATGTTAATGAACATCGTTGATCACTGCTACCAACGAGATCAACTAGTGCAAAGCCCTCGACGATACGCCTCACCCGTAGTGCTAGGATTTAGACTAATGTCATGGCTGTAGCCATAAAAACCCTACACTATTTTATGAATGGTAGCCATAGCATGGCTACAGCCATGCATTCTAGTCTTCTCGCGTGATCACGAAATGTATCACGGGATGTCCATCAGCCGCCCAACGATCAGCCGCCCCACGCGCTCATCACTCATGTGTTCGCATCAAGCGGCATTCATCGCGGCAGATCACATTGATTCCACACGTCGGCCATCTAATCATCGCGGTGACTGTGGATGATCATCAACCATTGACCTCACCATATCGGGCACAATTCCCGTATCGTCGGTTTCCCGCGCTTGTCCCGCCTGCCTGTTATCGCCAACATCATCATATCTTATCTTATCGTACAATGTCCTTAGTGTACATATTTGGCTCGTTTGCTTCCCCGATGTTGCCTCGCCACTTGTTCAGCAAAAAGGTGTGTAACTTCGTGTGCTACACCGCCTGCTTCAATGTGAATGCCCGCGCACCTGCGTCTACCTCACATGAAGAGCTCACCCGCCCCGACGACTTCGTCTTCCACCAATCAGCCTGCCATTCCAGATAAGCACACACCCGACGCATCTCCTCCTTCAGCAGCAAGACCTCCTTGGTCCACCTATTGCGACGCGCCAGCGCCTGACCCCATTCCACGTGTATTGCTGTGATGACGTCAGTTACGCCCTGTGCCTACTGCGTCGGGAACTCACAGTCATGCAGATCTTTCTCCTTGTTGTCCAAAGCTCCGGGCGTGGTCCAGATCCATGATATCACCTGCTTCGACAATCCGTGGTCCTGCCTCGGCACGCGCCCTGCTCCGAGCGCCCCAATCTACTTTGCTGTCCAAGCATCTGTCCTTTCTGTGTCCGTCTCCATAGCTGCACCACTCATCTGCAGGTGCTCATCCTTGAGCTCTTGCAGATGCTGGAACTTTTCCAAGCGGCCAGCCTCCACCAGAGCCTGCCGTCCCCTTCGATACCGGTTGGCGCTTGCTGTCACCTTCTCCCCGACTTTGCTAATCAGTGTCCGTGCCTTTGTTGACTGGTTCTGGCCAGTCACGTTCGCATTTCGGAAGCTGATCAGGTGCCTCTTTGCATGCAGACGCGCCCGAACCAGTGTGAGTGAGTTCTCGCACTGCGCCACCCGCAGCTTCGTCTCAATGTCACACAACCTGGCCACACAACCCCGCGCTGGACCCAACGATGAGGGCATCTCGCTCGGCATCCATAGCTTGATGTGTTCAGGCCGAGGGCTTGAAGCTGAACGGACGCGCCGGGCTTCAGCCTCCTCAATGATAGCGGCGGCTGCAGGCATGTACACCGCCTGCAGTTCTCGGAAGCATGCCAGCTTCGTGAGAACCGCATGCCGCCACTCTTCGATTTGATTTGCACGCTCGCCTGCGACCCACACCGTCCCCTTTGGCTCACGGATGATTCTTGCCCTGCGCAACCCGATAAGTGTCTCATGCCTGGAATCACAGCTATGACGCACCTGTACACAATTCAGAATCCGTAGCGCACGTACCTGACATCTCAAGCATATCCGGGCAAACGGCAGGGGGTATCAACGCGGGATGCATGGACCAGGGGCGGAGCGGGAACTGGAACTCATCACCTCTGATGACAACACACATTGGCGTGGATGTCGCCTGCGCGCGCGCGATGCTGAGCAGTGATCACGTGCAGTGCCGTAGATGGACGGCGGGACGGCGGGCAAGCCACCAGATCACGTGCAGCACTGTGGGCGGAGGGCGGGTGAGAGCGTCAAAGGTGTCGATGGTTACCAGGTGCACATCTGCGCGCGGAGTGATGGAGCATCAGGAGCGGGGCTGACAAAGGATCAGATGTGCAGCGTCGGTCCCGCCTGATCAAATGCACATGACGCCGGCGGAGGCAGCGCGCATCAACAGATTCTGTCGGAAGCGCAAGCACGAATTCATATCACATCGCAATAAGCGAGAGGCAGAGAGCGCTGTCATCAGCACTGTTGATGGCTGCCATCACTGGTGGCGATGGGTGATTTGCAATCGACTGACGTTGATGGGTGCCGAAGTGAAGATGCCGGGGGTTGAGCGTATTGCACGCAGCCATAGACCCCACGGTGGTTATTTAGGTGCCTAGCCATAGCCCATGGCTACCATTCATAAAATAGTGTAGGGTTTTTATGGCTACAACCATGCGTATTAGTCTAAATCCTAGTGCTATGGCTCTACGCCTGACTTGTACGCATGTCCCGAACCCGCCCGCTGGTGAGAACGAGGCAGGATGGATCCATCGAGGAAGGCCGCAGGTTCAGGCCATCTGGAATCAAGGGTAGCAACGCCGGTAGTCGCTGGCTTGCCACTTGATAGACTGAATCGAAGAACACCCACCTTCGAAATGATCCTTACCCTGAATTGATCGATTATACAGTAGAACAGCCACTTGATAATATCCAGTGGCTGTTCTTTGCTGTGATCCACGTGCCGTGGGGGCTGTGCGACTGCGCCACGATTGGCACACGCGTGCAATCCATCTTGAGCGGAATGCCTGTTGCAGGCGGCGCAGCGTCCTTTCCTCTCCCCCATCATCCATGCCCCGGGTCGCAAGACCGCTTCCTGAAGTCTGGAATGTCATCATTCGCGCGGCCGACAACGACGCGCTCTTCGCACTGTCCCGCGCCTCGAAGGCGCTCAACGCGGCCTGTGTCCGCGTGCTCTTGAGGAGGAGCCATGCGCACAAGGAGATATTCACGAGGGAGAGTGCGCAGCTCAATCCCACCCTTCAGCGCGTCTTCTTCGTCTCGACGCAGCGCGCGTTCGGGCTCACGCGCGTTGCGTTCCAACTCGCTCCAGGCGCACTGACGCGGTCGCTGGACTGCATCCCCTCCATCGTGACGCGATGTCCGCAGCTCACCGAGGTCCGGCTGACCATGGCTTCCTCCGATCCACTCGTGCTGGCCGACGCGCAGGCTGCGGATTTGGATCGTGTTTCGCGTTGCGTGCGTTCGGTAGAAACACTGTGCGGCTTTGCTGCGACGGTCGCATTAGGCGCGAACGGTCCGATGCTGTACTTCGACCAAAGCCAATCGAGCTTCCTCGCCTGCCGCGCGCGGGACCTGCGCTCCTGGAAGCTGGAGACGCCGGCCTTAGTGGCGGTGGCCGACACCCTGCGCAGCAGAAGCTCAAGCATGTCGTCCCGCAAACGCAGGTCCTTGGGAGTTTTACCTACGCCCGGGGGATTCTGGGGCCCATTCCAAAGGAACGGCACGAGGAACGTGCGGCTGTACTCCGGCAAAGTCACGCCTGTGGGCCGCGTCGACTGCATCGAATCGGTGACCATCCACGTCGTCCAAACTGTCCCGGGACCAATGCCCGCCGGGTTCTCGCTCCTGATGTTCAATGATTCATGCAACATCCGATCCGTCACCCTCTCCTCGCATGATTTCCATCGCGCGGTGTGGAGCGATCTGCTGGGCCGCTTGTTCATGCCGTGTCTGGAGCGGGTTTCGTTGGAGACCAATTTTATAGACCCCTTTGCGCTGTTCACGTTTCTGTTGAACCACCCTACGATCAAAGAAATTCAGTTCGTCGAAACTGCTGAGCAACCAGAGCACCGCGGCCAGCTGATCTATCCAGCGCTGAGCCTGCCGAATCTCGAACGCGTGTCGACAACGACCTCTCTTACGGAACCGCAGATGGGCCTCATTCTGGCGGCGTTGATTGGATCACCTATGCTGCAGCATTTCACTCTCACGTTTCCCGCTTACCCCACTGCGCTGACTCTCGACGGACTCTTGCTGGACTTCAAGGCCATCTACGACCGTGCGGCCGATGCGGGTGCGATTGAGCTGGACGTTCGCGGGGACGAGCCGCCACCGCCCGAAGGCCCTGAAATCTGGTCGTTCCACAGCTCTGTTATCGCTGCAGGACGAAACCTCTTCCGGATTCCCACGATCAGCCTGTTCTGCGAGTCGCTGACCGTGGCACACGAGGCCATCCCGTGGCTTCTCGCACTTCCTGATCTGAGGCAGTTGACGATGAATGTGACGGTCTCAGGCTTGTTGGGGCGAGCAGAACTGGAGAGAGAGCACCGGCGATTGAGTGGGGCTGTGTGCGCTGCGTTGAGCGATGTCGCGGTTTCTGGAATGCTTTCCATGGCGGACAACACGATGCGGATGAGACTTCCTTGATTTTCTCTTGTTTTCATCGATTCTTACGGACGCTTACTCGCCTATGATATCGATGTGATATACCCAAAGCCTGATATCTCACGACTTTACCTGAGAATACGAGGCCAACCAGATGATCGTTACGTGAGCGCCCGAACATCGCAAATCCAAATCGATACCGTGGCGCGCCGTCATGGGATCCCGAGCTGTCGGTCGCCCCCTCCCGCGCGTGACGAAAGCCTGCGGGTTTTCGCCCCTTGAAAGGCACGACCGTGGGTCAGGTGATTGAATGGGTGATAAGATAAGATAATAATCTGATGGATCATCGGAAGCTGCCACGATGCGGACCCGAACATTCAGTTTCGCTCCCACCATGGTCCATCACGTCTCACAAACTTCGAGAATTCTCTTGGCGCCCTTTCTCGACGATGGCCGCCTGTTCATTTGCGCGACATGCTCAGCGTTCTATTCGGCGTCCGCCCACGCCTGCCCTCACCAAGCGCCGAGCTCAGGTAATGCTGACTCGCACTCGGCAGCGGAACCGATTGTGGGGAGGATGCCCCAGTGCATCGCTCGCAGGAAGCAAGGCTGCATCCGCGAATGATCGCGTGGTTTGTCTTGTCCCCCTTTTCTTTTTCTTTTCCTCGCGAGTTCCCGGGCTGCGATCTTTGCCACGTCCGGGTACGCATCGCAGGGAGTGCGTCTCGATGCAAGCACGACCCATCGACCCGGCCACGTGCAGCGGCCGAAGCGGCATCGCAGCGCGTGCGCGCGGGCCAGGCTGGAACAGCATCCCATCCTCCCAAGCACCCTTACGTGCTCGCGCGCGAAAAAAAGATCTGATATCCGTGGTATCGGCGACAGTTCGGCGACCGCTGTTCGCTTGGCTGGGGCCTCGCGGTGATCTCCTCTGGGTGCGGGGGACATAGCAACTCTCCGCAGCCACCCATACTTAGACAGCAAGAAAGGGACAGTGGATGCGAGCGCGCGATTCTCTGGACCATCCTCTCGGACAGCTTCTCATCCCTATGCACCTCCGCCCGAGGCAAGCCGCACCCGAAAAGTAAGCCCGGCGATGACGCAGACATCCTTCTGCAATTGAATTATCCGTTCGTGCTCACGGATTTCTCTAGTCCGACGTCGCCCCACCACAACCGACCGGGACATCTGAACCAAGCTTGGGAGGTTGCCGTCTCCGTCGTCCTCAGTGCGTGGTGACCCCGCCTGCTTGTTGTGTGTGCGGTTACCACGATCTGCATCAGTGCTCGTGTTTGGCCTCATCCTCGGCACCGTCCTCTGGCACAACCGCGAGACGAAGCGGCGGAGGGCGCGCTTCCTCGCGGAGGCGCAGCACAGACGCGAGCGGCGGGCTGCCGCGCGCGAGATAGCGCTGTCACGCGCGCCCTCGAGGCAGGCAGCGTTGTTGGTACGGGTGCGTCCACGGATCCGCCTAAACACGGGCTTCTTCCGCTCAGAAGCGCTTCTAGCCGCCACCTGCGCCGACGAAGATCACCATCGAGTCTGACGTCGGGCCCGCCCGGTATCATATATAGGGACCGCTCCTGAACCGCAGCTGTGGGGCGCACCTGCCCGCTGCAGGCGCACCCACCATCTCTACATCTTATCACCGCGCGTGTTCTACGTCTCCGAGATGTGTTCATCGTTTCGTACCCCGCAACAGATTGAGATCGAGTTGTTCTTTTCATGCAGACCCATATCCTGACCGTCGAGTCGACTGCTTGCATCTGACGTGCTTAGGAACTGTAATCTCGTACCCGTCATGACGGCCCGCACAAGCCCAAGCCCAAGCCCAGGTCCGTTCCCAGGCTCAGCCGTTTCTTCTCATGAGGCAGCCTATTTGGTCACATGCACACGGACCCCCGGTCATAAGAGCTTTGCGTCTGATTTGCACCATATATTGGACACGGATCGCCCCCAGTGTGGATCATTTCCCTCAAACTCTAACGCATTTGTAGCCCAAATCCGGACCTAAATTTTTTTCTCTGGCGTGCTATCTGCCGTGAAATGAGCCTATCGTGGCTCGAAGCTGGGACCTCGGCCACGGCCTCACACCTCTTTTGGGCATTTGCACTGAACTCTCTGCACTACCTGACTAACTGAGCTAAGGCCACTCCCGGGCGCTGATTTGCGCTATTCTGGACTATGTACCACCCACGTCGTTGGTGACCGGGGGCCTCCGTGAACACGCATGTGAGAGTACACAGCTCCCGTGACATTCTTTCCTTCGAACGCAAACTATAGACTCGCCCAGCCATCCTTGGCACTGGTGGATCGGCCATCGTGGCGCCGGGCGGCTGCAGCCGATCAACTGAGTGTGTGAGACAGGGGATGAATGACTAATGGGGAACCCACCGCGAATGAGGGGGTGAGTATGAGTAAAATGTTGCTATAGGCAGTATCCCTGCTTCCGATTCCTGCGAGCTTAGAAGAAGAAGAGATTTCAGAGTGATATCTATGGGGTGTAACTACGGGAAAAGCTCAGACGGATCTATCATGTCGATGGGGGGCGACCGAGAAGGCCCCATCCAACAGCGATGATGTGATATGGTACGACACATCAATCGGTTGTGCCATCAGAGAACGCATCATTTGTGAGGCGTGATTTTGTGAGGCGATAAGACACTAGAAAGCGTCGGCTCTGCCGACAGAATGCCTTGCTACTTGACACAAAGAATGCAATAATTTCAATAAGGACATTAGTCATGACTAACCCCCAGAAGTCCTCGTTCTCTTCTTCTTTCCACCAGAATATTAGTTGGGAGGAAATGTAGTATGACCATTGAAACTCATGTGCACGCAAAGAGCAAATGGTGATCAGAGTGGAACGGAATAAGAGCAAGTCACTGTCTAGTACAGTTGGGAGGGTATCAATTCCACGAGAAGGTGGGAGCATAGCCCGTCACAAACAGCAACATTGCATGCACAGCAGGCAGTTGCTGCAGTTCTGACATGCGGACGTACGTGACTGCGAAGATTGATCCACTTAGGATGGATTCGATACTGCAGGAAGGTGGTAGCAAAGCCTGTCACGAACATCGAAATGGCATGCTCAGCTAACATGCGAACAGCAAGAGTGATCAGAACGGATCAAAAGACGGATCAGGCGCATCTGATTTGCGTGTGTGAATATAGGGTCTGGAGAGTGCCTTGACAAGCAAGGCAATACTGCGCTGATAAGACTAGAAAGCGTCGCCTTCGCCGACGGAGTGCCTTGCCCGAGCGAAATACAACGACATTGCACGCAAACGCTACGTAATCACATGATCTTTACGCCTTCCTCTTTTTCTTCGGACTCTCGTCCATCTCCGGCACGGCACGGCGCTTCCTCGGGCTCGAAGGCGCAGCTATCTTCGATTCGATCACACGCAGCTTGACAATGTCGGCGACAATGGTGTCCTCGCCCTTGTTCTTGAAGCTGAAGTGCGTCAACGTGAATGTCGCAGCCACCGTAGCGCCGGGAAGTTTGCTCATGTAGTCCTCGGGCGCAATGATCCTACCACCCAAATCATAGGCGCAGAGTCTATCCACCACATATTTTCCTTCCATCTCAATTTTTGCGGATTCGCCTTGTTGCTTTTTGACAGGCCAGTCCTCCAGCTGTATGCTGCGCACCATGTCTCAGTATCGTCCACAGTCATACGCCTTCCAACTCACAGCCTTTGTCACTATCATCCTCGGGCAACTGCAACGGAGCTATCAGCGCTCGCAAAGCCCATCTACATCATGACAGTTCTTACGCGGAATGGGACGTGGCGCAATTTAAAACCTGGCTTTTTCGAATCGAGCATACCCTTGAGGCTGAATCCCGGCGTTTTCACACGATCAGCGAGCCCTCGAAGAACTGCCATCGACTTGGTGTACGGCGCCGCATATTTGCCACTGTTCGGGGGTGAAACGGCCTGGCAGTTCAACGTCACTTTGGCGAGCTCTGTTGCACCACCCGGAATGGGAAAATTCCCATCGGGGTTCAGCCAGCAATCCTCCAGCCCGATGGTCGCGACACAGTGAAGCTCTGCAGCTTCGAACTGAGATGGGTCAGCGACATCACCATCGCTGGAAGTGCTTTGCCCAGCATCAGCGTTTGCGACAGGGGCTACCTCGGTCGGCCCGGCGTTCTGCACAGATGCAGTGGTGACCAGAAAGTTGGTACGTCCCATCTGTTTCCACACGACGTGTGACATAACATCGGGATGAGCCAGGTAGTAGGGCGAATCGAGGAAGTCAGGCTTAAGCGATTGCATCGTGGACGTTGGGAGAGAGATAGAGACAGGAGTCCGTCCGATCTTTTCCGCACACTGTTTGTCCAAGCAACAAACGCAATCTTCACCATGAACCCCTCAGCCGACGACCTAACAACATCGCTGTCCCAGCTCAGCGCCGTCGACTTGCGCGCCGTTATCTCCGAAGTCGCCATATCTATTCCGTCGTCCACACCGCGCAGGAGAGAATCCTTGCTGCACTACGTTACGACCCAAACTTCACCCGGTGTCCAGCACGCATTACAGGCAGCGGCTGTCAAGCGAGCCAACGAGCAACACACATTGAAACGACGCCGCCAAGAACATGACGCCGAACTACGCATCCGTGATTCCAAGATGTTGCGCCTCGATCGTGAAGCCAGCGGATACGACGCAGCCAAGTTCTTATCACTGCCAACCCAGGAGGAGATCAAAGCCCTCTACACCAAGTTCTATCGTGCGACATCCAATGCGGCGGTCAGCATGATGGTGTGTGGAGCTTGCGCACGAGAAATCGATGTTGGCATCACCGGCGAAGAAGATGCAACACCTCGGCGGCTTCGGGCTGTCCCCAATTCCCATCGCCTTATCCCATCGCAGGCACACGCAGCACACGACCTCTTTGACCGAAAGCTGCTCGATCCAGCTGGCGTAGTCGAGATCAATGGGGAAACCCACGTGCGCCTGTGTTCCGACTGTTCTTCCAGCCTCGCCCAGCCAGGAGACAAGCCGCCGAAGCATTCGCTGGCTAACAACATGTGGATCGGCAAAACGCCCTGGCAACTCCAGGTGCTCACTTTCCCAGAACAACTCTTGGTCGCCCTCATCTATCCTCGTGTCTTCGTCTTCAAGCTGCATCCGCGCATCGGGGGCCGTGATCCTTCCAAACTCCAACGGGGCATGCGAGGGACTGTCAGCACGTATGACTTGGACACAGACGGGATCGCATCCATGTTAGCCGGGGACCTCATGCCCCGCCCACCCGCTGTCCTAGCGTCGGTCCTCTCTGTCACCTACATCGGCGTGGGAAAACTACCCAAGAACTGGCTCCGGTCAACTTTTCGTGTCCGGCGTCAGGTTGTCTACGAGGCGTTGAATTGGCTGAAGAACAACAACCCCAAGTATTATGGCCACATCAAGATTGACGGGCACCGCATCGCAGCTCTACCAGAGGACGATGTCCCTTTGGAGATCAGCACACTCGTGCGCCAATCTGAAGACATCACTGTCGTCGAGCGCGAGTGCGACGGATATGTGCGAGAACAACATGATGACGAACATGCTGATGGCCTAGACAACGGTATGTCAACATCAAACTACGGCTGATTCTATCACCAATTGGCTCCCAGCTTTCGATCTCTCCGATGACGAATCAGAAACACCGCAGGACACCGTGGATGATGCGGAGGGTGGTACGACTGCACAACAGCTAATTTGTGAATCACACTGATTTATCTTTCCCAGGGCCCGATGTTATACCGCTTACAATAACGGGCACAGTCGATACGGACCTGTCCTCCATGAGCACCAATGAGATGATGCACTGGGGGCTTGCCAACCTTTGGAGGACCGGGGAGGAAGGAGGCTATGCTGTTCGCCATGGATCGCATCCCGTCAGTGACTTTGGGCGACCTCCGCAAGGCTCCACGGAGCCAGCAGACCCCGACCGGCCCAACTTCTTTGAACGCGCCTTTCCCTGCCTGTTCCCGTTTGGAGTCGGAGGCCCAGAAGCAGACCGCACGACTGATCTATCGTTCACTGAACATGTCAGGTGGGCTCTGCAGTACCACGACCGTCGATTTCGGCGGCATGAGACATTTCCCTTTGTTGCCTTTGGGATCTCTCAGCGGCGGCAGGCCCTCATGTCAGCCCGCATCCAGATGCGTCGCAAGGACTTTGAAAAAGATGCCCGGATCCTCTCCACAATCACACAACAAGCACTCGAAAAGGCGAAAATGGAGGAGGATCAAAAGCAACGCATCTCGGATCCGGCTGTTCGTCTGCTTCGACAGCATGTCCATTCCGCCGTTGGCCGCGTTCAAGGTTCTAATGAATCACGCACCATCCTCCGCAGCCAACTTTGGTCAACGACGCTGTACACGGGCCCTTGGAATTTGTGGATCACTATAAACCCGTCCGACATACATGACCCAATCGCACAAGTTTTTGCGGGAGAGCACATCGATCTCGACAATTTCATATCAACAGCTGGCCCAGACATCAATCAGCGAGGCCAAAACATTGCCGCAGATCCATACGCTGCCGCCAAATTTTTCCATTTCACCATCCGCACAATCCTGGAGACGTTATTCGGCATCAAGACGTCGGGCTTTCGCGTGCGGTCTGAGATGGGCATTTTCGGACAGTTAGCGGCCTATTTTGGCATGGTCGAAGGGCAAAACCGAGCATCCCTCCACTTCCATCTCATAGCGGCTCTGCGCTTCGCACCAAATGCGGACGAAATCCAAGAACTCTTACAACGTGAAGATTTCCGTGAAAAGATCCGGGCTTACATACGTGTGAATATGCGTGCGTACCTCCCGGGTTTGGATTCGGCTGAGGGGGTCAAAGACATCGCGGTGGAGAAAGAGATTGCGTACAACCGGCCTCCCAACCCTGACGGCCCTGCATATTGGGAACGGGTGCAAGACTTTGAGCGGCGTCTGGCGAGAACAGAGCAGGTGCACACATGCGACATCCGGCGCTGCCTTGTGGTTACCAAGTCAGGGCGCCTGCGTTGCAAGAGGAGGGCACCATTCCCTTGCTCCACTGATGACTACGTTCTCCCAAATGGAGATTGGGGGCCCAAGCGGTTGTATGAATATATCAATGGTTGGAACCCGGCATTATTGGTCAATGTGCGCTGCAACAACGATTCCAAGTTTCTCACACATGGTGATGATACCAAGAAGATCACCCTGTACATCCTTGGTTACGCGACAAAACCCCAGCTTCGAAACCACAACACGTCCGCAATTCTTGCAAAAGGCTATGCCTATCATACTGCGACGGCAGCTCTTCCCGACGAACAGATCAAAGATCTTCGTGACAGGCAACGTCTATTGCTCTTCCGGCTGGTACACGCGATCAATCGGGAACAGGAGTTGGGTGCTCCCATGGTCATCTCATACCTGATGGGATGGGGTGACTGCTACAAGTCGCACAACTACGTCCCCATATATTGGACGTCATTTGCGGCCGCCCTGCGCAAGGCATTTCCCAGCCTGCACCAACATAAAGGGTACGTTCACCCACGTGGACATGTGCAAATGCTCATTCCGTCATGCGCCATTCAGATTGACAGACACTTTTGCCAAGCCCACCCGAGAATCGCATATCCAGTCCGCCAGTGCCCAAACAAGCGAGCGCTCCCTTGGTCGTGCCACAGATGAGACAGAGGTTCTTTCAAATCCCCATACTTTGAAGCATTCACTAACCGTGGACCACAGGAATGCGACCAGATGAACGTAACCTTGACAATGAACACACGCGGTTTAATATTTGCCAAGAACCAAGTGACAGACTACGTGCAACGTGGAGATGATTTGGAATCATATAGTGTTCTTGATTACTTTGTCGAAACCTATGAGGTTGCCATCACACAGCAGGAACGAGAAGCGCAAATGCACTCCAACGCTAGGGCAGGATCAGGCAGCCGAGGACGTCCCAAGAATACACGTATCCGCTACAGGCCGGCCCATCCCACTCACGAACAGAAACAGCGTGTCATGCGAGCGCCCGGCCACGATAGTTTGCCCAACTTCATCGGTGAATGGTTCCCGCGCCGCAATGATGTCGACCAACAGGACTTCTACCATGCGTCAATGCTTTTACTTCTGAAGCCATGGCGTTGTATAACAGAAGGTCTCAAGCGGCCTGACGAGACCTGGGAAGAAGCCTTTCGGCATTTCGCTCAGTCGGGGCCCGAACGCAACCGGGACATCCTGGCAAACATTCAGTTCTATCACTCTTGTCAGTCTGCGGCGCTCGCAAGCAAAGATGATGAAATTGATGGAGACATACTGGGATTGGCACCTTCGAGCATGACCGAGCCCAGTGGTGGTGACGAGGAGATGACAGTTGATGCAGGGATCACAGAAGATGACATATCGGCTTTGCAGGCTTGCCGATTTTCACGGCGGGAGGCAGATCACGGTGACACGGCCATCGAAATCGCACGGCTAGTCAGATTGTTCAATGACGAAGACGGACCTTGGGCTATCAGAACCGCGGGTCACAGAGTGGCTCCAGCTTCTGGGGACGATCTTATCAACGTCATACGATGGAAGAAGCAGATGGACTACTTAGCGCAGATGCAAAACACCATACTGGGGCCATCGGACGAAGGCGAAGACACTGCGACAGTTGCCGTAGAAGGGTTGGACCGAACCGAAACTGTTGAAATGATCACAAGTGACATGTTGCCGAAAGGAGAAACGACAAAGTCCAGCCACATGTTTGATGTGGACAGCTGTGATGGAGAGACAACGGGGGAGGAAGTGATCGTGTTGCAACCAGACCAACAAAGGGCATACGACATCATCATGTGGCATTTGGGACGAGTGCTCGCGGGGCATGACGTGCCGCCACTGAGGATGTTGATCCATGGCGAAGGGGGTACTGGCAAGTCCAAGGTCATCACGAAGGTGACGCGGTCATTCCAGCATCATGGCGTCCATCAGTGGCTTGTAAAGGCTGCATACACAGGAGTCGCAGCTTCCCTCATTGATGGAAAGACGACACATACTATAGGCGCCATGGGACTGAGGGGCGGCAAAATCAGTGACGCGAACAAGGCCAAACTCCAAACATTTTGGAGGGAACGCAAGTACCTCATTATCGATGAAATTTCGATGATTAGCAAGCAGTTTCTCGCGCAATTGTCACGCAACATCGGCATGGGGAAAGCATCTGCAACGGACAAGTCATTTGGGGGTCTGAGCGTCATATTGTGCGGGGACTTCCACCAATTTCCACCGGTCGCAACGTCTGCTTCGCAAGCGTTGTATTATCCCATGGACATCATCAAAGACAATGTTGACACAAAGATCGGGCGCGCCATCTATGAGGAGTTCAGCACAGTGGTTCTGCTGAAGCAGCAAATGCGAGTCACGGACCAAGTGTGGTTAGACTTCCTACGGCATCTACGGGTTGGCAATGTGAAAGAACATCACATGTCAATGCTGCGCACCCTGTGCCTGAGCCCCGACAATAACTTCGAAGATGACCCATGGCAGGATGCCACATTGGTGCGTGCGAGGCATGATCGGAAAGCGGGCTGACGATGTCCACAGGTGACGCCTAGACATGGAGTGCGTGTGCCATGGAACACGCAAGCTGTACACAAGATGTGTCGTCATCAAGCACGACAGTTGTACATCTGTGCAGCAAGTGACACATATCGAGGAGCCCCGTTGTCGGTCGCAGACCGGTACGCGCTGGCGTTGCACCTCAGCAAGGGTCATGCGGGCAACAACATGGAGAAGGACTTGCCACATTCGATTGAACTGGCCATTGGAATGTCAGTTATGGTAACAAACAACATCGAAACCGATCTTGATTTGACCAACGGCGCGCGGGGGACAATCGAGGACATCATCCTGGACCCCGATGAACCACCCATTGGCCCCGAATCAGTGGTTCACTTGAAAAGGCTACCTGCGTACATCCTTGTACGATTCGAGCGCACAAGAGCAGCACAACTGTCTGGCCTGCCATCAGGCGTTCTGCCGATACAGCCAGCGAAAACGACGTACCTGGTAAAATCATGGCTGAGCGGAGGGACCAGTGTCAACAAGACTATCACCCGACGACAATATCCGTTGACAGGCGCGTATGCATTCACGGATTACAGGTCGCAGGGTCAAACATTGAAGCGCGTCATCGTGGACATAGCAATGCCACCTACGGGGGGGTTGAGTCTATTCAACGTGTACGTGGCACTGTCACGCAGCTCGGGGAGAGAAACGATCCGGCTGCTGCGAGACTTCGACAACCGAACTTTCCAACAAAGCCACGACACGAAGCTGCTTGCTGAAGACGATAGACTCGAGGATTTGAATGGAGCAACGAAGAGGTGGTGGGAGACTATGACGGTCGAAGACTGATCAAGAAGTCCAGGAGATCGCAGCTGTGAAGGACGTAAGGTAGGCAAGCAATGACGATGTGCACGCATACCTCCAAATGAAAAAGAGCAGCATGGTTGGGCCGAAGTGACTTGATGGTGCTCGAGAAGGATACAGGTGCGTGTCGCCAGAGCCAACTGCACGCCGTTGACCACTCATTACAATTGACCAGTGGTATTAGACGCGGCGTGGAGGCGTGGTGACAATGAAGAACCACTGGCCACCATACATCGTGTGCAATCCGCGCGCGGCGGCCGGCAAAAGATCGAGGCGATACGGACAAGCGAAGACAGGGAGGACACGCGAGATGCAGAGGGAAAAGACGTTTATTGTAGAATGTTGTCGCTACATTCTAAGCCACGCACGTCCCGGGGAAATGCGGAACACTGTTACCGGATCAACAAGGCCATCAAAAGGGCGAATTATGGGTGTGGAGAATGCCTTGACAAGCAAGGCAATAACAGCGGCGGACGGGACACGCCAGAATCCCTGCTTCAGAATCCGCTCCCAAGGAATTCATACAGTTCTTAGACATTGCGGTCTCTCAACTTCATATATCATTTGCATATTGGCTCGTAATCCACCTAATGTTCCGAGAGCTCGATGACACGGAATCAAAAGCAGTTCGACAAGGTCGAGCTAGCTTTGTACTCGCTGGATCCTGTCCCAAAGCCTACCAAAAAACACAAATGACACGCTCTTCGACGTGGCATATGCCAAAAGTCAACTGACCTGACAAATCTTGCATGAGTGCGTCGCAGATACCGAAAACGAGAGCCGCCAGACCCGTTTTCCCCTTCCGCTGGAATCTAAAGCTGTCCATTTCCCGGTACATGATTTGACATGGTATTCGTGTAGTTTAGGCAGTCTATCACGGGACACAACACGACATTGCGGAGGATATGCGTAGAGTAGAGTTCTGTAGGAAAGTCTATGGGCCTGTAGATCACAACTCATCATTATGGCCATGACCATGGTGTTGGTGACCGTGGTGGCTCTCATCTTGCAGAGGGGCTTGAGCTTGCTGTTGTTGCTGCTCTACCGACCCAGAGTCCTCAGTGTGGCGGTGATGATGGCGCCGGCGGGCCTGGTCACAATAGAGTCAGCGACTGGAATTTAGAAGATTTTCTTTCGCTGACGGGTTGTTGCTTTCTCTGCAAAACGAATCAATAAACGGATCGGCATCTGATGAGGAATGCGACAACGTACACGGGGAGTCGTTTCGTGGCTGCCGCTCAGTGACTTGGGAACATATTTGATTCCGGTAGACGGACATGTGCCCTTCTCCGGGGCGCCTGGAGTGACACTTGAGCACCAGATGCTCGACAGCTCAGGAACATCGCGACGTACCGACAGGAACCATGGTCCCATCCAGCAGCGAGCCCTGTAGATGGAAGTACCAAGAGACTGAATCGAGCGCGGAGCCGCGGCAATCCAGAACGGGTGCAAACTGGATCAAATCGTCAATCTCTCAGGCAGCAGGGATATCCAACACCGACCCCAGCTCCAGTCTGCAGCGCATCGGTCAAGGTCTGCAAGTCATATGTTGCACTGGATGACGGAGTGATGCCTTGATTCGCGAGCCAGGTGTATGTTGGCAGTTGCTATGCGACCGGTCGGTCAGTTACAACATGATTTGTTTCCAGCCCATCCTCACTTGGAACAGACCGACGACCGTGTTGAAAAACGCAACGGCCTTCGATGCGTCATCAATCACCGCGACTCCCGGCAGAGCTGACGCACGCACCTCAGCGCCTTGTGGGCTTCCTTGCGGCAAGCAGCTCGGCTTCAACGTGCTGCGATGGAGGTGAGAACCACGCAATCAGACAGGAGCCCCCGCTGACCTGTAACACGTCCCGTGCGTGGACCATTCGTGCTATGCGCAGCAGGCATGAGAACTCGTATTGGAGCCGACACACGTTCGACCACGGACCTCCCAGAATCTCTCATTCTGCCCGTCAATATCAACCCAGTACTGCCGGAAATCAGACATCTCCCATGGTGCAAGAAGCAAGAAATGAAACGCACGGTTTTCATGTAATCCAGTGTGCTTTGGGCGCCTTGGGCGGAAAGAAGCTAGGTGATTCCAAAATCAGCGAGTTCCCGGGACGAGACGAAGAGGCAGGATATATGCGTACACCTGCGATGTTCTTGTATGCTCGCGACGGGTCGCAGCTCTCCGAGAAGCTGAGGTCACAGCTGTGGAGCGTGTAAGGAGAGGGTCGGTGATATCTCACGCCTTGGTTCTCACTGGTCAGGCCACAGTCCTAGAATGCGATCAGACGCGTCAGGAAGGGAGCATACACCACCCACCATGGATCGTCCAGCTGTCCACGGGCCCAGTCTCTGGATTGGTGTCCCAGAACTACGCGTCATGAGCACTCAACGCAGGCACACCGCTCGACGCGTAATACCCACCTGGGTCTGCAGCAGCAATCCCTACTCAGGACGCGTGTCAACACAATGCACCACACTGCCAAAAGGACCCTGACGTACTCCAGGAGCCTCGAAGCAGCACAAGTCGTGGACCGCCGTCGTGTTCATGCACGACGCGACGCTGGTACCGGCGCACGAGGAGGAAATCGCGTTGCCTGTGATCTGGAACGCGGCATGGGCGAACGGCGCGATGAGGACGAGCGAAGCGGTGAGAAGTGGAATGGAGCGCGGGGGCATGATCGTAAGAGGTTAAGGACGAGTCGGGCTTTGCGTCCGCGAGTTCTGGTCCATAAATAGACGCGATCTCAAGGTGGAAAGGAAGAAGTATCCACAAATGGACGTCTCCGGAACAGTCCGAGAGAGCGATGCACGGGATCGTAATCTGTGACGGCTGGATGGCATTGGTTACTTTTACTTTACATGATGAGATGATATAGCTGAAGCTACACTTTCACGACCCAATGACCTCGAGGGTATACGAGATACCCTGGCCGGTTCCAGAGAAGACAGCCTCCTGGACCTGTCCGCTGGGCGTGTTGGAGCTGGACCAGTCCGTTGATCCGTCCGATGCAAGGAGGAGCGAGCCGCCGCTGGAGACCTGATCAAAGCATCAGCACAATCCACATGGCCAGCAGCGATAAGAGACGACGCACGAGCGAGAAGGATGTAGTCGAAGCCCCGCTTCCGCAAGCGAGCTGGCCGCCGCTGACGCCGCAGGAGCCCTTCGATGTCGTCATGGTGAAGCTGTCGGTCGTGCCCGACAGATGGTACGTCGCCAGCGTCTGAGTCGACCACGTCCCGAGCGAGAGCAGCCCGCCGACGCTCGACGCCTGGATGGTGGCGGTCGAGGGCAGGTTTCCGGGTGTACCGGTCGCAGTGTTTGTCGGGCTCGTGGTCGTCCTGGTTCCCGTCGCGGTCGTGCGGTGAGTCGTGGTGCCGCCCACAGTGGTAGTGCCGACAGGCGAACCGGTCTTGGTGAGGTACTTGATGCCACTCGAGGGGCAAGTAGAGCTCGAGGGCGAATCAATGGGTTGGAAGGTCCCATCGATGAGACTGCCCGAGACATGGAAGTAGTATGAGATACCGCCCAGGTTGCTACCGGTGCAGCTCAATGCGGGTGTGAACTATCGACGCACGGTCAGCACTTTCATCATGTCTCCAGTAAAAACACTCACACCCCAAGCATTGCGCAAAGCGGAGGTCAAGCTCGCCAGAGTGTGGGTCGTGCTGGAAGACGGGGTGATGCCTGCAGCGGCGAGCCACTCGTAAGTAGGCAGGGTTTTGAAAAGGTTGACCGTGGTCTCGAAGAACGCGACAGCCTCGGCACCCTTGGGACTTCCTGACGGAAGACAGGACGTGTGGAGAGTGCTGTAGCAGGTACCGTGAGCAGCCCATTCATGCGCCCACAGAGAGGCGTCGGTGCCGTCGTTCGGGTCGTTCTTCCAGAACTGGTCCGGAGAGTTAGACACCGGCAAAGCTTCATAGAAGCACCCACAGTCTGCATGTACGAAAGCGTAGAGCTGCCGCCCTGTGCCGAAAGCAGCGATCCGATATCGGTATAGTCCCGCGAGGAGTCACAGTTGGAGGTGAACGTGCCGTCGCAGCTGCACACATCATCAGTCAGAACCCAAGTATACAATATCAACCTCGACTCACTTATCGGGCCAGAGACCGTGGATAGTCCAACTGTTCGACGGTCCAGTCGATGGGCTGGTATCCCAGAACTGGGTCTGCAGCAACAAACCACCAGGAGCCTCAAAGCAGCAAGTGCCGCTCTTGCTGGAGCTGCACGAGAGTGCGCCACCGTTGGAGCATCCGGATGAGATCCTCGACGTCGCCTGCCGCGACAGCAAGGGCTTGATGAGCGATGCACTCGCGAGCGGAGTGGCGGCGAAGAGCGCGAGGACAGCGGCGACGGAGAGCATCGTGGACGGTACAGCACGGCTCCTCCTCTCCTCTGGTGGCCCTATTTAAGCCACAGAGACTCACACCGTGTACACATTGTGCTGAAAACACGATCTATGCCGTTCCGCGTGCCCCATGGTGCGTCCGCATATGTTCGAGCATGTGGGATGAAGAAGTGTGGGCCAGGCAACCGGAATGATGGGATCGAAGCGCTCGGAGGGGAAATGGAATTCGGCCTCGATATCAAGGATAGGCGAAGCCGGGGAAGATACGTGCGTCGAATGAGCAACGTGCGAGAGCAGGAAGTTCGGCGCTCGACATGTGGCGTGCAAACGGAAGTGAGACCGGAAACCCTGTTTCCTGCACCAAGCTTAACGTTAATGAGAACTCGCTCCTTATCTCGAGCACAAGCTCATGCGGCGCACCATGAGTTCTCAGCGCGAGATCAAGCTTGGTATCCTATCCAGCGATCCGATAATCAATTCAGCACGCGGCCACCGACTTCTCGCCCTCGAGTTGAGTTACAACTTTAGTAGCACTCAATTTGGAAGAGACCAGAAGATCTTTGACGCTGTATCAGGCGTTCCGCAACGTCAAATCTGCGCACATATGACTCGTAGGAGCTCTCGTAGGACTGCCAGATCATTGCAGAGCGAGAGCATATGCTAACACTTGCCGTGATGATGCCGAAAAAGGAGCTATAATTAGGACCAACGTGTATCCTGCGATGAATCTGACTCTACGCTCGTGCAGTCCAAGGGGGATAATGGCAATGGAAGCGTAGTCCAGGCAGGGTGGGAGCAGCATCACGCGAGTGACAGTGACACGAGAGCCACGCTGCGATCACGTGTATTGATGAGCAGGCAAAATACATGATCAGGAGCGTTCTTCCTTGCCAGAGCATGGTCATTTGGATTCAGTCCTAGTCTGTACCATCGAAGTACACTTGGTCCATGACAATCCGGCCGATCAGATTGTTCATGCCAAGCTGGGTGCTCCTGCCGGATTTCTCAACCACAGGTGCGGACATTTACTAAACCATTCAACTCCTAGCACTGACCACGGGACTGTGAATGCAAAACGACAAAAATCAACATTGAAGACAGTAATAGGTAATTTAGGCCCTGGAAGTGAACTCATAGCTGCTTGCATCCTGCATCCTTGCTTTTTGATACGTCAATGGAGCCAAAGAAAAGTAGACCTCATGGTCTGGACTCGCGGGTCGCGACCCGACCTGGGACAACACTAGGAACGCGTGCATGTCCTTTCTTGATCCCGACCATAACGGTCAACAACTCTTCCCACGACATGACAAGCCGGTGCGAGCGACCGCTGGGCCCGCTCCCCCTTCGAGCGCGCCCGGGCGCCCCAGCAACCGTCGAAGAAGATCCCCCGAGCCTGCTCTGCACTCTGGTGATCGCGAACCGGATTCATCCCATACGAAATCACCCCACACGAACCGCGTCGTGAAGAAAGGAAAAACCGGACCCGACGCAGACCCATTCACGGGAGACACCCACGCCCCAAACTCCAATACGGTGAACAACGCACCACCATCCCGACCACCCAACCAAACGCCGCAGGCCAAGACCGCCGCCGCCATACTATCTCCAGCACACCAACCGGTGCTGCTGCTGCAGGACTCGCTCCAAAAGTGCCTGGGGATCATGTCCGGACTCCCAGCATCAACCATCTCACCCTCGATTCTCGCGCCTTCGATTGATTTATATAAGCAGATCGGCAACACGCTCAGACGTATCTACTCGGGACTGCAGCCACAAGTGACATATGCAGCTGCTGCACATGCAGCACACCCAACTACCCTCCCACCCACTCCCCCCACCGCAGCAAAGCGGCCAACCAAACCCAAACCCCCACTGCCGACATCGCGGCCACCAGTAAAACCTTCTCGGCCCCAAGGCCGAAGGACACCGGACCGAGTCATAGTCGACATGACTGCCTCCTGCGAGGATGTCATTCTGACACCTGCACCGCTCTGCAAGGCGTTCAACCAAGCCCTTCCGAGTACCATCCGGGTCAGAGGAGTTTCATGGACGAAGCGAGGTAACCTGGTAATTTACCCGGATCCTGACATATGTAAAGCCTCCGACATCCTCCATCACCAAGATGCTCTCTGGGACATCATATGGACCGAGACGAAACGGGTACAAGCTGTCGAGGGAGAAGGGTCACCCACGCCCCCAACTCCGGATTTCTTTCTGGACAAGCCATGGCACTCTGTTGTTATTCACAATGTGCCAATTCCTTCTGGCGACCCCACACCAGAGACTTTGGATGAGGCCATCGAGGAGCTTAGCAACCAACTCAGTTGGACTTCGACTGAGCACCTCCGTGCCAGCATCCCGTTCCGCAAGGTGCGTTGGATGAAAGCGAAGGGTGGTCCCCGCAAATCCGGCATGTCACACCTCCCTGTTGCCTCTGTTTTGGTACCTTTCTTTGCCGAGGCAGATGCGAATCGCCTCGTGCAAAATGGTGTGTTCCTGTTCTCAGAACACCTCAGGGTTTCTCGATACAGACCTCGGTCGCAATCAGCCACACCGTAATTGGCTTTGATGCCCATCACACCCTTTGCTATTTCTTGAGGGCTGTATGCCCTATGTTTCATGTTGCGCTCAGACCTACCTACAGTACATGCATGTCCCATACAACCCCTACCTCCCCACCTTCATCTCATACAGTCAACGGCCGACAAGTCCAGTCGATACCTCCTTCCCAGCTGCCTCCGGGCACCGCGTCTTAGTAGTTAGTTTACTTGTTGCGGAATACAAATGCAGATTCAAACAAACTAGGAACGCGTGACTTTGGCAACCTGTCGCAGATGGCGCTCGGTGATGTGTCGTTCTCCGCGCCTCTTCCATCGACCACGCCTCGTCACATGCGTTATGGACGCTCACGCCGTCACTTTCGCAAGCGCACTTCCCTTGCTACTTCATCACAAGTCGTCCGACTGGGATTGCTGCTTGTGGTGAAGAACTTCTTACTCACGCATCCTCTGATGCAATCAAGATAGTAGCGGTGTTTGTCATTTGCGATCCCGCCCGAGAGCTTACCGCAGTGCCTACGCGAGTCTTCCGAGTATAGCCCCGAGTGCTTGGAGCAGACTCGACGTCGAAGTCTCCCTCCGATCCGCCCAAGACTGGCGAACGGGACAAATAGATGCGAATGTAAGCGCGAAAGAACGTTGTGCTGCCAGCGACCTACGACCCTCTCCAACCCAAAAACTACTTGAAAAGATAGGATTACACCACCCCGCCCCCTCTGCTCTGCAATAGGCTATCAAGCGCGTACATGAGCGACGAACGGGCATCAGATCTCTGCCAGGCCACTCGTCCGGAACGCGACCGCTCTTCTCACAAATTGAAGGGTTCCCAGCATCCGAATGACGGTGAAGACAAGCCATCGTACAGGGGCCCACAGCTTACGCGGCGACGTGATCAACCCAATCCCATGCTCTGTCAGCTTGATCACCTCCAGCGCACGCTCGTGTCTCCATCGAGCCCACTCCAACAGTCCGCTGTCCTCTTCGGGCGCGTCGAAATGTGCTTTAAGGATAGGTCCTAGGCTGACGGCATCCCGCAGGCCAAGGCTCATGCCCTGCCCACCCAGAGGACTGTGAATGTGCGCCGCATCGCCGATGAGGAAGACGATTCCACCGCTGGGGAAGCGCTGGAAGTGGCGATCCGATACGGCCGAGCGCGTCTTGTACCGCGAAGACCAGTGCACGGTTTCGATCTGAGAACCTCGCAGAAGCCCGGGAGCCATCCGGTCGAACATCCGTTGCAGGTACTCGACATCGGGCGAGTGCGGCGCCGCACCCATCGACTCTGGGATCCCACTGGTTATGCGATACACCGCTTTGGTAGCATTAGGATAGGTTCCGTCGGGAAATTGCGCGACGAGCATGGCACTATTGTTCGCGAGACGGAGCATGGCATGAGGCGTGGTCGCTGGAAGTGGCGCGGAGAACGACACATCGCCCAGCGCCATCTGCGACAGGTCGCCAAAGTCGCGTGGTCCGTCGCCGTGTGGGTCTTTGAATCCGATCCCTGCGTGATGCCGAACCTGATGATAACTTCAGATGGACCTAACCCACGCACAGGAAGAATCACTGCCTACAGCTGATTGCGCCCCATCCGCTCCGATGACGTATTTTGCCTTGATGACTTCCCCAGACTCGAACGAGACCTCCAGCATACCAGAATTATCGCTGCATTCCTTGACCGACACGACTCTCAGAGGGCGCAAGACATGGATCCCGAGCTGCGTCAACCTTTCCAACATTGCCCGCTCGGTGCTCGATTGCGGGATGAGCAGACCAAACGGGAACTTGGTCTTGTCGGCAAGCAACGAGAAGTCTGCGGTAAGCAAGAACGACGACCCTTCGTGTACACCCAGTTTCCCGACCTGCACTCCCAGTGGAAGGATGATGTCTATGCACTTGATAGTCTCTAAAGCCTGAGTGTGTATGTGTCAGTTGGGTCCAAGAGTCAGAAAAACGCCCCCCACCTCGAGCGTCGCGGCGTGGATCACCATGGCACGCGACGCGTTCTTACCCGGCTCAGTGGCGTCCACGACGACCACATCCTTGATGCCTTGGTGGTACAGCGAGAGTGCCGCTGCCATCCCGCATGGCCCAGCGCCGACAATGAGGATAGGTGTTTCAGCTGGCAAAGACATTCAGACGTATGCGTTCCACAGTGGCGGCGCGTGCAAGCTCTTTTAGGCGTGCAAAGCGGCCCGAATGGGTAAACGGCCGATGGAGTTGCGTAAAAGCACCCGACAAGACAAGGTTCTGAGAAGACCAAGCAGAGCCGCGGCGATTTTCTGTAGGTCCGCCCAATAATCGGTGATCAAGCCGGCCATCGGTCACTGTCGACTATGCTTATTTGAAAAAGTGCAAATCGCCCCGAAAACAGAGTGCCTTCCATATCTTTCACCCGTGATCCCCAGCACTGAGGGAGAACAGCTCGTGCGTTTGCATCTGTTCATCGAGCATTCTACGCAGCCGGGAACAGTGAACAGCACTGGTGAACCGAAAATTTGACGTGGATGATGATTGTACGCGGCAGAAAATCTCCGTAGATCCATCAGATGATTAAGATATGATTTACTCGAAATTCTGTGCTTGATTGGGTGAAAGCTGGTGAAAAGCGAGGGGAATTTGTCTGATCTCCCCCGCTTTTGGAGCGTTCCCCCCTCCATTCCGAAACCGCTCAACTGGGACTGTTTCACTGAGTGAGGCTAGGCCATTTTTGGACATGATTTGACTTCATTTTTGAAGGACATACTACTGAGTTTCCGCGGGCCTGTACCCTAACCTGATGTACTATTTCGACCAATAATTCACGGTGTGTTACATGTGACCCTATTTTTTCACTGGAACCATTGTTCACAGGACAGTTCCTCACGTTACAGCTTCAAAATTGTTCAGGCTGTGATGTCCCACTTGACGTCGTGTCAACTCAATTGGCGGAAGAGTGATCAACCCCTGAGTTGGACCACTTCAAATGTTATTTTCTGCCACAGCCGCACCTCAGTCTGTCTACTGCACCTCAGTTACCACCGCCAACCCCCCATATAGACCCCGCGGGGGACCTCCTGGGTACCCTTAGACGTAGCTCTATGGGTACCCAGGAGGTCCCCCCCCCGCGGGGGTACAGGGGGCAGCTGGCCATTTTGGGGCAGGGGGATGGGCGGGGGTCAGGACGGGGGTCAGGACGGGGGTGCCCATACATACCATGTGACTTGTCCATAAGAGCGGGCAGCTGGGCGGGAAAAAAAAAATCAATCACATGATGCACCAAATGGGCGGGATGGCGGGAAAATCACGTGATGAGCTGCAGGAAAAATTTCAAAATGGCGGGGGTTGGCAGGGGCGTTGGCGGGGGCGCTACCGCCCCTCCCGCACACTGCAGCAGGCAGTGGGCGCATTATCACGTGCCTTTTTGGGGGCCCCTTTTTGCACCATTTGGCATGATTTTGGAGGTGCTGCTTGATAGATTGCATGTTGTGGCAGACAGTGGGCGCAAAATCACGTGATTTTCCGCCAAAAAAAAAATGGAAGCCTCTCTAAATCATCCCAGTATAATTTCCATAGGTAAATACACTAATTGACCATGCATTTGAGCTTAGAAAACCCCAAATGCACCCTGCACAATAGGATTGTTGATGCGCTTGATCCCATCATCTGGCGGGGTCTGCCGCGGGGTCAGTCTGGCATATTCTATATTTGACCTCCTTTAGCCGTAGCAGTAGTGCTGCTGACCACCAGGGCAAGAATACAAACATTTATGAAATATCTTATCAAGGTAGACAAAGCCAATAGGGAAGGTGGAGATGTGTAACTGGATATTGCAATTGATGCAGGGCCCAGTGCGGGGTCTGGTGCGGGGTCTGGTGCGGGGTCTGATGCGGGGTCTGGTGGGGGAGCAGGGGCAGGGGTGGATTACACAAAATTTTGATGTATCTACTCTGGCTAGGGTTGTAGAATATCACGTAACTTTTCTCTATTTTGGCAGGGAATGGGGGATAAAGATACACAACATTGCCCGCATGTTTTGGCTGGGTCTCCAGGTCAAGTCATGTGATTTACCAATGTTTCGGTGGGGGGTAGGAGATTAATGGATGATGTTACCTATATAATCCATGGCATGTGAAGTCAAGCAGAACATGTGATTTTCTCATTTTTTGGCTGGCAGGATGGGTGGCATAGTAGATTGGCAGACCAGGGTCCACACTCCACCCATTGATTGTTTGCTTTACCCATTTAATATATATGTGTAGCACAGTGGTATCCATTTTTGGAGCTTGTAATAGAACATATTAGGTACACATCTCATCCCCCCCTTCCTGGCTGAATGCACTTGAGGTCTGAAACTTGTGTGTTCCCTTGCAAGCGATCTGCTTGGGTTTCAGCATGAATTCATTAAATAGAGTGGATTTGAGGTGAACTATATTCATTACTCGGTGTGATGTGAGAGGATGTATTTACTGGCAAGTTGTCCCACAATAGTCAGAGCTTGGTTATCAGTGCAAATTTGACATGTAAACTCTTAACAACTTGTGTCTTGGCTTGTATCTTTTGGAAGACCAACTGCAAACACATGGCTGATTGTTTTTACCAATGAGTCTCTACCCACCCCAGCCATGACCACCTGCCTGCACCCCCGCCTTCACCCCCGCCCCCCCGCCAGCACCCCCGCAACTACCCTGCCACTGATTGACCCCCGCCATCACCCCCGCCACACCGGTGCCTCAGCCCCTGCCATCTCCGAATATGTAATATTATGTAAAGTGACAGCCCGGAACACATCAAGTCAGTAGCCAATCAGGACCTGTATAAACGTCGTACCTAACTATGTTTTGCTCTTCTGAGACTGTTTTTACATATATGCTGCTAAAAACCATCGGAATTATGTCTCCTTATGCTGTTCTTGTTGAATATAATGCCACTTCATGTCCTCTGTCAGCCCGAAATTCGAAACATGGAAACAGCTCATAGTGACTCAATGTTCCTATATAGAGAACACTTCAACATGGTTCACTTTGCATATTGCGCAAAATATATTTTCTGCAAGGGCCCAACTTCACACAACCGAAGGACACACCCTTTGGCAATGCCTGAACAAAATCTGGGGAGTGCTGGACCCTGTAACGATTCAAAAATACGAAATAAATCCAAAGTATAGTGTGATTTATAATGTGGGATACGGGCCAGTTTAAAGAGATGTGAGCCTCTGGTCATCTTGAATATCTTTTCTAACAATGTTTCGGTCCCCTACCTCCTACCAGACAACCTCTGTTCTCACTGGAACGTGCAAAACCCACCCAAGCTTGTAAAATCAATTGTCGCCCAGAAACAAGAGCAGTCGAGTTCCTTTGTTGGAATTGGGTAGAGGTAACCATGAAGTTGCTTGGGCTGCAGTATAAAAGCATGGGAATGTGTTTCTATGTGTGTTCATCTGGTCGCTCCACATTTGATTGGCCAGCAGGGGCTGGCGCACCCCCGCAGTCAACCCCGCCCAATCCCCTGCAAGAATTGTATTCACAAGGTTTCTGCGCAATTCTTTGTCAGGGTTCTGTGTATTAGCACACTCATTACAGTGTCTCAATGTGATGTTCACAGGTTATATTCAATCCAGCAAATGATGCTTGTAACAGCTGTATCAAATATGCTATTAAAGAGAGTGAAACATTGGAGATGCAGTCATCCTTAAAAAGCGGGAGGACCACTTCAGCTGTTCGGAAGGGGAGCAGTAGCCATGACTATTCCTGCTGATCAATGTAGCTGTGACTGGACAACCCCCTTGGGGATTTGCTGAACACATGTAGTTGCGCATTTTTTAATATGTTAGCATCTTTTGAAGCCACAAACTCCACCAAAATGTACTGGCAAAACCATGCTTTAATCTCCTACCCCCCACCGAAACATTGGTAAATCACATGACTTGACCTGGAGACCCAGCCAAAACATGCGGGCAATGTTGTGTATCTTTATCCCCCATTCCCTGCCAAAATAGAGAAAAGTTACGTGATATTCTACAACCCTAGCCAGAGTAGATACATCAAAATTTTGTGTAATCCACCCCTGCCCCTGCTCCCCCACCAGACCCCGCATCAGACCCCGCACCAGACCCCGCACCAGACCCCGCACTGGGCCCTGCATCAATTGCAATATCCAGTTACACATCTCCACCTTCCCTATTGGCTTTGTCTACCTTGATAAGATATTTCATAAATGTTTGTATTCTTGCCCTGGTGGTCAGCAGCACTACTGCTACGGCTAAAGGAGGTCAAATATAGAATATGCCAGACTGACCCCGCGGCAGACCCCGCCAGATGATGGGATCAAGCGCATCAACAATCCTATTGTGCAGGGTGCATTTGGGGTTTTCTAAGCTCAAATGCATGGTCAATTAGTGTATTTACCTATGGAAATTATACTGGGATGATTTAGAGAGGCTTCCATTTTTTTTTTGGCGGAAAATCACGTGATTTTGCGCCCACTGTCTGCCACAACATGCAATCTATCAAGCAGCACCTCCAAAATCATGCCAAATGGTGCAAAAAGGGGCCCCCAAAAAGGCACGTGATAATGCGCCCACTGCCTGCTGCAGTGTGCGGGAGGGGCGGTAGCGCCCCCGCCAACGCCCCTGCCAACCCCCGCCATTTTGAAATTTTTCCTGCAGCTCATCACGTGATTTTCCCGCCATCCCGCCCATTTGGTGCATCATGTGATTGATTTTTTTTTCCCGCCCAGCTGCCCGCTCTTATGGACAAGTCACATGGTATGTATGGGCACCCCCGTCCTGACCCCTGTCCTGACCCCCGCCCATCCCCCTGCCCCAAAATGGCCAGCTGCCCCCTGTACCCCCGCGGGGGGGGGACCTCCTGGGTACCCATAGAGCTACGTCTAAGGGTACCCAGGAGGTCCCCCGCGGGGTCTATATGGGGGGTTGGCGGTGGTAACTGAGGTGGTCTACTGGGAGATCTATCACAGTTGTCTCAAGCCCGTGACATCAATGGAGGCCCATGTGGTGTCGGCAGTATGGTCTGCACAGATCTCATTCCTCTGCGAGTAATCATGGAATGAATCACAATTGCCCTCTCTGAAGCTTCGAGGGAGTCCGGGCCATGGTAGAGAAAGTAAGGAATGTTGTGAGATGCTTATACTGGATGTTATTTTCTAATCAAGGGTGCCTCTCATAGGGCATCACCAGTATCTCCCATCCCACAATGATGCTTAGGAATATTAGAATTTGGCCTTGAGTTTCTTTTCCACATTGGAGAGAAAGACTTTCGAGAGAGGGGGGTCATTTTTATATCTACTCTGAGTGCTCAGTGTAAACTGGTGAGATTGATGGTCCACTTCTCAGGCTGTTACGGGAATTCTGTTCAATTTGAATTGGTTTTTGCTGTCCATGTCAGCTTCATAAGAAGTGGCTGGTACCAGGTACCAGTCCGCAACGGACGCAGAAATTGTACGAGTTGCTTTGACTGGGGAGAGAGTTTGGAGGACAAGCACCTGTCTCAAGCAGCATATGTTGCATTTGCGAGCCCCAGTATATTCAAATGATT